CATAAAGAAACACCAGTCATGGTGTGACTTTAAATATCCGCGCATATCAAAAAATAGTTACAGCTTCGTTTCCGGCTATTTGTATATGTCATCGAAAGTTCGTTCACCATATTATCACGAAATGGTATGTACTATCTATAACTGGAGTTCTCAAACTGCGGTACATATACGCCCAGAGGTACATTTCGTCTTTTCAGGGTACATTAGATCAAGTGTAAGGATATTCGTTCCATGACTCTAATCTGCCCTGAAATATTTTCACCGGATGTTGATAAATTCGAAAAACTGAGTTTAAGAACTGCTAAGAATGACACATTTTCACACCAGTATTGAAACTTTAATTACGACTGAAATAACAACCAAGTATATTTTCAAAGTTTAAATGACCTATTTGGGCGAACAAAAAAATAAATAAGAACAACAGAGGAATAATATTTAAAATTAATTCCTGCAACATATCTGCGTGAAAATGTCATACTGCAAGTTTGAGGCAAATATGGGTATAATAATTCATAGACAAATGGCGCTTTTTAAAAATCGATCATAGTGTTTTTAGTGTTGCGAGTGACAGTCACATTCGGTGTCGTTGAACATCAACAAATATCATTTTATATTGTAAAGAGAAAGCAATGTCAAATGTTACGCACACCCGATGAATACAAACCAATTGTCTGTGGTATGCTATTGCAAAGACGAAATTTCAATGCAATTTTTACCTGACCTATGTCGCACATTTACCTTACCACCAAAAAACATAGAGCGCTAGTGAGCCAGACAATGTATCCATCTGTGTGAATTAATTCCAATAAACATGCTATATTATATACACGATACGTCATTCTGACAGACATCGGATTACGTTGAGCCAAATAGATTTTCATTCAATCAGAAATTAATTAATATTATTCAGTGTTGTGTATATTCGGAACAGTGAGAGACAACAATCCACCCGTGGGAAAACAGTGTGGAATATGGAAATAAAAATCGAACTCAAATCAAAACAAATTTAATAGAAAATGACCTGAACTAGTTTTATAATTAAAATGACGTAACAAAAACTAGACGAAAGAAAGCACTCAAACTACAAAACATTATTTTCATTGCTGAAACAGGAATAGGGAAATAAAAAAAATTGAACAGTTTTCAGGATATTGTGGATTAAACGGCAGGTCCTTTTTTGTATTTATTTTCCTGTTTGAACTTCTGTTACATCAAAATTGTTGCTTATATAAAGAATACGCAAACACGAGCTGAATTTGCTGTTCATAACATTATCCAGCAAGCTATATTTCAATCGCCACTCTCCAGCTTAATTTCGTTCATTACGCCAGTGCACATAACTCTTCACATTGGCAAAAGTGCCCTCGTGAAGGACGAGAGGTTGATTTTCGAAGAGTCGTCATGGTAACTGATCTCGTAGAGAGTCAAAAAGTCCGTAAGGGTGCGGTCCAGACTTCTAACTTCAAAAGACCTATGTCGATGTGATGTGAGTTGAACATTGATGTGTCCGCTTTGTGAGATGAACAAATTTTGTTTTCGCCAGAATGGCATGTTATTAGGGAAGAATGAGTATTTAAAGGCGATTCTTGTGCATGCATGTGTGTGATAAATTGAATCGAATTTCGTTATTGGAGCCGTTGTTAAGGCACTGTTAAGCCGTTAAGGCACTGACATTGTCTGCTCGTTACATCGAGTCCTTTTCCGCAATCGAATGTTTTCGACGGTCCAGCGAATAAATATTCAGTTGGAAGCTGCGTTTAGTCAGGAAATGTTATTGGCAGATTACAGAAAATCATCGATTGTTATGTGTAATAGAATAATAATCCAGATAAGTCTGTCCTTAAACAGGTGCGACTTGAGTCGCAAAGAGGAAGAAAAGCTTTGTGTGTGATTTGTGAAATCATGCCATAAAAATAACATGCTAAAATTCTAAAATCAATACGCATTATTGCATAAACGCACTCCTTTGGTCGGATTATGGAACAATTACATCATAAACAGAAATATTTTCAATTAAGACAAAAATATTAAAATTATCGCAAATGCCTCGTATATCGGTCATATTCAATGGGATCGGATAGTTTATTTATAGTTTTTAGGGTGGAAACTTTGTAAAAATATTTTTAAGGCGATTTGCAGATGACCTTATTTAGCTCACGTAATAGCTACATACCATGGTCGAAGCCGAATGATGGAAAATATCCAATCGCCAGAATGATATCAGTTATAACATATATATAGTTACACGTTTGCTTGATATATCATATACTCAGTGAATGAATGCTATTATACAGCTTGAAATTGTAATTTTCCGCCATGATGTATCAAATGAAGTAAGCTCAGTCGATATGTGTCACGTTTTTTCTACAGCATACCCAATTCAAGCTGTGTGGGACGATAACATGTACCTTATTTTTTCTGTCTCCCATGGAGATTCGTACAAAATTGAGCGGGAAACAAAAGAATTTTGACAGCATGCTGAGTACCCTGCCAATAAATGAGCCGTTGTTTGATGATTTGCAACGGCTGTAATAATCAATAATTCCATAAATTAATTAACCCTTTGTTTTCTTCATCACAACAAATGATCTTATTAACATGCGCTTTTTGTTGAACCAAACTTTATTTGGTATCCCCGTATGTCGTGGGTTGCGATAATATTAACAACTCACCACTGACCTGAATTTTAATCAAGATTTTTGAATAAAATAATAATAAGCCGAAATTGAGGTCTTCGCGATTGCACATTGGAATGTAGTGTTGCCAAACAGAATTGTCGAAGCATGGCCTGATAAGCTAAATATATCTAATATCATAATTTGTATATCAACAAGGTGTGTTTATTAGAAGCCATTACTGGACAGACAATTAATGAACATATACTTACTAAACAATATTAATGGCCTGTCATGCTCGTCGCAAAAATATATTTATACAGAGGCTATGATTTCATATCCTTGCGGGGGATCCTAATAGGTACATAATAAAAAGTACTCAAATCCTTGTTTCCACAGTGATTAATGGGAGATAATTACGGGGCACACGTATTTTGCCGGATAGTACCCGGCATTTGAAATCAAGTGCCATCTCTATAATTATAGAAGAATATGTCTTCTAATTTTTAAAGTTAAATAAACACCGAGGACTCCATGTGATGTAATCTGCGTAATTGATCGCTTTTCTATATAGTGGTACCATTTTGAAAGAGGATCTCGCATAGGTGCTGTTTTGTCTCACTCATTCTTTTCAAAAATCATGTTCAGTGGCTATGGGTATTGAAAATTCAATTTATAGTTAGTTATTTCAAAATTCTCCAAAATAGAGAAACATCAAGCTAACAAAAGATGTTCTCGGCGAATAAAAAAAAACATAGTTTCAGGAGCTATTTCATATTATCATCGTTCGATAATGACACCATACTCTTGGGTTGGGATCACGATGGTTTGAAAAATATCACTTTCCGAAATATTGGTATCGTTCAATTTTTGTGATATTGTTCAGTATACGTAAAATGTTTATGTGTATCTCCAGTACGTGCTATATTTCTGCGTACAAGAACATTTAGTTAAAAAGATCTATAAACAGCAGCATGTTCACTGTGTAGCTCAGACTTTTAGATTTAAACGTGCAATGCAATTTGGTTGGGTTGACTGTTCGTTCTTTGAACAAAGCATTGGGAAACACAATTTCGAACGGTTTCAATTTCAAGTACAATGTAATTCAATAAAATCTTAAAATGTGTTCATCTCTCCAGGAACAAATATATCTGTTTGATAAGATGTTCTAATTACACACTAAATCCGTTTATTCTGCAGCAGCGTGACGCTGATAATTCTTGTTGTCCTCGATTTGCTTTCTCTTTCTGTCATGGCGCCAAAGCGCACTCCAGTCTGAGAAGATTTATTCGCTGTCCAAATAAAGTTGCGAGGTTAACAAAAATTTCATCTATTGTGAGTTTGGTTATATTGAGATTTCCCGCACTATAATTTTTGGGTGGCGAATCTGAACGCTCACTGGAAAACCCTGTCATAATACAGTTTTTCTCAGTTGTTAACTGCACTGAATGCATTCAAAAGCGCACAGAATCGTTTAATCATGGTTTCACCATTAAAATCGATCTGAATATTACGTTTAGCAATCTTAGAAGTGTGATGTACTGCCATACCGCACATTTATCATACTGCATCTGTATAAGTAATAGTAGTACTACATAATAAATAAACAGTATAACAGAGACGGTATACATGTACGAGACCATTCTGGTCTGAGACACGGTTGTGCAACATGTTCTATTTACGAGTATAAAAGCAGTTTAAGACTGCTAAGATTCAATAAGACGATAAACATGAAATGTATCTTGCCTAAATAAATTGTATTGTGTATATTGTATTGTATCAGATTTTATTATAAATCCTTCAAATTCGGTCATATACCTTTGAAAATGTGCCTGAATTCTTTTCTCACAACAAGCTTAAATTGCGGAATGCTTTGCATAATTAAATGCCGGTAGAGTTGGCCGGGCCAGTCCGAATGTGGCAGACTTTTGTGACTAAACGGGATTACTCGACAGGGACTCGCGTTCACACAATGCCGTGTATTTTCGTCTATTGATTGTCACGTGCCAATTTGAACGGGAAAGCGGGATTGGGATTGGTTTCCCTTTTTCTTTTCGTCGACTTTTGTTTATTAAAATCGTGAAGCGTCAAATAGTTTTACTGAATCTCGCCGCACGCCGCCGCCGTCGCCATCTCTCGTTTCTCTTCATTGTTGGAGGTGTGGAATAAACGTGCTGTTGGTTTATGGAGAAATTATGATCTTGCGTTAGAATCCATTTCGATGTTTGCTTATTGAAGTCTTTGACATGCGTATATTCGTTATACGTGCGAAATATATTGAATAAGCCTTAGTATGGTTGTAAATGTGAAAATGCGAAGCAACAAGTTCAATTTGGGGCCCAGGTGTCTGGTGCAGTTTATTTACGAACTTTCTGATTTTTTATATCTATCGAATTCCAGGTTTATTTTACATATCTAGTGTCTTGATACCATTTCTATAGACTATTTGGTCTGTATTTCTGGGCAGAATTTGTTTTACTTAGTCTACGCCATCATGTTTCTTACTGCAGTCTTCGTCGTTGTATTGGCACTTACAAAGCAAGGTAAGCGGAGTATTAAAAATGTAACATGAGCTTTCACGTTTGCATAGACATGGATGCTAATTTCAATAAATCTGGTATAGCATATTTATGTTATGCAACTTTTCTAGTGTCAATCAGAATGGTACAAAATGTTAAGAACAAAAATTACGGGGCCGTTGAAATTAATATAAATGTGACAGAAGCCTAAAGATGTTGATTGTCGTGCCCTAAAATTCATTAAAAATTGCTGAAATGAATTGATGTATTGCTTGCATCGAAATGTTTGATATACAGATATAAGAATATGCGATCAAGTGACTTATAATTTGACAATATCCATAACTTCGTGAATTGTGCGATTTTTACTTGATATTGGATTACATAAACTGGACATCCGTAATCTAACGTAATTAAAATACGATATAAAGTTTATTATCAAGCTAATAGGAAAGGAACGTTCTTATTACCTGTGAGTGATTGTGTCGATGATAATATCTGGAAATTTGTTCCCCCAATATATGGGTTGTGATTGATGCTACTTTACAGGCATGGAAATCGCTCATTCGCTATGACTTCTAAACTCAATTTATGTTTTCACTCCAGAATTTACAAAAATTCCGGGTTTGTACCATTTCTACTAATTATTTTTGGCCATGTGCGTTTCCTGGGTGGTGCAATGAAATTACATTGCTGAAATGGATTGACTTAGCGATAATCCTCATCAAAGAAAGAAATTATTCATATTTTAACCATTTTAACTAATTTTTAGTCACGTTTTATGTGCAAATACAGCTTGCAGAATTTTTTGAGGGGCGAAAAATCTAGGTCTTTTCTTAGTTGGGCTTTTTAAATCCTCGATTATAATACAAATTATTCATAATGTCGTAATGAATTCAAAGCTATTGTTTTCGCGGTCGTAAAGAACCCATTTACGATAAGAACAACCGGGAAAAATAGTTCATTTGAAAGAACCCCGCTGCGTCCCGGTATTGACTTTGAAAGCGATTATGGCGTTTTATTATTATCGCCCGCTAACCGTAATTTCGTAGTATAATGGGTAGGGTAATTATCCCACAGATGACCTCACTATGCTGGCGACAATATTTCATTATCGATATGATTTAAAAACTTAAACTTAAAACGCGCACAATGAACACGCCTACATTTTGAAAATAAACATTCACGTTGTTTATGTTCGAAGTGTTTGACGACATTTAAATTCAAACTAATATATACAGGCAATACCCTAATAACACGAAATTATAAACGCAAACTGATATAACAATGCCTGCCTGTATGTGTAGCATATATTTTCATAAGATATACCTAATTCTAATTGCCTTTTTCATCTTGATCTTTCGCTTATATATTTGACAACGCAGGGAATTTACAATGTTATATATTCTTTTCATTCGAAATCGCTATCATCACAAAACTGTGAAATGTAATTCACATAGCCCAAAGTATCGCACATGGACTTCTTTAACGAGACCGTGCCATTGCAACGATGAAAATTATGAATAATTAAAGCCAAAAGCCTATTATCCTTCCTTTGTGAACCCGGTAACCTTGAAACATGTCGAATGTGTATATTTTATGTACATTAAAAAATAAAGGATAGAAAATTATTTTTTACGTTTCTAGCAATACAGCGTTGCTTGTATCGTGTGTATCTAAAATCCGAAAATATTTTTACAGGTTTAACTCAAGTTGTTGACGGCGATGAAAAAATTGTACAAGAAGTTGGATCCACTGTGACAATTGACGCAAACTTCATACCCGAAGAAGTAAGTGTTATCCATGCTATCTCTTAAATTGATAGGCTATGTAAATGATAAACTAAGTTGGTAACTCCGTATTGTAATATAATTTATTGCTTTTCAGAGCGAAGTCATAATATCCCTGATATGGAAACATGAAGGCAAAGATATTGTGATGTTTGCTCCAGCACTGAATATAACTACATACCAGGATGATTATAAGTGAGTATATTGTGTAATAAAATAGTGCTCAAGCTAGTTAAAATGCTGACGACTTACAGCTTTAGTGGTAAATTTATAAACATTACCCAAAAATGCAGAATTTCATTTTAGATGAATCATAAAACAGTAATTGTATAACAATATTGTGAATAAATGAACTCATATTTGAATCTACTTACCCTGGCACAAAGCCGCAAAGTCAGGTAAAAATGAATAATTCAGCAATGATATTCAAATGATTTTTATCAGGTTCAGGGCGTTGATCGGAGCAGAAAACTATAATTTGATGCTCGATGGAATCGAATTTTCGGATTCTGGAGAATATGTACTATCCGCTGTCACAACAAAGCAATCATACGAGATAAAACGAACATTGGAAGTTTTGGGTGAGACATTTCATATCAGTATTCCATTTACAATGAAATAGAATCAAATTTTATCTTATTAAAAAGAAAATTATAAATTAAAATTATGTGTGAATAAACACAAGGATGATTATTTTGCCCTACATCTGTATTCAAGATCAACTTAGCGGAATGATAATCTATTTTTTTTGTTGTTCCCACATAGTGGAATATGCACCACAAACCTGTTGGTAACGAAGCCTCGCGGGGTGGTGGTTCAAAGATACAAAATATTCGTAATGTAATTAAAATTCTAAACATATCGAACAAGTTTCAACTTGTGATTTATATGTTTTACTTGTCCCCACAGCTTTAAATTTAAAAATATGTTCATTCATTCACATGGCGTGCGACAGTAACAATTCACGTTAGATTGTGACCAAACTACCCATTGAGAAAATGTTTACACTAAAAATATGTTTATTTTGGCATGGGGTAGTGGACCACGCGCGCCTTGGGAAATTGTCATCTAAAGTTACTCCACTGTGAATGGTTGAAATAGTATATGGTAATACTCTAGACAAAAATGGACGCGCGGCCAACAAAACTCCCTGGGAATCATCTTATGTTAGGATGGGCTAGGTATGATGCGCAGAGGAAGTAATGATATTCGGGATATGTTTTTATACGGCCAATATTGGTTTATATCAATGTATTATGGTAAACAAAAACGCGCCAATTGGTTCGGTTTACTCGGAATGATTTATCGCTTTCGACACGTAGTATTGTGATACACAAGTGCCCTCGTTATTCGCTCACCATGACGAAATTTCATTTAGGTTATTGTATATAATGTAAAAATAATAAAATTGAATAAATTATTATATCGAACAATTCAGCGTTGGCTATAACTGAACGCTTCTAAAGGCAGGATACATCAGTGTTATACGATCCATCTCGTTGTTTATCTTCTCTCTTAAATGTGTTACGCGAAACGAGATCAGCGATTGCGAAATTTGCTCCATTCAAATTTTGCCGCCGACGATAGACGGTTTTGTTTTGTCCCGTTTTATTCTATTTGTAGTGCCAGTTCAAGAGGTGTCGATTGTCGATTAAACTAAGATAATCGATAATAAACGGGATCACTTTGCAGGGGTTCAATTCAATTGAATATATAGGGTTTTATTTCAACGTCAAGCTGAACTGTAATATTTCATGCCTTGCTTACTTATCTGCATTCATTTATTGCAAATTGGTGATATATGCCGTAAGTAAAATTATCGTCCAACATACGACTTGCTTTTCTAGTACAGTACATCTATCTATACATATTTTGAGAGCCCAGCTTTTCGACCACATGCTGTTAAAAGCCATATCTAATATCTCTTATCTGGCTATTTTGAGACGCATCCCACTCTTCCCATGTGAATAAGTTAGAATTCAAAATTTTATATCCTATTAAAGAAATAGGCTTTGCACGGCTGAGTTCTCTATTTAAACATATGCGGTTTCATTTTATAACGCGATTTAATTCATTGATGGCTTCTGAATGTAAAGTACTTTCGAATTTATCATAGGCCAAGTAGGAACTATAAATATATATCAATGACTCATACTTGTTAAGTTCGTTAGCCCATCCGACTATTTCGGATAAACAAATATTCCTTATATGGACAGAATTTTATATGATTATCGTTAAAATACTGTAAAACCACAGTAAAATCAATCATTTTCTAAAATGCACTTCATCGTATCACAAACAGCAGTTGATAACGAATTAATTTGACCCATTTTGGTTCCCTCATCATTAATTAACCAACTGTATTACGAGACAATGTTTACCGAGTCTAAGTCGAGTGAGGATATGATTTGAAATTGGCCAATTACGTTCCTTGAAACAAACTACTTAACGTTGTACTGAATTATGGATGCTGTTTGAAAACGAATAATAGGAGCACTCTCGAAAACAGACACTCATATTCAAGAAAATCCATATTCAGGGTCTACATTGAAATTTGAGATAATTGATATCTCCTTTTTCGAATGAGTATTGACATGATTTTGACAATCAACCAAGCGTACAAACGGCGATCAGGCTATTAAACTTGCGGGGTTTTTTAATCAAATGGATGCAGATATTCTAAAATTTACCGTGCAAACGTTCTACTTAGCTATTAATTTAAATTTTATGAATTTAATTCAAACGTAATTTGTTTAGCCAGTATTTATTCTGTTTTGATATTTTCCAGCCTCGCCCGTAGTGTCTACCAGACCAATTCAAGTGACAGACGACGGCTCTGAAACTGAGCAGGTACTGGCAGAATGCATTGCGAAAGGTGGAAGCAGTCCGTTTACAATCGAATGGTAAGAAAATTTGCGTGAAATAGGCCGAACTGATGTACTATCATACACATTTGTTTCTTTCCTTTTGTAATACAGAAGATTTAATATACTTTTAGGTACGATGGTGATTTACTTCTCGCTGATACTGGATCTTCAACAGACAGCGAAAATGCTGCGAATCCCTTGTTGATCGACTCCGTTCTGCAACTCCGTATGGTGCCCGAAGCCTCCCGAGACTACGGGCGTAAGCTAACCTGCGTCGTCAATGACGCATTGGGACGACGCATTGCGGAAGACGTTACGCTGGAAGTAACAGGTGAATAACGTCAGATTTTTGTTCGGGATGACTTGAGTGGAATATGTATATTGCATGTTTGGTGTGGCTTGCTGAAGATTAGACGCAAAAATTTTAGCATTTTTCCTTCCCAAAATTTGTAATAGAAAAGTATTACTTTATATTATTTGTGGTACAAATTCTGAAAAATATAGCATTTGTATGAGGTGGCTTACAATAGCGAATATAAATATTCTGCTTTATTGTTATCCTTTTGTCACATAAATTAGTAATCAGCATGTAGTATATCTAGATCATCTGTCGTAACGACGAACTCAACTTATCAGTTGATTACGTCATTTGTTGTAGCCATGTAACGCAATGTAGCTTCTGACGCATTCTTCTTTCTCTCTTTTAATATGACGTCATCGTCGGCATTACAGAACCAACGACGACTGTTCCGACCACCACAATGCAAGGTAAGAAGGAATCCTCTAACGTCTTCAACCATTTCAAAGCTTTAATCATAGGCAATTTAACACTTCCTTTCTCTTGGACGCACCATATTTTATTTCTAAGCGATTATCATAACCGTATATTCCTGCATAAGGAAATGATCATGCTGTTGTTTATTCATTAGAAATTTTGTAGTATTTGTATTTTGTTACTAACACTTTATGTTTTGAGACTAACAAACTAATATTAATACATCGATACACATTCAGAACATAAGAAACTAAAAACCTGTTTAGCACATATTCAATCTGAAGTACGGAACCTATTTTTTCGAATTTGCCATATGCAACGATGTCTGAGAAAAGCTATTGATTGTGTTCCTGCTAGACTACTAATTATTTTTCTTCAAACTTTTGCACTCGTCGCTATTTAATTCGAATACGCGTCATAAAATAATGAAGATAACAATTCCAAGTGTCCAAACTATGTTTTTCTGAGAAGTCTAACTTCAGTTAGACAACACGTTACAAAAATACACTTGTGTGAGTGTGTAGCAACACTCTTGAATCTCTTAGAATGCTCTGAAATTTCTTATTTATTTAAAATGTAAGAAAGTGACTAATTTGGGTAAAGCCATCCATAAATTACCTTAAAAATTAATTTTGAGGCTATAGAAATATCTTCAATTATGTTTTTAATATTCCAGCTTATCCCATGATCACAAAATTCCCGAAATCGAAAACAATTACATTGGTGAAAGAAGAGAGTCGAGTTTTAACTTGCAAAGCCACCGGTGTCCCAGAACCCACAGTCACGTGGTACAAAGAAGAAGATAAGGTACGTTAAAAATAATAAATACTGTAAAATACATTACAATATTGTTACAATTTACTGAAATATACTAGTAGTGTTGGGATCGTCTACCCTACCACGTGGTATAATTTCTTCAAGTAAATATTATTTTATCAATCGTCAGCCTTTATGTGTTTTATCAACTACAATTTACGATCTTTATTATGTATGGGCCGCGGCTGTACGATGTCGCCTTCCATCAACAGCTCATAATTGGCATTGAATGAAATTGGGATTCAGGACATTTAGATAACAACTAATGGTGCCTAGCAAAAACACATCAATATTATTAACGAACTAAGTTTTATGACTAATAAAATCATTTTTCAGTACACAATTATATATTTAAATTATTCGTCGTCGATAGACGAGTCTGTTGATTTAAATGCAATTTACTCCTATTTGATGTTTAATTTATTTATCAGCTTCAAAGAGGAGTTGGTGAAAGCAGAATCGAAGTGACGGCAAATGATTATACCGATAGTGGAACCTACAGATGCGTGGCCAGCAACGTCGAAGGAAAGGACCAGAAAGAAGTTGAAATTTCAGTACAGGGTGAGGATTTATTTCTTTTATCTTCAATACATAGTTAATTCTGTAGTAATGTCATTTTCATTTTTGCTGCAAAATTTGAGATAACACATATGAACTAACATGTTAATAACCATATTGTAGTCAGGGCCGCGCCATGCTTTTTAGGTATCATAATCCCCTAAGATTTTGGTGACGTATATGGGACCTAGAAATATAAACAAAAATGCACACAAGATAATATCCATAGAGATGAAAAATTTATTTCAATCGGGCGAATATTAAGGTCCGTGTTATCCGACAAACTCAAAATTATTTCATTACTAATCACTGAAGCACCGTTAAAACTAGGCTATGGAAATTACTGTGTTGTTTCCCTACCCTTGATGTCCTATATACGTGCTTATTTTGATTAATGGTTAATCAAGCTCTGAGTGTGTAGTTGATCTTAAATACCCCAAATCGATTATAATTAAATTGAATAGGCCGGTATTAACGTTAACGTAGGTCACTGTGAGTATGCCAACAAGGCAATACGCTGAAAAATAGCCTTTTTTAAGAATCGACTAAATCGCTGATATTTTGTGAAAATTCTGTCAAATGTACCTATCATGAACATTTAAATCTTCTTGTCAAAATTAAAGCGAAAAGTTATCACAAAATTACTACAGAATCGATAATATGACTTCATACTTATTTTGTTCCGAATGAGAGCACGGCACTCTTGACTTTGTTGGAAGGGGCTTTCTTCACATTTAACGTGGCACAAGTAGCGTAGTTAGACGCACTTATGTTCGCCCACACATTTTTAAATGAGCGTTTTAAAGGTTGTTTTAAAGATTTTCGGTTGCTATATTTTGTATATACTCCAGTTAAATCGCTAGACTAGTGACCCCTGACTCAAAAATATCCTTACGTTGAAACTTCTCGAGTAATTGTTTATTAAAAAATGAGGTGAAAAATGCGAATTTTCGACGAAATGACTGTGAGGTGAAAAATGCGAATTTTCGACGAAATGACTGTTTATGATCGATAGCACAAAGTAAACTATGTACTATACTTTGTACTACATAAACTTTTAGTTTTACTTTCATAACTCAGTAATTGAGTTGAATACAATGTAAAATTTTACAATAACATCCATTCACACATGTAAGTTCTCAGTACTAGTTGCATTAACCATTTTCCAAAACGCGGATGGCTATTTTATGTCTGGTATTCGTAATCTCGATCCTGTTTCGTGTCCAACAAAATGGAGAAATTCTTCTCAGAATATTTTTGATGTTGATAGCACGAACAATAAGTTCACTGGCCACAATAGCATCTCGCTCGGAGATGAACTGGTGATGAAATTCTTTACCCGGCAAAATCAAAAAATTTGGGAGGATGTTTTGATTATATTTGGCTTCGATCTCAGACTTGGCGTAATAACTTGAGTTCAGTGTTGGTATTAGCGAATAGCGATGTGAGAAATTATGTTGCATATTCAGCGTATACAGTAAATATTTGGGAGTCTGACGATGAAAAATTGTCTCTTAGCCTGATCAATATTTTTTTATTAATAGAAAATACTTCTAATGTTTAATTTATATATTGGGTGTATTACCAAATATAGACTGGATAACGCTCGTGTGGCAATATTATATTACGTAATCGTGTCGAATAAGAAAAAAATGTTTTTGTGTTTATCTATTTGCAAAGAAGAGTTGATGCTGATGAAGCGTGCCAGCACATCGCTATTCGTAACGTGGTTATACACTAAGGCATCGTCATAAAACTTTTAAATAACGTTAAGCACATCTATTTCTTGCTACGAAGCAGTGTTTCGAAATTGCAGTTTGCACCCTTTATTCATAAGCGGAAATATATTATACGAAATGCTTACAGAGTTATCATAAACATCGTATTACAACACAAGGCGTGGCAAGTTTGCGAAAAATATTTATATATTTTCCAATATGGTCTTGAATCACCCGGCAATGGTATTGATGGAACTACAAAATTACCATAATTATTCTTTGTAACACAACTCGAAAAAAAAAGTAATTTTTCTTTATATAAATCAATACTCAAGAGTTCTTTAGGAACATATGATTGCTATTGTAATACTAATAATAACTGTAATCGGAGCGGCTGGAATTAGTAGTCCTTGAAGCAATATGCAAAAATGTTTCTTGTAGTCTATAGGCAATATTTTCATTAGCAATACTCTGATCTCGTATGTCCCTTCGATAAATCGAGCCAAGTGGCATATTTTCCATGATTCACGCTCGGGGTGGATTAGTACATATGCCTAATCAATTTTGCTTTCACTTGAGATAAAACGTCCAATTAAGAACACGTCATTGATTTTTTTTCTTGTGTGAGATAAATCCCTTGTACTGATTAGCCTACGTTCCGTATCCGGCTCTACGTTATATCTATCGAGTGGTTATATTGATTGCCTATTATGACGTACGAACCGACGTCGAAGGATATTAGGATTTATAATGTAAGTTGAAATCTAAATAAACAGGAAGATAGAAATTATATTTCATAATTGGGGATCCGTAATTAGCGCCACGCGTTGATGAAGAGAGCGTTTTGTTTTCGTAATTGGTCGTTTTGTATTGGACGTAATAATAATGATAATATAACTATTGAAGTACTTGAAACGTATTATTATAATATTAATGGTTGAATTCGCACTGAGAGATCTTGAATTAAATCTACGTGGGTCAGGTGATACTCCAACCCGCTGGTTTGTCAAAGTAATAATAGTTTGTTATGTGTGTGGTGCAAAAGATGATGCTGCTTGCCTGGTTTGGTATGCCAGACTTCTCTTTTGAAATTATTTTCGAAAATTCTAAACGTAACTATTTCACAGAAAAATTAAAATATGCTGTATTCATATTTCAGTCCGCGAGAGTACAAAAATATCATCGTTTTACGAATAAAATATTCTTTCCACAGGACCACCCATGATCATTGGTGCAGATGTTCTTGAAAACGGAACAGTAGCTTATATATTAGATGCTGATGATGAATATGTCAGATTGTTGTGCGCATCAAATGCATACCCAGAACCAGGTATGTTGTAATAACTATGCTTACAGAGTGGGAGAGGAAAGTTAACGGGTATTTTATAACCGACTCAACGGATTATTATCCGCCCGGCCTTTCGAAACAGTACATGAAATGTATCTGCCAACATTCTTTCAGCAGAACGTAGAAATACATGGCGAATGTGAACCGCAAAACAAACCCTTAATTCTCTTTGAGCAAATGTCACTATGCTTATTGAATTCTCTCTCTTACTTATAATTTAATATTTGGGTTGATATCACTAACAATATCTGTAATTGAATCACAGTAATCGAATGGACGGTAGAAGGTGCAAATTTGACGGAATTCCAAAGGGAACACCATATTGAATTTTCTGACGGATCCACAACCTCCTTTCTGAACATCAGCACAAAACATTTCATCGGACCACAATCTGTTACAAAAGTCATCTGCAAGGCAAAGAACGCACACGGGGTTGCACAAAAATCGTTCGAAATTACTGTTCGTGAGTAATATTGCTTTATATATATTCGATTTGTGTATTTACGGCGTCTTCAGAAAGGTGTATTTCCATCCACATTGCCCAGTATTTATCCACTAGGACTAGGCAATCAGGGTATATAAATGAAAATAAGCTATTACTATTCCCTTGACGAAAATAGATAAAGTTGAAAATAGACCAAATGAGAAATTCAAAAACAATTCATTGCTTGTCGCTTTGTGCGTATATTCTGTCCGCTGGAATTTCTTTTATGAAATTTTTATTCCCAGATTATGTTTGTTAAAGCTTGTAGATTTTTTTTACCGGATGTTTCCTTACCTGACTGAAATTGCGGGCAAACGAAATGCTGTTGATCGTCTCGAGCTCATGCATTATTCAAATTCATAGTCGTTCGTTCTCTCACACCTATACCACTCTCTTTTTAAGTACGACAAAAAATCAAATTTCTATTGTGCGGGCTTTACGTGCCCTGTCGTATTTCGAGGATGAACTCATTCGGAAATTTTGAAATATCAATCTGATGATTGAAAATACGCATTCCACAAATTCAAGATAGTGAAAAATCCAGGTCTTTACTCCGTTAAATGTAACGTTTTTATGTTTATATTCCAGCTATTGTACCAGCTAACATTGGATTGATCGTCGGAGTCGTGGTCGCGCTCGTTCTTATCGTCCTTATTATTGTCGTCATCACTTATCTCGTGGTTTCAAAAAGAAATCAAGGCACAATAACCAAATCAGAGGAGTCGGGTATCTTTGGATGGTCAACTTGCTGCGCCGGTTCAAAGGTCAAATCTAAGGAACTGAAGGAAGAGTAAGATTTTTAAATTTTTCATATACAACGCTTGTTCATAATTTCGCTCCTAAGAAGGCAAGTACAAGCAGCCAGTATTTGGTACAATAATATCACGAAGCACATATATGCACTTCAACACCATGCCATTGTATGTTACTTTTCGGTTATATTTTGATTTTTGTCATCATTGTAGGGACGACACAGTGACCGTCGAACACGTCAAAGAAGTAAACGAGGAAGGCACTCAAGAAGAGAAACAAAAACTCACTCAAGCCGAGGAAGAACCTGCAAAAGAAGAAGAAGAGAGCAAAGGCATGTGATAGTAGCTGGTTTTTTTCAGTCGTCTGGTTTTCTAATTTTGGAGCGAAATCGGGATCAATAATCTAACAATTGTGGAAGAATTTTCTCAAATCGAGGTTACGGCGACCGAATAACGCGGGACTTGAAACAGTTCAAGTCAATGCGGCGGGGATTACAGTCCAAGGGCTTACACCCACAATGACGAAAAATACGTTTGGAAGCATTTACTTATTTGTGATTTTTTTTTAATTTCAACGTTCACGTTTGTGTCTCGAAACCCCCGAGTTATTGGGCAGAAAATATCACATAGTTCGAAGTCTGTTAAAAAATCTTTTTGAACAAAAATTTCTTTGTCCAAGCAGTAATCGAATGAGAACTCGCGACTAACCGAATACAATGACTAAAAACATTACGAGGTTATTTTGTCCGTTTTATTATCATGAACCAATTTTAATTGAAATTATGTTTTGTGAAGGTGGCGGAGAGACGGAGGAAAAAGATGAGCTAACAAATGAAGAAGAGAAACCAAAAAAGAGCAAACGTAAAATTCCTCTTTCTATGCAATGTTGTAAAGGAAAGAAGAAGGAACAAAAAGAAAACCAAGAAGAGTGAGTAACTCTTTTTTTTTTTTAAAAACAATAAAATTTACTTATATGTATGTAAAAATGCATTATATATGAAATGTGAAAATTTATGAATTTTTTAGAAAATTTTGACTCAGTATTACAGATATGCGATTGGTTATATTTTCAATGATAAATTGTCCTAAATCTAGCTTTTCTATAAAACTTTAAGAGGAGAAAACAATGACGCCGAAGTAGAAGAAGAATCAGGTAAAGAAACTGGCAACGGCGATACAAAAACGACTGACGACAAACAAGAAGTCGATAGGGATTCTGGAAAAGGGGACACACTGGATAAAGTACTAGAAGAAGAAAAGCCAGAAAAATGAATGAAATCCATCGGAAGATAAAATGACTGAAATATAATTTAGCGAAAACTCTGACGCGAGCACAAAAACATTTCATTTCGTACAAATGACAAAAGTCAAACGCTTGCATTTTAATAACCATTACGTTAAAAAATTTGCTTTCCCTTGGGCTTTATATAAAAAACGAAAATGTATCACATTTCCCTGTGAATAAAGACCGATGCGTTCGCTGTACAGCCTTATTCAAAGATATGTATATAACGCAAGAGCTACATTTTGGCACTATTTTAGATGACCCTCGGAATACGGAAGGTTTTTTTAAATTCATAATTATTGTTTAGCCGTTACCGAACATAGTAATCACAAATGTATTTGAAATATTTACCTAGATTTGCACAATTAACTCACATTATGAAGCTACCGTAACAGCGTATTGGTCATTACTTTATTCCGTTCAATGACTCTCTCGCCGTCAACACCAATGTTCTTATTCGTTTTTTACATTCCAAAGTCTTTTTTATTTTGAATTGTTGGTTTTTCACTAATGCCACTGCCATATTATTGTCGACATACCATTGGGTTGGTAAAAACAAATATTCATGTACCTATTTCAATGCTTGAAGATTGGATTCAGAAAATGGATGGGAAAACATGGAGGATAAAATCTGCATGGATTATTATTTAGTGTTGTGCACTAATGACAGACCAACTCGTGCTCTGATGTATCCTATTTCGATCGTTGTTTATATTTTCCATTTCGATATTGTTCTTATATTTGTGTGGCTAAATTAATTCATTGGTTTAGCATCACGCAAGATAAAAATAGCTAGCGTTCATGTTTGATTTAGAATGTATTTTGGTATCGAAGACTGTAGGAATTGTAAATATTGCATAGTTATGTAAATAAAATTCAATTTCTAAATAGAAGTCTCTTGCTGAATTGAGCTATGAAGGTGCATTAAGTGAAACAAGCTGTTGTGAATTACCTACGGAGTAATATGGAACAGAGTAAAATTAGGTTTCTGCAACAGAACAGTTCACACACAAGTCTGAAGGAACTTTTTTGGACAAACGTATATGCCGATTGCATAATAGAAAAGCCGAATCTTCAATAGGCAGACACGCCCTAATATTCTTGAAGCAATAGTCGAAGTTTATAATTTATTTATAAAGTGCAAACTTATGAAGAAGATAATGCATAATAAACGTATGATTGGCAAAGAGTAAAAATGATATGGCGTTGTAACATAAACAGCTGAGTGTAATTTTCTAGAGTATGAGGAGTCAAGCAAGTTTGATTATTTTAGATTTAGACCATCAGACAACAATTTGTCATGGAGAAAATCCTAGTCTATGTGAGTGAGTTGTGCTCACCAACCAATGTACAACATTAACTTCGAAAAATGGAAATTAACCATTTTAAAAGTAGAAGTTCATGTGAGCAGTTCAACATTGAGCAGTCCAAACATTCTTAATATGGGGTGATTCGGAACATTATTATTCTGAATATAATGAAAACAATGCCCTTCTTCATTGAGAAATCTGTGTATATTAGACGCTTTTAAAAGGCAATCAGCAGCTGTCATCGATTTTGTTGACCGGTAATAAATTATGGAAGCAAATTAAAAAACGCGACTATACAGAGATTGGGTAGTGTGCTGCTACAAAGCGATGGACAAACTTGGTCCCAATAATTCTACATTTCTGCTAACTAAAATCAAAAAAATATTTTGGTAGAACGAACAACACTGCAAGTTGCAAGACAGCAAATACAAGTTGCTGTCAGAAGAGTGGTTCATGATAATAATCTGTAAATATCATCCTTATAACTGTATAAAATGATGAGTGGAACCCTGTAAAAAGAAAAAAAATATGTACCTACATCATGATTTCATTGAAATTCAAGTACGACTAGCCACTGGATACTGGCAAAAATATTTTAAAATTGAGCTTAAATTGTAAAAAAACACAAAATTGAGCATTTGAACCAAATGGCGTGATGGCCTGGCGGTTGGAGCATAAGGCTTAACTGTGTTGGCATCCTAAGTTCAAATTCCATGCATCCATAAATGAACAGGTATGAACAGGAATCGAATAACAAACAAAAAAAGTTACTCAGAATATGCATCTTGCAGAGCATTTCATGACTACTTCTTGACTAAATCATTGCTTGAAGCTCAGTCTGGAGCAGCGATGTCATCTAACCCGTGGCCCACCGAACAAATTCCGTTGAAAGATTTGCCGCTGAACCTTGTACAGCCGTTTACAATGAAATTTAAGAGTAAACCTGAGTTTATCTCAGATCAAACAAACACAATTTGGTATCGTACTATTGTGAAGCAATATTACACCAAAATCAAGCAACTGAAGCATATATAAGCTTCATGCTACAAAAACAAGGATTATGGTATGTCTGGAACAACAAGGAGAACGCTCAAGGACAAAATCCGGCAATTACAAAAAAATTGGGGAGAGATGTCTTTTTTGTTCAAGTAAACCGCACGGTCGCTTGTTTATTATTTCGTAATTCTCTTTCAACCTTTAAGTCTGGTAATTTGAATAAATATATTTCGACCTCACACACAATGACATTTCAGAAATAAATGCCAGTGAACGAAAAGCCAATTTACTGTCACCAAAAAGAGTTTCAAAGGAGCCATAGCATAGCCATTACGTAGCATTTAATGTGTGGCCCACGCCAAAATTGAAATGCAACAGAAAGCATTTGGGTTGGACATGGCTGATCTAGAGCAACTAGCAATTTTTGAGTTTCGGTACCTCTAAAAATGAAGAAATAACTAGAACAAAAGAAAGCATACTCTTTAAAAAACCTTGCTTCAGAAATCATTTCCGTGATCTTTGCAAAATACTTTTTATATTTTGGCAACTGTGAAATAATGGCGGCTACACTTGTATTAAATTCTTCTTCACCTCGTCCCGTTTCCAAACCTTGAACAAGAGTTTTCAATGCACTGGTTGGAAGATCGACCTGAAATTGACATATTACTTTTTGCTTTCGAAGAAATGGCAAACGATGGGTGCTATAACACGGTTCAAACCATTGATACTGAATTCAGCCATAACCTGGATGATGCCCCAGGTCAAATTAAGTCCTCATTTTGATGAATATCATTTTATTTTACATTTCACTCAGATAAGATTTTCATATTAATCCTTGGGGAGTGGGAACCCGATAAGATGACTTACCCATATACCATACCATGGCCTCTCGTCCAGTTGTCATTATATTTATGTATGAAATTAGCTAGCCAATTATTTGTTTCAGATGCATTGCAGCCCTAGCTGACCACCGGTTACGTGAACCACCATATGGCGGTCAAGTGTCCATCCATTCTCTTGCATAAAATTATCTCACACAGGATTCAAGCCTTCAAACCCATGCATGGCTATCAGATGGCAAGCGTATTTTTAACACCTAGCACAATGAGCCATCCACCGTGCCTATTGGTACTAATTGGTAACCTACCGCAAGAGCATAAACTTCTGCTTTTCCCGAAATATGTTGCAGAATAGGTAGTTGAGTAAGTCTTGAATAGGCTTGTGATTCGTAACGTTTCTTTATATTATATGCCAACTTATCAGGAGGCAAAACTTCAATATTTAGTCGATGGTATTGAGCCTTCGTAGCAGTAGATTGTGGAATATCAGATGAAGTTGTTGCATTTACAGTGGCAGAATGATCAATACTATGTCTGCAAATTAAAAAAAAAAAGCGGTTAAAAAATTGAAAACAAATTGAATATTGCAAATTAGTCTAATAATTTGCGACTCGATTTGAAAGAACAACCCTAGTTACAACCTTGTTTTTTTTTACAGAGTAAAGTGCTTTCTAAGCATCTATGACATTTAAAAGGGTTGAAACGGTAGCTAAGGCACCTAACTTGTTAAAATCTGCCAGGGCAATTACTTGTTCTAAGCGAAAGACAGGATTTACTGTCTTCTATTATTATCAAAATATTGGTAAAGATAAACTAGTTAGCTCTCCCCATACTCTACAAGTACCGGAAGCCAAATTGCCCTATTATAACCAATTTTCTTACCCGAATAAATATTGGAATCCTATCCTTCAAAAACCACTTATCCAGCATATTAATTTGTGTAGATTGGGACAGAACTTTCATATTTATCCCGGGAGAAAAGAAAATCGTTAAGACGGCTTATTCATATGGTGAACTATGACCTCGTACCCAGATACTAGCCCATGTTGGGTATTAGAATATTAGTTAACCAGTTATGTTACCAGATGCACGAATTTGATGGTGGAGAAAGTGGTAGACCAGCGATTATGTGAACTACCCCACAATGGGGAAAGAGATGCAATTCTCTCGTCATGCACTTCATGCTCAACCATTAGTACCTCTGTGGAACGTATCCTTCTTCAGATTCTTTGATTTTTCGAAGTAGGTAATCAACAAGTTCATCTGAACGTAAACTTTTCTCTTGTTGTTTTGTGAATCCTTGTACTTGATCACAGGAACGAACTTTTATCAATGCATCTTTATCTTTCAAAACCACAAGATGGCTTACTGATCGCTTCACAGCTATTTCCTGTTGAATAAAATAAGATCAGCTTTTATGTGTCTCCTACTTTTCAATATAATTTTTGGGAAGTACTTTTGCATTTCAATGAGCTTGTTTTACTTTTCAAAACCAGGCAGGCACTAAATATGACAGCATACAAACGGTCGTGTCCAGCTGTCGACTGGCATCCTGACAGGGATTCCAATAGTCCCATTCCTTAAAACTCTAATCTAGCATTCAGATAAACTACCACATAATATGAAGACATCATAGCTAAGATCAAACCTGACCTGAAGTATTTCCAATGAATCTGCATCAGATCCCGTTCCTTCTAATGTCATTTCAGCTCTTATTCCAGCATCCCATAATTGTTTTAATATCCGAATTCTCTCCTGAAACAACTGACTTCTTCCCATCACAGCAACAAGAACATCAATATTGCTTAATAGTTGGGAATTATGTTGAGAATGAGAAGAAGGTTCTGTATTATTTTGCATCAATGACATGGAAGACTTTGACCCACTTTGATGTTCAGCAAGATTTGCCATTACAATCTGAAACATTAGTTGTTTCGGAAGGATCTGAAGTTTTCCTGATATAATTTCAAAATTTCATATACTTGCAAATAAATAATGTTAGGCATAACCATGGGAAATGGCAGAAAAGGAATGAATGAAAGTTTAAACAAATCAATTCAGGAATTGAAAATTCTATCAACTTAAGCCAACATTTAGGCCAGAAATTCAATTTGTCAGATTAGAGATGGAGTTGAAATTTACATCAACCTGGAATCCTGGCAGAAACCAAAGTCAAATTTTAATTCAGAGACAGTTAAACAGAGTTAAAAATTTTCAGAGACAGAGTTAAAAAAAATTTCAGCCAAGTCTGGAGTCGATTGTCAATTTTCCCCGACATCCCAGCTTCAGGTATTCCATGAGGAAAAATGTAGAAATATTGCACTTTCTCTCATACTGGTCCAATACCAAGAAAAATATGAACATTTCATATTGCGCCAACGGTAATCACTCATTGACAAATATCTTAATTTATATAAAAAAATAAATATAAATAACTCTGCCAAACTTGAACTCTTGATATGACGCATTGCCTATACCAGGGGTCGGGAACCCATGGCTCGCGAGCCATATATGGCTCTTTTGGTGACGGCATATGGCTCCCAGAAAAATCTATTATTCTAAGATTAAGCTCACTATTGTTACTAGACTTCAAACTATTTTATGGCCAAATTTGGCAAAAAATTCCCAATACGTTTGACATCGCGGGCCCAGCACATGTCTATGTTATGTAAGAGAATTACCAGACAGGCATTGTGACAAAACATGGGGATTCTGGAACATATATTGTGACATCACAAAGCGATAGAGTTTTAAAATACTACGGAGATGCCTAAACGAAAAAGGGTGATGACTATCGTAGATTTCAACTTGGGCTGCATGTGAGCAACCGTTCAAGGCCCGCAGCGACAACATGCAGCATCAGAAGTCACATTAAATGTATATTGACATGGAATGTGTTGACTTTTGAGTAAACGTTTCAGGCCTGATTAAGTGAAGAAATGTTATATGGCTCGCACGGAAATGCAATTGAAAATATGTATATTTTAGGGCTCTCTTGACCAAAAAGGTTCCCGACCCCTGGCCTATACAGTGTACCACAGTGGTTCCCAAACTTTTTAGAGTTGGAACCCACTATTTATAACCACAGCGTATGGCGACCCATCTCATGATTTTCTACTAATTTTATTTTTGATAAATGAACACAAAAGACCTCTTCCAAAAAAAAAAACATAGTGTTATTCTTCAAAAAAAAAAAATAATCTAAATCCTGACTAAATTTCGGGGAAACACGGTAAGAAGTGCTGTACAGTGTACAAAACTGCTATGCGTAAAAAAGCCACATGGTCATTCTTTGTGTAGCAACTTTTTGTTCCTTTGAGAAGATCGAAAAAAGGAAACTTTCACAGATTAGAATTTAAATTCAATTTAATTTCCTCTTGTTTTTTTGAAGATATACGTATTCGAGTCGCCACCGATCCTATTACCTTGTATAATTAATCAGAGCTTTCTACATCTTTTCACGACCCAATAACATTCCTTTTGCGACCCACTGGTGACCCATAGTTTGGGAACCACTGGTGTACCATATTTGTTGCTAAGAAAGAAATAGCACAGTATGGAGAAATGATTTGAATTTTAAGATATGAAAAAAGAATCTTCATTTACATATCATTGATCACATGTAATGAATCAATTATACATTTGACAACACCTACTCTTTCAATAGCCACACTGACACCAAAAGCACAATGCTTTTTAGTTGTTGTAGCATGTGATGCACCATCATTATCATGGGGTTTCAGAGCACCAACATGATTGAGTTGCGGAATCGATAAACGTTGAACAAGATCGTCATAACGACCACCAGCAGCGATAACTTCATTCATTATTTTCTTTTGTTTCCTTATTTCAGTTGACACCTAAATAATATAAAGCAAATTTAATGTAATATAATATTAGAACCATGATGTTGTCGAAAATAATAACTTTTTGTATGTGTGCTCATACCGGGGACGTGAAGTGAAAATTTTTAATTCTGACTCCAACTCCAAGTCGAAAAAATTTTGACCATGACTAACTCAGACTAAAACTAAAAAAACAACCAAAACACAAAAAAATACTAAATTTTGATAACAAAAACATTGCTCTATGCAAATTCTCTTTGATGATAACGCTGAGTAGACTTTGTTTTTTTAATTTCAGAAATAAATTTTGACTTTTATTATCATCATTGGAAAGAATAAATTTGGACTCCCCAACTCCCAACACAGGTGAATTCAAAATTTCGACTCTGACTTAAAGAATATTCAAAATTCGACCCCAGCTGGGGTATCACGATTGCAGAAACGAAAAATTTCAGACCTGCAAGGTTTAATAAAGTTATACCAATTTAGCATAGCTTGTGTAAATCATGAAATTGAGCATGAATATGATAACTCTCAAGTCTGAAGTAGAAATTTAATATTTTATAATGGTAATGTTACAATTTTAAACTACCAGAATCAGAACGAGACTTTTCAGAATGCTAAATTTTCTGTCTGTCCGAATCTGAGAATCTGTTTTTTTGGATGATTCGGATGGAACCACAGACAGAGAACACACTATCCATTAAGAATATTTATAGATTTTGTAAATATAATGATAACTTAAATAAAGTTGAATTGAATGTAGTTGAACTATGTATGTCTGAAGAAGTCTGACCTTGGTCAGACGAAACGTTACAGAAATATATTTGTGTTAGTGTGCAGCAAGACTCTTGAATCACTTTAAATAAAACCGCAACACATACCTGAAATATTACTCCCGAATATTGATGTAAGTTATGCACAAATCCAAGATGAACAACAACTGGCAATCGAACACCAAAAGCCTCTAAATTTTTTCTCAAAGCATCAAGTTCATGTAAACCCTGCAATGTGAATACGAAGCTTCATCAGAAATACAAGAAAATGTTTGAAAAGTCTTGAACTAACAATGGAAAGATCTCTGATATGCTTCAGGTTCCAAGACATTAAATATATAAGCATAGTAATTTGACTTTTGACATAAAATTTCCAACGAACTTAGAGTTAAACATTGAACATAATCAGTGATGGTTGGTATGTGATACAAATTAAAATATAACAAAAAATAAGTTTACCTACACTTACATGAAAAAAAAAATACTAATAAATAGAACAATTTCTCCTGTATTATAGTTACTTGGTGAATCTAGAATGCAGAAAAAATAGAGGACAATTATACAAATCGATTTTAACAAACCTGTCTAGCTAGTGATGAAATAGGTGACTGTTTATTTCTTGTTAGTGTTTTCAATAAAGTTTGAATCTTTGACAATGGACCTTGTTGACCAATGAATGAATACAATGTTGATATTTGTTGACTTGTGAGAGAAAGATCTAATAAACGAGCTTCCAGCTACAAGAAAAAAAAAGATTCAACTTTTTCATCAAAAAATATTATTATTGGAAGAATAACAATTAAAACTGATCAGTGTATTCATCAAAAAAACAAAAAAAAATTATCTGCATCAAATTGTCCCCTTTATCAAAGACAATTTTACTTAATTTAAAATTTTTAAAATCATAACTCAATATTTAGATCTAAAAGTAAATTTTCACACAGTACTTCACTCTGAACACAGCCATGTATACATGGTTACAAAAAGCACTGCACATTACATTAGAATAGAAACCTTTATCTCAGACTTTAGCGAGGTTCAAACCTGGGATATTTAACTTATGATACCAAATACAACATACTATGCACAAGGATGTTGTGTTCATTATTCTCACCCATCCACCTCACCCAGGGTGTAAAAAAATTGGGTAAGCAATGCAGAACCGGAAAGATTATGGTTCTACAAAATATTAGAAGCTTCTTTCATATCAGGGCATAGTGTGATATAAAAAAAAACAAATATATCAGTCATTTTTAAACAAACCTGTGTCTTATTCAGCTTTTCCATTTTGGCTTCAGTGAGCACTCGTTTTACTGAATCATATTTATTGATCGATATTCCAGAATAAGCAAATATAGCGAGTAACAATATGGTGTGATTGACAGTGATTTGATACGAACGCTTACCAAGTACCGGAAATGAAGATATGATTTCTGAAACTGCACAAATTCCTTCAGCATCAGGAATAAGACTGAAAAAAATGTAACTGAAAAGTGAACATGATTTATTTAAAAAAGTTGAAACCAAGTTTATGCAATGGCCTACGCTCATTACTTATAGGTATATATCAATATTCAATAGTTACTTATAATAAGGCTTTGTTTGGAACAAAGGCATGAATGGGCGTTGTGTAAAAAATGAAAAGATTGATCTTTGTAGTTCAAACTTCAGACCCGAATATATTAAGAAAACAGTCTGGTGTTGTGGAATAATGCCACACACTAAATATTTAGTTAGGGAACGAGGACAATCCCAATCCATTTATACAAGCAATAACTTGAAATTAATTCAATCGTCATTTAATTATATATTAATTAAGAAACACAATATATTGTTCTTTTTGAATAATTCGGTTTAAACTTTAGCCCAACATAAACTATTGTAATGGAGATAATTAATTGCCCATGATACATGAACTTGGATAGTGGAGAAAGGTAACCAGCGATTGGATGACACATTTTAAAACAGTAAAGGGTTCAGTAATCATCTCACAGATTATTATCACTCACAGAATTTGAACCTGCAAACCGACATAAGGTAGTAGTTACGATGGCAAGTGGCCCGAATTCTTAGCACGACTGTTTAGGCCATCATACATACAAATATAGGATGATAGGCATTTAAATATCTTCTTTTATTCTCGTATTATAGAACATAACTTCTAGAAAAAACATAACATTTTTGCAAAACTGAAACTATTGGGTGCAATCATACAAAAACAGAAATTCAAATGTTCAAGTGTTAAACAATTTCCTTCATTTTTGTCAAGTAACTAAAACCTTTATTGGCTCAGTGCCCATAACAGATGAAATCTCACGAATACATATTTTTGGCACATCCGAACATACATTACCGATATATTTGTGTACTCAACTCACCTACAGACAGTGGGAGTAACAATATCAAAAGCACATTCCCAAAGTTCTTTCGGATGAGAACGATGAATTTTTACTTTACGATAAACTTTCTCGATTGCATATCTTTTCAGACTGTATATTCCATTGCGACCAATGTATCTAGCAAACGGCACCTAAAATAATTTAACGAAAAATTAACAGAATATTATAAGTTATTTATAACAAGATTTTATTTGTTAGTGTAGAAAAGGCTGCATGCTGTAAATCTTTGTTGAAAAGAGCCGTTATTGAGGGAAGTACACAATTTTTTTCAATAGAGAGGATGTCACAGTTACTTTCCCATTAACTATGATGGGATCAAATTGAATTTTAACACAACATTTACCACAAAAAGCTTTGGCAGACTGTCATTTGACCATCTCTATTATAGTAGATCCGTAGTTGATATGCACATGAAGCTAAGAATTGAAAACATGCTTGCAATTTATCCTTCTTTATCCTAGCCTGTGTGCGTTAGAATACTATGGGGCAGGACTATGTGTGAGAAATGGGAATACTGCTAGTCTCCTTTCCATAGCAGGATCATTCAGGTTACAGTTATGATTAATGGCCCATTAAAATATATTATACTAAAAATGTAAAGAATTGTAGAAAACTCAAAAATAATAGTATTAATAAAAAAGATTTGAAACAGTAATGCCGCCAAAAAATACAGGCAGTATGTGAAATCACAGAATAATTTTTTCTGCTCCCTAAAGACATATCATAACTCACCCTTAAATCATATGGCAATGTCACAATAGCTCCACTTGTATCAATAAAAGTAGCAGCGGAAGGACCTTCCGATTCTCTCATTTGAGGTGCTTCATTCTCCTCATCCTCATCTTCTTCGATTTTTATTCGTTTTCTCGGAGTGAGAAGTGGTGGAGTGATTTTTACTGCACCGTGACGTTTCAATATTGTGATGACAGTGGAATGAACGTAATCTTGCATCAAGTGTTGCGCAGAAATATATTGGCCCTAAATCCAAAAAAATAAGTATTAGACATATATTTTAGAAGACAAACAGCTGGTGGAAGTGTGTAGATATTTCTTCAAGTAATCTTGAAACAAAGACATGTATAATCAATATTTTTATCAAGTTTAGAAAGCCCTAAAAATGGGCTCATGATCCTCATATGTTTCTTGAAAGCTCTATTCCCTATACCACAAACGTTTATAATTTTAGTTATTGGATTTACAACTATTTTCTAAAAAAACACCTAAAACTGACAAATACCACTCAAAACCACAAAAACATGGCAATGTTTACAGCCATGATTGAATATCTGCCTGAGTAGAAGAAGTGTCTGAGTGACTGCATAAATTGCAATTGATACATCATTGCTGATTGGTCATTGTTACGGTGATAAAAAAGGAAATTGATGCATATGAAAACATGCATTTCTTCTAATGTATAAGAGATGGATTCAATTATTGTTGTATCACAAACATGATCTATAATATAACAATGAATATATCCTTGAATGTGATGTTTGAGAAACACATTCATAGTATTACCTTGTGCAAATCAATGTCATAGAATATATCATCATTTCTATTATCGGGACGAGCAAAAAGTTCTTCCATCAATAATCTATGCGGTGCAGAATGTGGATCCTGAAGCGCTTGACGCACAGATTTGACAACGTAAGTTTTTTCCAACGCTGGACCTGGTACCAATGGACTCTACGCGTAAGTATAAGAAAGAGATTAATACAATTCAAATGAATTTATTACCTATTATTAGGAACTGCTACTTAAAATAAGATTTGTGATTAAATTAATCAAAATTGATCAAATTAAAATTCAGAGCCATTCAAAAAAGACTGCTGGTTAAAAATATTTTGATAATTCCAGCTGTGAGAATGCAAGCTTTCAGATTCTTAACATAGTGAGCTCCCAGGAGCTTTTTCATCAATTTTGATGAAAAACAGAACTCTTTTTAAGAAGTCACATGGCCAAAATCATCGAATCGCTTAAATTGAGGATTGAATTGATTAATTTCGCAGCAATCTATTTCTTTCATTCATAGCAATTTAGCATTCTCGATTGTATACCATAGTAGCAATCTTACTCGTAGAAGTTCGGCTGCAGTTGGTCGTTTATCAGAAGAGTGATTTAAACACCATTTAATAATCTGTGCTTCGTTATGCATTGCATGCATGTCATCAAAATCATCAGGAAACTTGATCTCTTCCTGTTATAAATATTATAAGTTATACAGAGAATATACAGTTATCACAAAGCTAGGTTAGTGACCTAAAATTAATAACTTTAAAGCTAATCCCTCATCTATATATGAACTGACTGGAGCAGAAACATTATGAGCGAACAAATTTCGACCCAATAATCAGATAACAGATAAAATTATCGATAAAAATAGATAAGTGAAATCTGATCATTTAGGTAAGGTTTTGAAGTGTTCAAAATTTAGATTAGAAGCTCTTGCCAAACAAAGTGGTGTGTGGACAAAACACTCAGAGTTTCTAGCCAAGTCATATTATATTTCACGAGCAACAATGAAGCACATAAATTAGCTCATAATCAACATTAAAGACTTTGTCTTGTGGTTGTGACAAGTCAATATTATCTAGAACAGATTTTCCCCAAGTGGGAATATCGCCCACAAATTGTTTGTAAAGAAACAAACGAAATGGTGATCATACCAGTCTCATGTTTCCCAAAACTTTAACTCTTTCCATTTTCGTCTGCAATCCAGCGTAACACATTTCAAAAAATATGATACCAAGACTATACATGTCAACTTTTTGATTATAAATTGTCCTGATAAAATAGAATTTAATAACAATGGAGAGGAGGTTTTATATGTCACAGAAAATAAAATTGGCATATGACAGCAAAGTCATTTCTCTCATACTATAACATATCATCCTTGTGGTTTGTTTGGTTTGAGATAACCACAGTTAAATATTTTGAATTTTTCGAACTTTCTAAACCGATAAAAAAGATAGGGCAAGGTCAACTATTTGGGTTTTCCAGGAAGCCACTTAGAATAGTCCGCTTGTGGCCACTTATTTTAATTGGGTCTTTAGACTCTTTATATGGGGCTAAGATTTAACCCATTCCACTTGTCCGACCAATCCCCACCCACAAAGTACACTGAAATCATTTCACAAAAACGAGAGACGAAACAAGACACAAAATCTCCCTTTCTCTCTGTGACAGATATACTAATCTCAAGAGCAGCTAGACACATTATCACAGCTAGCTGTTCAGAGAGAGAGAGCCAATGAAAAGCAACATGTAAGTGCTATATTAACAGGCCGGGTGCCTATTTGGTGCATGTCTTATTTTCCGAATTTTAGCTTCCGGCAAATCCTTGCATCACCTACTGTACATCATACATTATAAATCTCATATGATTCCAAGAATGTCCCTCATAAATGTTAAGTTTTGGTATAATCATTTTATCCTAGATGCATCAGATGCACCAATTTTTGACAACATCAAATTTTGTTGAATGACCAATTTACAATCAGAATAAAATAAAATACATTCTAGAGATAGTCCATTGTTATGAAATACTCAAAAACTTCAAAGTTAACATACCTTGAGCCTATTTTATTCAGTTCAGGAGCAACATATAAGGCAGTACCAACTCTACCAGTGAGAGCACTATCTCCACCTTCTGATTTTGAATTTGCAAGATCAAGTATGCTGGTTACCTCTGCAGCCTGAATAAAACATACCATTTTCCAGACTTATTAAAAAAACTTTAACTTGAGAATAGATTTTCAAAGTTGAGATCCTTTAACAAAGAATTATCTTCATAAAAGTCTGTATGAAACGACCCAGATCGCTGCGAAGATGTGACATATACGTGGACTCCTAATATAAGTATCACTCATTCGTATTGATAGAAGGAAATATTCAACAATACATAGAAATTTTATCCAGACATTCTTCATCCAAGCTAATAGGCTACCACAGCCCAGCAGATACTTAAGTACACATCGCTGAAAATATGCATATCTAGAAATGTCAGCTTGAAATATATTTTACAGTGGCCCTTGAATAAAGGTGGAGTTTTCATTACTTATCGATTTTAATCAGTAAGTATGTTGATAGGTATTTGTCTGTCTGTCTGTTAGATGCACGCGATATCTCACGAAAGCGAGATTGAATCTGCTCCAGATTTTGCATGTCCGTTTATCATATCTCGGACCAGAAGCCTATTGATTTTGGGCGAATTATGTCATATAATTAGCGAGTTATTATTCAATTAGTGATGGGACACAAGGTGTCACTATGAAGTAAGAGCGCTGTTTTGGGGGATCCCCTAACTTCTGATCGATGAGTCTTCGGTCTCTGACCAATATTCTCGTTTTACTGTTAACAGGACACACCATTATGCTGCCATTTGTTGTAAACCAGAATAAGTTTATGCTCGATTGTTCACCTTTATTTGAGGGCTTTAGTTTACTTTTAATTTGAAAATTTGCTTTTGGCAAACTGGCATAAAAATCACCAAGTCAAATTTTGGGTCATCATGATTCAATCATGAGTGGAGATTCAAATAAAAGAGTAATGTTTAAAATACAATGAAAAGCTCACTTCACGAGTGTGTGATGTTGCCAATCCAAAATCTCCGATTTTAATATGATTATACAGATCAAGAAATATATTCTGAGGTTTCAAGTCTCTGTGAATCATTCCTTGCTCATGTATGTGGACTAAACCATCCAATGTCTCTCTAAAATACAGCGAGAATTTTGAAGTAGAGTTAGTCAGTAACACAAAATTTCGCCAAGATTTGCCTTACGATATTCAAACCTAAATAGTTTCGCATAATGCAATACTTCCCATGTTCAATTTCAAAACTGACTATCAAATTTATTTAAATATGCCTCAAATAAGATATAAATGTGAATTTTTCCCAATGTTACTGTAATGTCCCAATTTTACTGTGATAAAGACAAAATGTACTAAAATACAATTTCAATTTCTCATGATTCCCAAAATATGACTAAATTCTTGAAGCCTTAAGATGGATTAGGAAAAAAACAAGTTACCTAAACAATTCCCACACTCTTGACTTATCATCCCATAAACCTTTGTCTATCGCTTCACGTAACGTACTTTTCTCACAATATTCCATCTACAAAATAAAATGATTTATCCAACATGTCAAACAGAAATGCATAGAATAACTATGACAGAACAGATCACTTGTCTCAAAGTCGAAATATAATTTTCACACATCCATGATTACAATAGATATTGTGTGATGGTATTAGTTCGTATGAATTTATTGACTTTGTGTATCAGATCAAAATTACAGCTCAATGCTCATTCTCTTCTGTCGCGCTGCTTTTTCTATACTAAAATATTGTCCTTCAAAGAGGATTGCTTAATATTAACAGCTACAATGTGGCAATATTGACTTTAATTTCCTTATTTCTCGGCCAGCTGATATGTCGATTATTTAATCGAATCTGATTAGATAATTGTTATTTTTTTCATTACCATTGCCGAAAAATAACCATAGAATGTTATAAAAAAAACAACAAAAACCAACCTGAATATACAGGTAACATTTTGGAATACTTCCAAGACTAGAATCAGTCGTTTCTGTATTTTGTTGATCATTGGTAGATGGTGAAGTTGGATGATTAGTTTTGTCTTTCCCATTTTCTCCTTCAAACATCACACTCTCTTCATCTTCAGATTCATATCTACATTTCACAACAAAAATGACAGTCAGCCTAAAAGTTCATACAATGTACTGTATTTATAAAACCTTTCGCTTTTTGATTTTAAATCCTCTCTTCTTTGAAATTCTGGCCGCGTCCCTGATTACCTCAATATATTGTTGAAAACATCTTCTTCCTCCTCATCATCATCATCTTCATCTTGATTAAAACTATAATTCCCGACAGATTCCCAATCAGAAAAACTATGTCCTACAGGTGGAGGTGCATGCTGTTCAACATCATCTACAATCGAAAGGAAAACCCCAATATGAAATTGGATTTTAAATGGAGAAATGGAGAAAGATTGAGTACTTCTACCACATATAGAGACTTGCAACATGAATCATGATGTCATCAATTTAATATTCTTATATAAAGTTAAATATCAAATACATATTGGAAAAACCACGATTTCCAAACGTTTTTTATACTCCTTTCCCTCGATACAAGGCTCTGCACGAGCAGTTAGTGCTAGGAAAGAAGTTACTTCACTTTGGAAGGACTGGAATCATTCAGGTTCATCATTGACTACAAAATTTGATACAATCTGCGTGAGGTGGTGGGCATGGGATTCGAATCCGAAATTTTAGTAGAGTCTAACATGATAACCGCATCCACAAAATAGATGGATATGATTGTTGGAACTTACCCATCAATCCCAATGAATTAACGTAGTTATTGAGATCGCTTGTTTTAGATGTTGTATTTATACTTGATGTTGTTTCTGACGAATTAGAATCTGGGTTCAATAATGTTTCGATCCATGAATTGTAGTATCTAAGATGAATGAATTTAACAAAGAAAAAAAATTAAGAAAGTGCTTTGCCTTCTTGGGAGGAATACTTTGATAATATTACTGTAAAGTGATTTCGTTGCGTTTAACATCTTTTTTTTTCTATACAGGCATTGAAGTAAATGCATCAGTCAAAGTGCAGGCATAGGTATATAACACACATATTCGAGACATAATGAGATTCGTTTGGGCAGATATGCCAAGGTGCATATTCAGGCAATATCAATGCGATGGTGCGAAGATGGTGCCTTTTAACAATATCCAATGATAATTTCAATAAGAATAATAAAATTTCAAGTTTTAATATCACATCTTGCATTTTTAAGTTTTAGGTAGGAGTATAGAAGTAAAACATGAAAGAATGACAAAAACGCATATAAAGAAGTAATATAGAAATAAAAAATAATTAAAAAAGTTTCCATTTTACCTGACAACATTTTCATGATTTAGTCTCGACAAATGTTTTACTTCTCTCTTGATTTTCTTATTAAATTGAGCATTTCTTGGATCAAGAAGAATACGCTTAATAGCATAATAACGGCCATCAAGCTTGTTTCGAACCTAAGAGCATAACAAGACGATATAAATATAATCCCCATAACCCTATTGAATTGAATTCTATCTGCGGAGACGCCGCGGAGCAAAATGAAAAATGAGAAATATCAAACTAGTTCAAGCTACACTGATGGGTTTAATTGAAGTTGTTGCTCTATCTCTGTTTACGTTTGGGAAAGTTTACATATGACTCCTGACTTCGGGTTGTGAAAAAATTTGACTGACTAAGAGTTGAGAAGAATTTCGACGCCGGACATCAAAAATCAATTTTTGAAAAAATAAATAATAGCGTATGCAAGCCCTGTAATAGACTGTTAAAGCAAACTTTTTGAGTTTCTGGAGAAAATTTCAACTTTTATTATTACCTTCGAAAAATGAATTTCTAACTCCAGAACCAGTGAAAACAAGCTTGCATGTTTCATCCCATATTTGCGCATGTATTATAGACCTCTCCATTTTGTAATTCAAAGTTGATAACTAGAATTTTTTTTCCGAAATACAGTAAGAGCCTGACATGCCTGCGGAACTCTGTGTTAGATAGTAATGCCACCAACCTGAACAACATCACCGAATCCACCTTTACCCAACCATTGTAGTTCTTCAAATTCTGAATGAATTCTTGACAACATAGTAGGAGGAATAGGATAAGTGGTGAGATCATCATTGAGTTGATCAAAATATGAATCGTTGTTTGGAGATGGAATATTTTCATCTAAACCATTCTTATGATCGAAACCTATTTCCAAATTTTCACTGATGCTCGGCTACAAAAATAGTAATAGAAATAATTATAATGTAATTTTGAGGTTGTTAAAGATTTATTGGCACGTGTGTAAACTAGTACATTTTTATCTTTATGAGTAAATATTTTTGAAAGCGGTCAATGTGCTAGAATACAATTGCTATTCATGGGTGGAGACATGGTAGGGTGGCCTCTCGTCCCGTTACCAGTTCATGTCGGGTATAGAATTAGTCAGTTATCTGGTTCAGGTGCATAGTCTTTGTGGTGAAAAAAGGTCGTTACCGATCAGCATTTACATGAATCACCTTATGGAAGTGAGGAGTCAGTTCAGCTACTGACTTGCATACAATTAACCCCACATAAGATTACAACCCGCAAACCCGTGAAGGGTAATTAGAGGTGCGATAGCATACGTATTCCTAACACTTAGCATGATGCACCATCTGTGCCTTCAGTGATTTCAGGAGGAAATAAACACTTCAATTTTTACCTTAAGAAAATTGTGATCAAGTAATTCAGAAGCTGTCATTCTTAATCTATCTTCGACTGCTAAACATTTGTTCAAAAAATCTTGAAATACTGATGGCAACTTATTCGGAATATCAGGAGGATACTCCTTAATATGTTGTCCTTGCACCAAAGATAAGATGAGCATTCCCTGAACGAAAACAGATGAGCAGATGATAATTATAACAGATTAAAGATATAAATAAACAAATTGTAGCTCTGATATCCTCCATCATGGTAAACATTATAAAGCAGACTAGATAGTGAAAATACATCTAATGAAATGAGTCTATGTTCCAGATTGTTAGTAAAATTGTTTTGTCATAAACAACTTATCAACTCAAGTAAAAACAAGCAAAAACACAAAAGCAAATGATATAGTTTATTTAATGTTCTATTGCCCGAATAAAATAATTCTGTCATAATCATATCATTTTCTCATTACTAGTTGTGCGTGAAAAAAATCTTACCAATTTCAGAATGTCTCCCTTTTTACTATTTCTAGCAGGAATTGGGTCATCTATAAATGTTACACCTGGCTGTTCAATATGAGATTCTTTGTATAAGTCAGCAAGTCTGTAAACAGAAAATTAAAATAAACCAGAATCTTCACAACTCCTGCCTCAAAACGCACAAAGTATACAAGCAATTTGCAAATTTTTACAAACGCCAGAAGTAAAATATAAGCAGGATGCAAGAATTTCTTTAATATAATATCCTAGACATGAAAAGTGATTTTAAGAAAAGAACAAAATCATAAAATCGAAATCATGTGATGGCAAACTTGCTGAAGATAAATTAGTTTCCCTACTTGTCAATGAATGAATCTTTTAAATTTTCATTATGGAGTTAACTTTTGCCATTTACTATAACGTCAGATAATCTATATAAAGTTTATATCTGTAGAAGAGTTTGAAGCAACAATTATTCTACCATGCACTCCAAAAGCAGTAAATTTATTTATCTGAACACCGGCAACTTAGAAGATTTGGTAGGATACTGAATTGTATGAAAATCCTTAACTAAAGTATATAAAATAAAAATACCATATAGTGAGTCTAACCTTTTTTCAATACTATAGTCAGTTAACCGGACCATGCCTCTAGAATCGAGAGTCACACTAGAAGCCTGCAGCAAAACAATAGTTTTCTTTTTCTTTCAATTCACCAAGAATGGATGAAAAAATTCAAAAAGCACAAAATTTTGAAACAATATATGATAACTACTTAACACGATAAATGTAACGCACATCTTAAAATCGTACCAACCGAATGGATATGCTGATGTGTGAAATCAATTTATATATATTCTAACAGCGCATCAAGCTTGCATCAAATTATTTGCTGTAAGCAGTAAAACGAGTCTATATTATATTATTGAAGGAATGGTTATTTGAGGAGTTTGAAAATAATGATATTTGATATTGAAGGACCAGGGTTTTAAACATAGATGCTACATTGCAACTATACTCTAAAAAATATCCCAACTGATACATAGGATATGACACTTTTATTTTTTTACATTTTGTATATAGAGAAATAAAACAACGACAATGTCGGTCAGAGACCGAAGACTCATCGACCGAAAGTTAGGGGATCCCCCAAATCACTAATTAATTAATAACTCTCTAATTATCCGACTTAATTCATCCAAAATCAATAGGCTTCTGGTCCGACATATGATGAATGCACATGCAAAATATGGAGCAGATTCAATCTCGCTTTCGTGAGATATCGCGTGCATCTAACAGACAGACAAACAGACAAATACCTATCAACATACTTACCGATTAAAATCGATAAGTAATGAGTATACCTTCAAATTTTTATGCACTACTGAATGTGAGTGAAGATAATCCAATGCATTTAACAGTTGTTCAGTGATCACTCTTACTTCGCTCAATGAAACTGATTCGCTACTGAAAATTTTTGATTCAAGATTTGTACCTGAAAATGTTAAATAGAAAAAAGAAATATCACCCCTCTAGATCCAGTTTTCCAGTTGATATATATATAGAAAGTTAAAATGAAATCAAAATACCAAAATGATGTAGTATGAGAAAATAAGTGATGCCAGAAAATTACCTAAGCTCTTATAATTATAGTGATAAGCCCCAAATAATGAAATCAAGCATGTTGATATTCAAACTATTAATATTAACAAAAGTCAGTATCATTCATTTATATTCAAAGTTATGAAAGGCGGCCGAAAGTGTAGTGGAAATGGAATTACTTACTTTGCCTTCTCAATTTGAATTAGCTGTTATTAGAAATGATATTTTCTGGTTTCAGTCTAATTAAAAATTTGTGGCAATTACAGACAACATAATACTAATTCACAATTTTCTCAAAAATATAAAATGACAAAAAATTTGAGTCATTGTACAAAAAACAAACTCCAAAACTCCAAATTAATGACAGACTGTGCAATAAAATTGACAGTCAAATTCAAAATTCATAATATAACAGATCTAATATTATCAAATCTAGGAGTGGCGATAAATGATGACGATAAAAATTTAGCTTGGTGTTAGGCAGGTGGGTATAATCACAATTGCCATGATAAATCATATATTTTACCTGCAACAAATTCTTGTAAAACATCAACCTGTATATGTTCAACTTCTTCAATATAACGGATTGCACAATAGCTGACCAGATTTGCGTGATTCAATTTAAGCAACGAATGCAACTCCTAAAAATTGTACACTATTAACTATTTTATCATGGAAACCTTGGCAATAAAGCCCACTGATAACGAAGCTAGGCTGTTTTTTTTATCTCATTCGCAGATACATCAAATTGCTTTATTTAAAATCATGAACTGCAATGCAAATTGGAGTCACTGCTTCAGAAGAAATCTTGCTTGAATCATATTTGAATTAGAATTAGAATAGTCTTCAACATCGCAGCAATAAATATGTCTTTCAATAATTTCAAAACAAATTATTAGTATTGAAAATTATTTTTGCTGAAAATCATATTGTGATTTCATGTGAAGAAACCAAATTCAAAGTGGTTTAAATGTGGTAACCTTCGCAAGTCCGCAAATTTTTTATTTACTAAAAGAATGAGTTTAATTGAAAAACTTACATGTTCAACTCCCTTGATTATTTTCAAATATTTTGAAACTTTCGCTTGTTCAGCATTTGTTAAATATTTCTTTCGAGCAGGGCATGGTATTGTCCACTCATGGATAGCAAAAGGATTTCCCGATTCTTTATCAATACCAATATGAACAACACACCCACTTGGCAATTTATCTTTAAAAGAATAACTATAATCATAAAACATGATATAAACAGAAATATTGACAATATTTTCATTGATATCGAGCATAGATATTTAAATCAACGGAATTTCTCAATTTCGATCAAAACAGTAAAAGTTTAGTAGTATATATAAACAAAACTAGTAAAACACACACATTATCAAGTTTCCAATAATTTTTAAAAAAAGAAAAAAGCATATCCAGTCAAAAACAGACAGCCCCAACTTTAATAACTATCGAGGACAAAATAATAACTTTAAACCCTACCCTAAAAATATTATCACATACCCTAAAAAAAATTTCGTTTCACATATATCCATTGTCAATTGTTATTTCTGGCGCATAACCATCATAATTCTATAACACTTTCAAATTTACTCAGGAGAGATGATAAAAGTTATATGAAGAAAATAAACATACCAACACATTTTCCTCTGTATACAAATCTCTGGGACTTGGTGTTGAATTCAATGAGGGAAACGGGTATAGAAGGACTTGCATTGATATCGAATCCTGTACTTCCTGTTGAATCCAAGTGTTCCCTTTCTGAAAAAAGTTAAATAATGCCTTAATAAATGGAAAAATTGCGAACATTAACCAGGATATGTATGAATTTATATCTTGTATCCTAAATTCCATAAATAACCTGTTTTTGGTAAGCATAATATAAAAGGACACCATTATTTATTGTGATCAGTGTTCACTATTAGCGCACTTTTTTGCGAAAATTGCGAAGCACTTTCGCAACTTTTTTTAGGGACTGCGAAATAGCACTTTTTTCCGATTTTGAAGAGAAATAGCACTTTTTTCTGATTTCGAATGGAATAAAAATTCAAAGTTAACAAATATTTTTGAGTATTAAGTTGACAAATAAGTAACATACTAGTACTTTTGTAACTCAATTCTGCATATCATAACGATATTTACCGGAATTCTAACCTATGAGATGCAGACATAGGAGATAAAGCTTTTGCATTAACGGCAAAATTCTTGTTTATAATATGATTATTATACAAGCACACCGATTACGCTTCTCCCGCAAAAAACGTTCCCGGTGATGGAAACCAGATGTTGAAATAATACGCAGTGCGTTTCTCTGAACGAGAGTGGTCATGTGACTATCAATGATATCGATGAATTCAAAATGACTATAAAAGTGTTATGTGTTATAGTCACTTTGGATGAATTGTGACCAAACTGCACGATTTTCAAATCAGACGAAACTTTTAGCAGCATGTCACAGATTTGCAAAATCACCAAATTCACAAAATACCATTAAGTGCCATTTTATTGTAATCACAATGTTGAAAGGACGTGGCATTTTCCGGAATTTTGCGATATTTACACAACAATTTCTCATTGATATGCGAGGTTGGGTGGGCAAAATTCAATATTTTTTTGAATCGAATATTTTTAAGGAGTTCCGAATAAACGTGGTGAAAACATTAAAAAATCGGCAACAAAGCCTTTTTACTGGTTAATTCCGTTGTAATCGCTAATTGTTCTTGTCACCGATCGTTTTGGCGGCGATATCCAGGTTTTGGGTAATCTATATTCCCGCCCTCTCTTTTTTACAAATATGAATTCTTGTGGGTCGGCGGACATCGAAGTTTTATATTTCGGGTTTACCCGTTCGTTCACATCGGCAACAGCTGTTGAAGACATTGAGGACTCAAATTAACATTTGTGTTGGCTTTAATATTACCTATCAAGATTTGTAAATTTACCGTCCTAATTTTATGCGAATGGTAATATTATTGTCCATACCGTGATGCAGATATTTATTAAGACGATAATTAACTTTCTCATGTATTTCTATGGTGATAAACTTCGCAAGTCTGAAATTGTGCCAATCCTGAATGTTGATTTAAAATAGTGATTGAATAATTCGGCAATAAAGGCATTTCTGCGTGGTCATAAGACGAGATGACGTCAATGAACAGCACTTCTTTTACAGGATATTTTACATATGCGACTTAATGCTAAAAAGATTGGGCTCGAGTGCTTTTGTGCCTAATAGAGGTCAGGCGCTAATTGTAACTAATTCCCCCCAAGTTTCAACGTTTTTTCAACAAAACAATACCCCGGCGATAATTATAGCTGAAATGTTACCGAGCAATTCACAATTTTATTTATGGAATTTGCAAATTCACCAGTTTCTTGACGATTTTGATATTGTCACGCCCTAATTATTAGTGCAAAAAGTACTCCCCTTCTTCCGCGGCGGTTTGACGGGTTCTTTGTTCCATTCTTCAGGAAGTTCTGACACGGGGATATAGAATACTGAATCCGGAGGGTTGAATCCCTGTCCACTTACTGGTGATTTTCCGTTTTGAAATGCGTGAAACATTCTCTATTTTAAATTAAATGACGTTTCGCGGGCTAGAGTTCTCCCCGAAAATGATGTGTTCCAGACGTTAGTTAGACGATAGATAAAACATTAGATTAATAATTTTCGCGACGCTCCGTTTTCGAAAATACAAAGTTATATCGCAAAAAATGTGTTATGATACATTTGGAATGAAACATTATTTACGGTTAATTCAGATCATATTTTACTCTTCATGACACCCGGTATCCGAAAAAACAGTTGTATCTCGAAAAATGTGTTTTGTTACATTTAAAATAAAACCTTTTTGCAATTAATTTAGATCAAATTTTACCTTTCACGGCAACCCGTTTCCGAAAATACAAAGTTATATCACAAAAAAATGCGTTTTGTTACATTTATTTTGCATTCCCAATAAAATACATATTTTCCTTAATTAAGGTCGTCGATGAATCTGTTCCTGTCGTTCAAGCTCGACACACGTTTGGACGAGTGTGGGGCGGTTTTTTGGTCGACGATAAATTAAAAAGTTGCCACACGTTAATAACTGAAAATTAAGATTTTTTAATAGAAGTGAATTTGTCTCAAGATGGTATTTTACGATTCCTGCCCACAGAAAATAAACACGCTGACAGGCTTGGTTATAATTAATATTCGTTTAATTTATTTTACACTATTAATAAACGCGCCACACCAATTGCGACCATATAAATTGCAGTCGCATCGGTATGGACTGTATGTTTTTGGCGCTCTCACATTAATAATAATTTTCAACAAAACAATATCCCGACGGTCATTAAAGCTGAATTCGTTACCGAATAATTCACAATTTTATTTACGGAATTTGCAATTTCAAGATCTCACTTGACGATTTTGATGATGTCATGCCCTAATTATTACTGCTTAAATGCCTCAAAATACAACAAATGTAATCATTTTCGACGATAACAGGCGCAACAATTCGTAAACGAGCCGTTATAACGAAACTCGCGATTGATTTTACCTCTCTCTTGTTTACAATTTTAACATCCCGCCGGCCATGTATGGTCGAATAAAATGTTCACATATTCGAAACATGACTTGGCCAAGGATGGAAGGGATCACTAAAGAGCTAATAGAAAGTACATACGCGAGGGTATGGTATTAATATCGAGAATATTTGTGAGCATATCACAGGACGGAAATATTTTGCACCCGGCTGTTTGTTGGCAGAACAACGATACCCTAAAGTTAATGGATCCAATACAGGGAAGTATTTATTTATCATCTCACTTGCGAACATCGAGGTTTTGGCGGAATTGTACGATCATGTTGTCTTTCTTAAATAATAACTTTTTCAATAAATGTTCATTTTTCTTTTGCGTCTTTATTATATGTCGGGTTTTCATTTATTTTAAATTCGAAATTGTCCGAAATACTCCAACAGGTGTATAAGTACAATAATAATAGTACTTACCAGGGAAGTTTAATACACACGATGTGTAAAGGGCGTCGTAACTCCCGTTTATTAGTTATAAATTTTTTTACATTCTGCTTAAAAAACAACGCACGTAACTCTCGCGACCAAATCTTTTTGTTTTGTATGGCACCGTCTTGGCGACGAATTTATTGCCGACTGAATTTTAATTGTGTTTTAGGATAAGTTATTTTCTGTTTGTTGGTTTCTAAACTTCACAAACTTGGGTAGCAATAGCAATTACTATTAATGTGAAATTTGTGCATATAAACGATTGAATATCGCGACTGGATGTCCGATATCTGATAATGCGTAATTCTCTTTCAACATTAATTTTCAGGATATCAGCGGTCATGTGGTCGAATAAAAATTATTTATCAAATGGATTGGTATTTCGAGACACTCTCAAAATTATTTGGGACCACTATCATTTCATTCGTTTATTTTTTATATTCATGTTTTTCTCAAGAATCACCCTCGTTATATTTAGTGTACCTTCGCAAAAGAAAACTCTTTGGTGTCATCGTTCCTATTAGTGTAATTGAAATATATGGAAACCTCGCAAGTGGCGTTGTGATGCGAATATTTGATACTAGGTCAGCAGCATTACAAAGAGTGCTATTTATGAATGCTGAAAGTACATGGCATTACTAAACATTTTGCCAATATATGATGTTTTCTGCCCGATTTAAACTAACTCGCACGCAAACCAAGGCATGTCGACATTTAAAAATTACTTGTCTTTGGGTGAGCTCTGAAATAGTATGATATAAATGTAAATGAGAAATTAGGTCACGCTAGCTCACGAAACGGGAGGATTTTCAAAGTGATCTTGTGTAATATTTCGGAGAAAAAAGTTTGAAAGGAAAGTAGGTCAACCTATCTCCTAAAACAGGGGAGTATCTTGCGATAATATTTCGGAGGGAACGTAGGTTAACCTATCTTTTAAAGCAGTGGGTGGCGACTTTCAAAGTGGTTCAAAATCACAAATTAATAATTATCAGATTAGGTTTAGGGGTAAATCTAAAAGTTGAATTTCCAGCGCACCTAACCCTAATTAGTTGATTGCTATTTATATTTGGAGGGGGGGGGGGGGTTATTTTGCACGGGATTTGTACAAACGATCTACCCTGTAACTAATATGGTTTCCAGCCTGCCTCGTGTCTGTTAGATGGAAGGAGTAACAAATGTGAAGTCTTTGCTGTTTACGCGAGTAAGCAACTGACACCGTGATACATTGCATGAAAGTTTTGTCGGGGCAGGTGTTAGCAGATGTCATTTCGTTGCCGATGAATTCGCTTGTTTTAATTAAACATGAATTCGCTTGAAGGGAACTCGGAAAAGGCTTCTCTTTAATTCATAATATTAACCGGAGGAGCGCTTTTTCGAGTATCTATGCGGTTTTAAATGGGTCATATGAAAGGCTAGGGCACCTAACTTGTTAAAATCGGCAAAAGCACTTTCGCACTTTTTTTTCCGACTGCGAAGCACTTTCGCACTCATAATTTGCTTAGAGTTAACACTGATTGTGATCATAACTTATCTAAAAATTCATATAAATCAAATTCGTCATTACAAATAAATAATAAGTTTATTTAATCTTCAATTACTCTCATTTAGGAAATATCTAAAACACTTGTTGTAATAATATTTCGTTCAAAGGGGTAAGTTTTTTTGCAGAAACACTTTAAATCAGGGTAATATATTTAGTGACAACTGCAAGTGGCGCTCCAGAAATGTGTGTACCAATATAAAGGTAACTAATTTAGTTCGCCTACTTTACACCAAGTTGTGTAAAGGGACGGAAGCCTATGGGCAGGGGGTATACACTGCGAGCAATAAGACCATTGATTGATTCCACTTAAAAATTTGATTAATCATTCCCATCTTGAGATTTGAAATAGAACATAGCGTTGCTATTGCTCACCCCCACTGCTATCATGGCTTTTATCTCTCTTTTTCACTTTATCTTTTTTCAGCTGATTTCTTCTTCTTTTCTTCTGTTTATTCTTCTTCAATTTCTTTTCGCTATTGACCAATTAAAAAAGTCATAAAATACTGATATTTAATAATATCAGGGTAACATTGGATAGGATATAATCAAGGTATATGATAATCCTTATATAGATATGAGACAAATAATTTTTCTATCAGGAGATGCAGCCGAGTAGAATATTCCCATAGGTATACACAATTTAAATATGTAGGACATGTTACAGTATCTCAAATATATTCATGTTTTGACTGTAATCCATTTCAATATGAATAATTGGTTTCATCAATGTGAATTCAACAAGTGAGCCGATTGATATGAAATGTAATTTAAGAAATTGGAATCCTGATACTGAAGAATGGAAATGTTCACAAATGAACCATATAAGTTATAATTTACCGTCTAAGTCTAAGTTAATTACAACAAAATACTCTAATGAGGTAAATAGAAAATAACACAAAATATGTTAAACATGATAGAATGCACATTACGTTGCCAACAGAATATTTGCTAAAAAAGAGAATAAAATATGCCAACATAATTACTAATTTTGCTGGTAATTTAATCGAATTAAAAAATAATTATTATCATCATTTTTTAAATTTAATTAAACAAACCACAGTACAGCAAAAGGAAACGAAATATTTTGACAATATACTTGATAATCTTGTTTTCTCCTTTGAAGTTCTTCAAGTTTTCTTTTCTCTTTTGCTTTCTGTTCATTTTTAAATTTCATATTCTCTTCATAAATAGAAAAGTGCTGGTCTATTATATTCATGTAATAGTTCCTGGATGAAAAATCCATTGCTTAATATAGGAAGAAATTCTTAATAGTTCAACTGTATAGGCAGCCAGTAAAATTGATTTCTATACAAATAACAGTGCTATTGTAGACTAAACAGTTATTCAAAAAGTGGGTAACAGTGCCCCCTGTGGGTCGAACTGGATACAATGGGGAAAAACAGAGGGGGCAATGGATCATTCTCGAAAAGTTAGAATTATTGTGGATTGCACTTTGCAAAATCAGGAAAATCCAAATATTAGGAAAACTTGTAAAGATCACAAAGCTCATCTACCTCATTGAAAATACCACCTACCATAATTACGGTAATATACTTGTTTAATTAATTTGTAATTAGTCAGTTAATAACGTTTATATGTTTTTTGTAATGTCTGAGAGCGATGGTGATGATGTATAGAGTGCTGTAAAGGCGCGATGACAGAAAAAAGTTTGAGAACGGACTAAACAATATTACAAATCCTTCACTGATTTGATATTTAATAATCAAAACAGGCGTATGCACACTTTCATTATTATTAGAGTGAATTCATTACTTACTTCAGTTGCAAAATCTGCACACAGGAAATATAACTTTCGACTAACTGAAACTATGTGTTAAACTCAAACATGAATGCATTGCATGCTGCTTAATTCCGTCATGATATGCAGTCAATTTCAAAATGAAAATAGTAGGCTATGCTTTTTTAACAGGTTCCCAATGACTTTGCCTGTACCCTTTTTTTATTTGCAAAGATAAATAAAATGGAAATAATATTGATCGAAGCGAAGTAATATTGTATTCATTTGAGCAAGATCCAAAATCATGACTTCATCAACAGAATTTGCAGCTTTGTCATTCAATTCTTGAATAAAAATTTTTTCAGAACATCATCAGATAATCCTTTAGCATCTTCTAATGAAATCTCAGGAGGTCTGCATTAAAAAAATATCATGAACAACCAATTCAAGAAAACAAACATACAAACTCTATACTGTATACTGTAATATGTCAACACAAATCCCTGTATACAAATATATTTATATATCGTAAATACTAATTATCAATCCCAAAAAAAATTTTTGGATAAGAATGTGAAAAAAAAATGTATCCACCAGTTAAACACTCCAATTTAACAACAACAGATGATTAAAAAATGTAATTTTTCAACGATGCACAACAAATCAGTTCATAAAACTCCATCACAAAATTAACAATTAACATAATAAAATGTCCAGGTGTTCTCTATACCAGATATGCGAAATCTTTCATATAAAATGCGAAATTACGTGGATGGGTAATTCTTTGCAAATTTTGCTCGAAATGTTACAGATTGCATGAACTTCTTTTGTTCCTCCCATGCTCTCCAGAGGTTTTAGATGCCAGAAGGATTTCGTGGAGGTCGAGGTACCTGGATTATAAGAGGGAATTTATATTTGAAACGAAAGTGGATAAAAATATGAATTAACAAAATGATATAGCCTATTTAAAAATGACATTCAAAGAAATGACGAAAGTGTCAATAAGAATATATGGAATAAAATGAAATGGTAGAAGCTATATTCATCTAAAACAGGGGTCACCAAACTACGGCCTTTCATCCGGCCTGTAATAACATGAAAAAATGGCGCATTTTTTTCCAAGCAATGTTTCCCCGAGCATCGACTTCCTTGTTTATTTCGTAACATTGGCCAATTAGCAAGATGCAAAACGTGACCTAAAGATAGACCTTTTCGCATCCGCTCCAGATTTGCAGTTGTGGTTTCAAATAACATCTTGTTTTCGCGATTTTGAATGCTATTCGTTAGTTTTTGGTCATGATTCAGAAATTTACCTATAAAGCAAATAAGTCAATAATCATTTTCCTTCTTAAGAGTTGTAGTTTAATCGCAGTAATCAAAAATTGTCTAGAAATAACTGTGATAAAATAGGCCAAAATTCTATACGGGAACGCAGCGTTTCAGCGAAGGATGCACTCGTACACTCGTGACGCGTGCTGTCGACGAAACTGTTGTGTACGTTTCTTGTGCTAAAATAAACGTTGAACGTAAATATTGTGTCACATTAACTTTTGTACTGCTTACATGCGGATATTCATGACAGCAATTGTTATGTTAACAGCTAACCTCCGGATAATTGTTAGACATATTGTATATTTGCTTTGCTATGATGTTCTTGATCTATATTCTGCGATATAGAATTTAATATTCAAGACTTCAGAAATGTAGAATTTATATTATTGAATAAATTGTATGGATTTTTCAACTTTCGGAAATTTATTGTATTACATTGAAAAAAATATTTGTCCGGCCCATTTCAACACAGTTTGAGTCATACCTGGCCCGCGGTCAAAATAGTTTGGCAACCCCTGATCTAAAATATAGCTCAAAACAATTCACACATTGATCATTCCATACAGTATTATAAACCATAAATGTCAAAATTAATTTTTACATAAATATAAAATATATTTTCGGTTTCAAACATGATTATTCATGTAAAATTGTTACCTTCCACTTATCTTTTTTTCTGACATCTTCGAAATCATCCCCAAACATTGAATCAAGAACCTCCAATTCTTCTTCTTGCCTTTTGGAAAATGAATCATTTGCATTTTCTTCCATCATGCTCACATTTTGTTCTTTACAGAATTTCTCAATAAGTTCAATAAGTCAAAAATCAGGCAGAGATATATTCAGTACTTTTCAAATATTTCTGTATATATAACTTTATAATAACCTTGGGTTAATAATGTTATTTGTAAAAAAAAAACTTAGTACGCTACTGTCAGACAGTTTGACTGTGCTAATACTGTAACACAGTGATAGCGCAAACTCGACTCATCATTATAAACAACTTTGCAGCTGCAAACCCCACTGTTCTGTGCAAATATTATGTATATTGATGGTCACGAGGTCATGACTGCAAATATGCACTGTGCGATCATGATGCGGTAGTTAGTCGTTGCTGCGATCTAAAAGATCTATCGATATTTTAGGGGAATATTTATAACTAAGTTTTATAAACAGAATTCTATTTTATTTTATTGAGGTATTATAAACGTCCAAAATACGAGTTTGAGTTAGGTTTAAAATGGTTTTGGGCGTATTATATATACGCCTTATTTTGAGGCAGTCATGAAGATTCCCTATTTTAAAAAACATACCGAACGTATAGCTCTATTCTGGACTTTTTCCCCGAGCATTCGATTCCTTGTTCACTTTCGTGACATTGGCCTATCAGCAAGATGCAAAAAGTGACGTAACAATGCATCCTTTTCGCGTCCGCTCAGACACTTTTTTCAACTCAGACAGATTTTTTAAGCGTGGTCGTAAACATTACCTCTTCTTTCGCGTTATGAAATTTTATTCGTTAATTTTCAGCTGTGTTTTTAAAAACTTAAATATTATTCAGATAATTCAATGATCACTCTGTCTTCCTAGGAATTTTAGTTTGATTGCAGCAATGACTAAAACAACTTAATCAAGTTTAATGTCATTGATTGCAGTAATAAAAAATTAGTGTAGCTCAACGATAACATACCGGTGTAGCTGTGATAGACTGGGCTAAAAAAAATTTACCGGTTCTTTTAAAAAAACAGAATGTTGTATGCGAGGAATCATAATGATGGTTTGAATCACATACCCCATTTTACAGGCGCCGACTCGCGAAAGCACTTATAAAATACCCCCGAACATTTTGCCAAATGGTAAAGTATAGAAAGAATTTTTCGGGGTCAAAGGTCGGGGGAAGTAGCTATATCTTATATATAAAGTTTTCTTATGTATGTCACTATGTAAGATATGTAAGACATATATACAAGCTACAAGATATATTAAAACAATCTTCATGTGTTTTTCATTTAATGTTTATTTAACATTGACCCAAACATGTTAATAAAATTGTTATTCTTTGGCTAATTGAGCCGGACCAAAGCGAAATTAAAAAGAATAATTAAAAGCTTGAAAATACATAAACGGAGGCAATTTTTTTAAGAGCGGAAAATTATCAACACAGTACTATAATTATCGGGCAAAACGACGTTGGAATGAAATAACGGACAATCAGCATCTTTTCTAAATGCTAAAAAGAAAAAAGAACCAAAAAGCTTAATTAAAGGGTTGTCTTTGGAAATAAAGGACAGTTGGCAACCCTTTTGGTTCTTACTTAACGTCTGAAGCAAAACAACAAAAACGAGTTCGCTGATTATCACGATTTTCCGAAAACATACTAAAAGTGCGAACCAACCTGAATCCCACCACTGGTTTTAAGTATGTACAGAATTACGTATTTTAAAAACGTTTCGTTTTAGATGTTGGGGACTAGATCAGCCGTGCAAACAAATGGAAAGCAAAATTAGGAATTGGTTGACCATGGTAATCGCCTATACATGGGCAGTGAAAGAATATATTCGAATTTACGCTCGCCTACTTTTTTACATTGTGACCTATCTTACTAATATTAGATGAATTCGAAAAAAATGTTGGAAGGTCATACATAAGTTTTGAATGGGTATTAGTCATAATAGCATAAGATTTTATGAGAATTGTTTGTCAACAGACAATAAAGAGCTTTGGAAGATTGCATCTTGTTTGTCCAACAGCATGAAAGTTCACTTTGTTCAGATATTTTTCCTACTATCGGTAATACAAAAATCAGTAAAATTAAAACGTATTGTTTAGTAAATTGGTTGTCCCAGTCGCGTGTAGTAGAGTTTATCTCGCGTATCCTCTTGGCTTAGACATAGCTAGACTCCTGTGTGGCTTCCTGCCAACCTCTTGTTATCGGTATATTATATATACTATCCACGTTCATATATCAGGAACGTTATGCATATGTATTTTACAAAAAAATGACAATAATACCACCATATGCAATTATAAAGTCTTTATAATAGCGTCACAACTATGGCATCTGCGGGTTTGGTCAAACGCTGAAAAAATGCGGAGAATCCTCGGAAGATTTGATAACGCAGTCCAATGTATGAAATCCGCGGTAAAAGTCTCTGAGGTTTGAAATATGAACATAACGTCGGGTTCTTGGGCAAAACGTAAACAGACTTGTTGGCAGATGGCAGACTTTGAGAAATGGAAAGGAAGCTATGCGTAGAAGAGAAAATTTAACTTGATGGTTGTATTGTGGAGGACAAGTTTAATCCTTTGTCGTTACACGACAACGGATATAACGGTAGCGCTTTTAATCCTCCGGAATCTTTTTCATACACTTGACGAAACGATTTGTGACACATACGTCACTTCTTTAATTAATATCAGCCTTCCAAAACTTCAAACGTTTACTTAATTTAATTAAACACCAAACAATGAACAGTTTAAATATATAATATATATAATAAATGATCAATGTATAGAATGTTTCAATCAAATGTGGAAATATGATAAATATATATTAAAACTGGCTGGTCATAGTGAAACGACTGTGGGCTATTTAACTATTGTCCACCGTAAAACAAGTTTTGGCAATTTCTAATTTTGAGAACGTTCAAATTATCTGGTTTGACTATTAATTAATTTCATATAATTAATTTGGAAAACATCAACTGTTGTTTTAGGAAAATCTTACCAGAATACCCAAATCGTATCTAAATACCTCGCTTATTTGTATTTGGAATATAGTAATATACAAACAAAAAAATTCGCAATGCTACATAAATGGTGTGATTGAAACAAACTTATTTACAAGTATATATGCTTAGGCTTACCATACGTCCCTGTTTAGCCGGGACAGTCCCGGTTTTGACGAGCTGTCCCGGCGTCCCGGCCGGTTGACTCAAATGTCCCGGTTTGTCAGCACGACTGTCGTGGGTAAAAAATTCATATCCATTATTATTACAATTTTTAGTGGCAGCCCATTTACCACTGTTTTGCGACACACTTCGCTAGTTCAGAGAGAGAGAAATTGCTCTATTGTTATGTCACAATCGGTTTAATGTTTAACGTCACGTAACGTTAATCGGTCACAATGTTTAACGTTTTTTCTAACAGAAATATTAGCATTTCGAATTTGCAGAAACTCGTAGATATTGTTTGCCGGAACATCGGCATCTGTTGAACGGATTTTCTCCATTGTTAAAAATTTTTGATTCGAAAGCAGGTTCAGAATGCAAGAAGAATATATAAAAAGCACTCGTGACCTGCAAATTTAATGGTGATGTCTCTTGTTATCAGTTTTATGAAAAAATCAGAACATGGATTTTTGAGAAGGGTTCCATCTGCGGACAATACTTTTGGTCTAGATAAATAATACAAACTATATTTTTTTTTGTTTTTCCTAATTCAATGATCAGTAGAGATTTACAGCCGTATATACCCTTAATGGCATGGTAGACGTTTCAATATTACAAAGACTGGCAATCGACCGAATGTTTGCCAAATTGCACCGTCCCGGTTTTTTTGTTTCAGATTTATGGTAAGCCTATATGCTACAATTAAATATGGGACAAGAAAAAATAGGAAGGGTGAAAGTTTGATAGATGAGAAAAAATAGGCGCATTCTTATTTTGAATTTGACAGCTAAAACAATTTTTCCTATCCAATATACTTACACTAAATAACTGTATTGCCCGCGAGAGTACTGCTTAGTCTCGATTTGTTGGGTGAAAATAGCGACTTGCTTAAATATTAGTTCATTTATACTCGTTTACGAATATGAGACAAGCCTATTCACGTACCTTGCTTTGACTATGCCATAGTTATTTCAAAGTTCATCAGTGCTCATGAAATTTATTCAATTGAAATTTGTTTGTATCCGTCAATTTCAATTATTATTAAATTAAGGAAAATTATATGAACTTAAACATTTACCTTTGTTGGACAATCAGTTGTCCGTGATGTTCAGTTGGAACTCAAATAAACGATAAAGCAGGCTTGTCCGAGTTCATGGGATTCCCACGAGAAACGTGCCATGCGATGAGATTGAACAGGCATACATAGCAATGGGATGGGATAGAAAAAATACGTTATAACCCATGGACGGTGACCGTACATTTGAACCCATACATTTGCACCCGTATATCCGCGGGTTCAATCTATACGAGGGTGCTAAAATCCATGGGTTACGGCGTAGTAGTATATATTTACGGTTACGGTTAGTATGGGTTCGAATATCAGTAAAAAAAAATCCATAGGTGCAATAGTATGCAGATGCAATTGTCGTGGGTTCAAATGTAATAGAACCCCCGTAGACATGCCTGGCTAGAAGTCCTATTTTCAATGATTTCATAAAAATTGAGTAGAAGTCGAATTGTATAAACGCCATACAAACAAAGAAAGGTTGTACCTTAAGAATAATAGACGAGTGAAGATTGTCCCAGCAGAACAAAAACTGACACGAATGTACACACTGGCGCAAGGCAGTACACGAAAATGCCGGCTAGAAACAGCAAGGATTATCAGAAAAGTGCTTACACCTGTTGAAATTGTCGACTTTTCCCCAATACTGCCTGGAATGGTAACGACTTCAAAGTTCAAACTGTTCACATTCGCAAGACACTTCGGTGGACAATAAACACTCGAGGTCGCACTGTGTCGATTCGTTTCCAGGGTTATAGTACGCGACTTCGGAAAGCATTTACTGATAACGCAGTAATAACTCAGTAACGTTGAGTAATTAGCAAGTAGCCTAAATTAGGTGGCAGATGTGTTTTACCACTAGTTAGATTTTATCAATATCTTCCATTCTTTTATGATATACGTCTATTATTAACAAATTTTGATCAAACATAACTGCATGAGCTTCAAGCCCGATTAGAGAGAGTACCGGTATATTTCGCCAATAAGTTTGCTGTCATTTGCAAAAAAGATATGATTTTGAGGTGTATAATATTGTCATATGAGTTGTATCATTCAGTCCTATAGCATGAAAATTGTTTAGTTCAAATTTTATAGTTTTGAGAACAAAGTTGATCGCAAAATGGGTAAACTAACCTATTCATAAAAAATATAGAGAACAGATTGTATCAAGCATTACTAGGCTTACCGGTACCATACGTCCCATTTTAGGCGGGACAGTCCCGCTTTTCAACACTTTTTTCCGCTGTCCCGACTTGTCTGTCAAAAGTCCCGCTTCGGCGTTCAGCCAGTCAGCATAATACACGAACATTGCCAATTGGCAAGTACGCGATACTTTTGTTGCTGTGTCGCGTTCCAGTAGCCTACCTACTGATGGTGGATGCGTGGTTTTGTTTGTTTCGTTGTTTTCCGCTAACAACAATTACTACAAGTTGTTACATATGTCAAAAGGGTGTTAACAAAAATTCATTTCTATTTTTCGAACTGAAACCGATAATTAGGCAGACATCACAGGAACTCTCGATGACAATATGGTCGATGAAGACAGCCGTGATGGTTCTGAATGTAGGCCTCTAATATAAATCGGTTATATTAAAGTTGAAAAAATCACAGCTATGGTCTTTGGAGGCGTCCTGCTTTGAGGTAACAAAAATATGGTAACCCTGAGCATTTCCCATATATTTATAATATTAAATACATGCAGAAGAGCGCTATGTTTAATATGTAGAAACAGTTCGATATTATAGCAAATTTTTAGTAAGTAGTGGTGATACTTTAATTTCGTCTAGGCAACGAATGAATAAAATTTTTAAGATTTTCAAGTTATTCAAAAAAATATTGTGTATTGAAACAGGTAAAATATAAATTTTGATATTCATCATGATATTACATCACAATGCCAATCTGTGACGTTGTTAAACTTGATTATTATGAGAAGAAATTCATTGAGTCTACCAAATCAGGGGAAAACAAAGAGTTCTTAAATATGCCAATCATACCGGATGCAAAAATAAATCATCTTTCTGACAAAGTTCAGGATTTACAGTTTACAGAAATGAAAAATCCAAGGCAAATCACAAGTGACGGTACAACTCCTTTGAACGGTGCATCTGGGGATGGTAAAAGCAGTGAAGAGCCACCTAATGAAAATTTACCCAAGAAAAACTGGAGTGAAGAATTAAAAGAAGGAATAAAACCGGACGCCTCTGAACATCAAGATGAAGATGGTGGTTCTTCAGATGAGGAGAGTGATGATGATTCTTCAGATGAGGAAGAAATTAAAGCTCCTATTGAGCTTATGGGAGAATTTCTTCAATACGTAAGAACATCAGACTGGGAAAATGCATCAAAATTATGTAAAATGATTTTAATTTTATGAACCTGAAAATCCAGAAGCTCTTCAATTTCAATCTGTGATTGCTGAAAAGGCTCAGGTATGAAGAAGACATCAGATATGCTTACAAGATAGCTTTATCGTATAGTGAATCTTGAACCCCAAATCAGCCAATTTATGAACAATCAGCTGCGCAAGAAATACATAAAATAATTAGGGGTACATTGTAGCATGTATTGTCGATAAATTTGAAAAATCTCGTGGGATATTTTCACTATGTCATCTGTGAAAGTGTTCTACTATTTTAGGGAAGATTTGAAATCTATTTGGTTCAGCATTACTTTTCCAATATAATTAATCATTCCATGATCTTGAGCCGATATCGAACCACCTGGCCACACAAATTGATTGTTGTTCCTGATCTAACGCACGCCTGAGAAAATTGTTCAGCCACTTCAATTTTTTTATAGTTACACTCCTATCTAATATTTTCTTCCTCAACATTTAAATATATTACTATCACAGATTGAAAAAGAACTTGCTGAAATGAGTTCATCATCAGATGAGGAAGAAGAATCATCATCAGAAGAGGAGGAAACTGAAGATGAAGAGCAAGAGGAAGCTGTTGATAGTGACTCTAAAAATCATGATTAATGATCAAGATGATCCTGATGAATTTGAACCTAGACCAGGATCTAAAATGAATAATAAACTAATATTTCCTCATTTAGATCCGGTGTGGAAACCATAGTATTTACCTGTATGTGGATAGGTAATGCTCAGCTCAATGAAATCATAGTAAAGACATTTTGGTGCACACTAATGGTAATGCTACTTCAACGATCCGAATATTAGTACCCCAACCAAGATTCATACCAATCTTGTTGACTAGTAGACAAATGAGTTCCTGCTATATCATTCTCTATATTTAACGATAATATTCTTTATAAGGATGTTTAAAGAATCCTTGAAATTACTGTTACTTTCACTGTGAATTTTGCAATTGAAAACACTTCAGATTTCTAGTATATAAAAGTACTCAGATCAGTCATATCCAATGGTGGAATTGTGAAAATGCCCTTATTGAATATATGGTCAGCTTCCAATGTTATATACAATGTTTCTTCTAACGACAGGTTCGTTACTCGGCCAAAACGGAAGAAATACGCACCTAAGTATTTATTTTGGATCATCACTTTTTGAATTTCCTATTATAAAATGACTTTCAAAGTTTTGAATGTATACGAAAAGAATTATAACATCATAATAAACACTTTTAATTTGCTACTAATCATTAGTCGGTCGGGGAAGTGCTCGTTTAAGGATGCCGAAATATCATTTCTGGAAAGACCCGACCCAAATAGTTTTGAAGTTTTGTTTGCGGACCTTCGCTAAAATTGTTGAGTAGCCCTGCTCTAGGCTACCACTGTGCCTCGTCTTGAACAAAATTAGCCTCCAATGTAGAAAGTAAAGCTATCAATCCATTCCCCTTTTCTGTATGTTTTCTTATCCAGAGAACTCAAATACGACCAAAGATTAAGAAATCTTGAGCGAACATCTCATGCTTCAAAGTGTTCATATAAAAATTCTAATATTCTTTGCCTGTTTTTATTTCGATATTGTTCATATTTATGTTTTGCAAAACTTTTACCTTCATGATTATTAATTTTTGCATTAAATATCAGAGTTACATTATCAAAACTACGATGTCACTGAATTAAACTTTTTGTGAATATCTAAATCAAATCTAATCGGCTGGCAACTATAGTACATATTCATCAGTCACCCCGTCATTCTATGCATCATGTGTAATGAATTCCAAGTTAGTTATTACCATACCTGCCTGGGCTATAGGCTGTGGTCCGCCGGCATAACGCATTTCTTACAGCACCAATTAGTGTCAAAATGTAAACATATAGTCGACAAATCTGCTTCCGATCCACAAATTATACTTAACTACAGAACCAATGTCAGTCAAGCATTAAAACACTTTTATTTAGTTCACAGAACAATATGGCAACATATAATTCAAACAGCAAAAAGGCATTTCCTAACATACGTATGGAAGCAATTAGCAATATTATTTTTACTAACAGACAAGACAGCGACAAATTACTAAACAATAGTATTGAGTTCATCCATAAAGGGAAGTAATGATCTAGTAACGCAAATATGTTAATTAATAAGATGTCATGTTGAAATATTCCTCTTATATATACATGTGTGCATATTTTTTTTATTTTTTTTTTAATTATTTGTTGACGATATGGGCAAATTCTTTGTATAGACTGAGCTTATTGTTACATCTGCTCATGATGGTTTAGAATTTTAGGCAAATAAATCAATGGTTAGTGATAGAAAAAATACACCAATGTCAATTGTGCTGTGATGAAACAAGTCATAGCCAAACTGTCAACACATATTACTTCATGATATATTTGTAATACACCTAAATCTTCGAATAAATAACAAGTTAAGTCCTGGTTAATATGGAAAAAGTGCTTCATAATGTAATATAATGCATGGAACTATATGAAACTTGTAAAATTAGGCAAAGATTAAAACATCTTAATGGCACAAAAAGGCACAAATCATACAACACAAAAATAAAAAAAAACATCGGAAATCATTTTTGATTTATAAAACAAGAGCAAATAAATTTAGAGTTAAAACTTAACACCGGCTGTCTTTAACATCTCATCAAGTACCGTCCACAAAATTGAATCTTTCGGAAAGTCGTTATCAACAAGATTGACAAGGTAGTACTGGTTGCAAATGTTTTCTATCACTGCTCGTGACTTGGTCTCTGGTTCATAAAGTTTTGCCCACTTTTCTATCCATAGACCAAAGGCTTCATCCTAGCAGAAGAAAGTAAATAAGTTATTAGTGACTCGGACTGTAATTGTTTGATATTCTGTTTAAACAAAAAAAGTACAATTATTTCTGGAAGGTATGCAATCCATTAAGCGGTTACATTCTAAATACTGACAGCATTGACAGTTGCTGGCAAAGGAAAAATATATTTTAACTAATATTTCTGCGTAGTTGGCCTAGTGAATTCCATACATCAAAGTAGCACGAGCTATACGTTGCCATCGAACTAGTGGAGTTCGCAGGTTCAAGCTCTGCAAGGGATAATTATATGTGAGAAGATTGCTGGACTCCTTGCCGTCATTGGGCGATTCAGATAACCGGTCGGGACTTCCTCCACTGTCAAGTCCATGCAATTGACAAAGACTGACAACTGTGATGAGAGGCCATGGTTCGTCATATGAATAAGCTGTCTTATCGGCTTCACCCTACCCCGGGATAAATTTGAAATTCCGATAAGTACGATAAGTTACAAATACAGAAATAATTTATGACTGAAAACTTATGTTACATGCTGACACTTTACCTTCCAACAAATAAAACTGACTGGATCCACAACTGTGGGTTGGATAATTTCTTTTCCTGCAAATATTCCCCAAGTTACTGCATTAGGAGTCTGTCTATCAGCGTTGGTATAATCCTCATTCCCCTCTCTATTTATCATGTGATAATTAACCCTTGGTTCATATTTCGGTAAAATTTTCTTCAATGCTTCAGCGTATTCACGTTTAATAAAAAACTCGAGATACGCCTGTGAATAAAATTTGAAATCAGTACACAAACATATTCATAAATAGGTTATTACAAATTCATACTTGTAACTTTGCTTCACACAAGCAGCAGTTCAGATGTATAGACCAGGGGTGAGCAAGGTTTTCTTGTCGGGGGACAAAAATTTGCGCACTTAGACTGGCGGGCCATGTAAGTGTGACCCAAAAAGATAAAATTTTATGAACAGAATGACAAGAAGTTTTGTTAACGTCTCCATAACATAAAAGTCAACCTAAAATACAAATTACACAGACTACGATCATAATCTATCAAGCCTAGTGCATCATACAGATACCAACAACTATCGTATGTAGCGGCAGCATCAGGTGAGACAGACTGATTCACTCGCCGGACTGGACTTGGCCCGCCGGTCGTAGTTTGCCCATGTCAGGTATATACCTATGCGAGTTAAAAAAAGGCCAATGATTTAACATAGAGAAAGATTATAAGATTTATATGATATAGTAAAATGCACACAATGGAATATTTAAAAAGTAAAACTGACCTTCTGAAACAGATATCCACCTTCATCTCCCCATCCAAATACAGGATGAGTTGAAGAAACTGCGTTGATGTTTGGCTGAGAATTGATCGTCAAAATACCCAATGCATTGTACTTTGTAAGAAAATCTTTCATTGTATCAGTTTCTTTTGCAATGCCGTCATCATTCCATGGAGTTTCCTTAATCTGTGGAATTAACATTTATATTTTATTATTTATTAAATGATTAGAAAATTACTCAATTATTATTGTTATGTAGTTGCCTAAAATAATGCAAAAACAAAATATTCAGATGCATGAGAGAAAAAGATTGCTACAGGATTCATCAAATCAATCATTATCAATAAGATTACTCCAATTCGTATTATGTGTTTCTGAATTTAACAATGCCATGTCCAGTACATGCTACCGTTATATCAGCAAGTATATTTCTAGATCAGTGTTTTTAACCCTTTTTAGTGGAGCGAAAGGAACCACGACCAACATTCCAGAGACCGAGGAACCCTGCAATAGTGGTTCAATAGTTCAATTGTCTTGTGCTAAAAACATCATTTGATTATTAATTAAAATAACTCTCTATATAAAGCAAACCTAGGTATTTAATTATATTTGAATACTATGGACTTGAATTTGAATGTTAACTTGTGAAAACCCTTGGCCTTGACTGTACTGGCAGACCCTAGGTACCAAGGAAACCCAGCTGAAAACCACTGTTCTAGATTGTAATTCGTGGATGATATAAATGAAATAAAATTTTCCAACAAAGCAGGTTTTATCTCAGATCCTCCTTACCGGGATTCCTTTCTCATTTTTCTCTCCCGACAAAAACTGAGAAAAGACCTTCCATACATCTGATTCAGATTCTAATTTTTCTCCCCATTGCTGACGTAATTTTTCTTTCGGGGTTCGTGATCGGAGATAAAACAAATGATAATCTTTCAAATCACCAAAAGCTGGATTGGCCGAATCTCCCCTAAAATATATTTTTATTGCAATAGTTATATTTTAATATGAATAAATTTTTTAATACTAGGCCATTGAAGTCGGTTGAAGATTTGAACAGTTTGGCATTTTAGAATTTAGGTATTTTGCATTAAAATCATAACAAAGAAAATAGTATATTCATGGTAAAATAGTAACAGCATTTGGCAGAAAACAATGTAACATTGATTTTTTTAAATTTGTGAAATTTCATTTTGTCAATGACGTTTATCATGAATTGTTTCGAATTTTCAGACTTTTGTATAACAACATAAAACATTGTTTTTCTTACCATCGTCCATTGGGAAATTCATCCCAATCCTGCGTACGATGGATATAACTCTTTGGTCTTGTTCCCCAAAATATAGGTCTGACTTGTTCATTGGCTTGCCGTTCATGGTTGCCAGATATTTTCCAAGGTAATGGCCTAGATATCTTTTGTTGCCACAGCCCTGCATTATATAAAAGCAAGAAAAATAAAGTGGGTTGTCTTGTTATTTTGATTGGGACTGGATAAGAAAGAAAATCATGACATGACAAAATTAAATTCACATTGTTTATATTACAAAAAAATAGTACACAGCCTTGCACCTCCGTTTTAAACAATAATCTAAGAATTTACCTAAATTTTCCAGAATGCTTATTGTTGCAGTTTCAAGGTTGAGAGTATACATATGAAAACCCCAAACTTCCCCAGAGTTCAGAAGTTCACGACACATGTCAGTAGCATAATCAATCCCGAAGCTACAAAACCAATGATATTTCGTTATTCATTTGATTTATTGCAAAAATGACAAACAGTCTATATTATACTTAAAGAAAATCTTTAAAACAACTAGACCAGGGTGGTCCAAACCCAGGCCACATGTGGCCCACCACTTCATTATCTGTGGCCCGCGTCACATTCGAAGAGTAATCAATAAATCGCAATTTGTGCTGCTTTGTAATCAAATTAATCAGAAAAATCTTTTGACATATTGTTACATCACTAATGTCACTGAATCGACTAGTGTTATGACTAGCTGAGGCAAATAGCAAAGTTAGATGATGTGCTTAGCGGTCTAAATTATTATCTGGCTTTTTATCTTTTAGGTCGGGAATATATGCTAACAATATAGACATCATTGAAAACCAAAAAGCGAATGTGGATTCTATTACCCTGGGATGGCTATGTCTGATAACTATGTGTTTGCACAATAAAAGTGTTTGTTTTGTATTGCACTATTTACCTATTCTTGGCACTATTGTGGCCCGTGAACAATAAAAAAAATAACTTGTGGCCCGCAGAGTCGACAACCTTGGACCACCCTGAACTAGACAATGTAAATGACAAAACAAAAATAACTCAAAATAATCAATTTCTCTGAAAAAAAAAAAACACTGTTTTCGTGACAAAATCCATCACTTTCTTGAAAGCTGCATAGGCTTTTTCTTCGAATTGGCCAAATAAACTTACTTTCGAATAGCTGCATCATTATCTTTTATTGGTTCAATAATTTTCTGCACATCCTCAGGGACTTCAAGTTTCGATAATTTTGTCAGTTGAACAAGAGATCTGTTCGTCTGATGCATAACAAAAACGATACATAAAGTGTTGAATATTGTGCCAGATAGATCATATTCATTTGTACTAAGAAGTACATTTTACTGAGGCGACAAATACCAAGATAAGAATTACATTTGTTTCCAGTAGTTTTTTATGTGAATTGGTAATGTGTTTTCATAAAAAATATTCCTTTCAAAATTACTTTACATAAGACACATTTTGAAAATATTCACTTTATTTATATTAAATGTCTTTCAACCTGTCAATAATGGCATCACCAGCTGGATTAGCAATTTAGCAAAATTAACATATTCGCGGAAATCATTATATGACGTGTAAACAAAGAAACTCCCAATTTTTAAAATTTGTTTTGGAAAAATTAGAAATTTCATGACTAGCGTTAATTACATATACATATTATAATGAACATAATCGATAAATATTATAATCAAAAAAGGAATTATACTTGACAAAAATGATGTCATTCAAATTCATGGAGAATTGTGTGGTTAAACAACAATGTTGCATAATATCAAATATTTGTTTATCTTTCAACAAACACACTGTGTGTGCTGAGTAAACTATGCTACTCAACTTTAACGTAATTAGCGGTACCTGAATCGGAAAAATTCCAGGGATAATAGGACATTGAATTCCAATTTTTCTGCAATCTGACTGAAATTTTAAGAATTCCTCAGCTTGGAAAAATAACTGAGTTATAATGAAATCTGCACCAGCATCTACTTTTTTCTTGAGATTGACTAAATCGTCTTTATATGATGAACAATCCGGATGACCTTTAGGATAACCTGAATGACAAATATACTTTTTTGATAATGAAAGCCACAAGACAAGTTTACTTCTGAGCCAAAATCAATATTTCGTACTTTATTTCACAATTATGTACAAAATGTTATTATATAATAAAATGATCAATGTTATTCTCAAAATACAACATCAAAGGGTTAAAAGTTCAAGTTTCATTTGGTGCTTTTGTTCAACAAAATAAATAATATACACTAGTTTGCTTTATCATTATCAATAAAAAAGTTTATTGTCTGTAAAATAGGTTTAGTACTAATAATGCAATAAACTATTAAAAAAAGTGTAATATTAGGAAATTTTCATGTAAGTTCATATTCCTATTAACTCTTACGGAAGATAAACTCTTTGGTAAAATCTACATAATATGTTCTGCGAACTTATTTTTCAATTCTAATTTTCGCTTACCTGCAACACAGATGCTGAAATAATCACCATATTCTTGACGGATAAGTTCCACTAAATCAGAACTATAATTCAACCCATTTTCATTCATTTCCCATTCGTCGCCTGTTGAATCTAAAATCAAATTATTTAAAAAAAAAATTTTTGTTTATGAGTACACCCCATCAACTCGAACAAAATTCAGAAGTATCTTTACAAATACTATCATACAGTCAAAATATGCCATTTTTTATTCACGATACCAATATGACTCCAATATATGAAGATATCAATAAAGCAAGTGAAAAAGCGCCAATATTACAATGGAACACTTCACAATCAAACAGAACAGAGAACCCTATATTTGTTGGAATAGAAATCTGAAATAGTAACAATTAAATATTTGTTTAATTAATTAGTGTACTTTTTTAAATATTTAGTTATATGTTTAGTTTCAATATAGAGTTTTCAATAATGAAAAGTGATATTCTTTCCTACCTCCTCTCAAGGCTAGTATGCTTCTGATTCCCAATGATTTAGTTTTTTCTAGATTTTTCATGATTGTTTCTCTAGTTTGATTGCAACATGTCATATGTAGCATTGTATCAATGCCACAATAATTTAGAATTGTCCCTGCAATTTTGGTTGAGGATGTTATTTTATCACCACCGGGGTCGCCAGCAGGATGCCAAGTTATGTCAATAAATAAAGGATTTCCGTCCCTCATACGATCCAACCTGATAAAAAGAGGACACAATTTCATGTTTGCAAAAAAATTCATTCATATACTGGCAATTGAAGCAAAAAAAGATATTTTTGCAGCTCAATTTCATTATACTACTTTAGCTATTTTTTACCTTGATTCCTAAATTATTCCCAACTTTGGTCAAATTTATTCTCAATTTAACTTGAGAAAGTGAAAAATAATAAAACACTAGACCGGTCAGTCCTTAAAAATTCCTACTAGTGGTTAATTTTAAAATATAGTAACGTTAGAATAGCCTAATCATGTTGCAAACTGCGGTTTTTCATACGTTTATTTGTAAAGTTTGAGCATGACATATCTAACCATATTGTCTACTTTGAGCACATTTGAGTTAACTAACTTATTTTATAAGTATTCTTAAACATAATTGCATACCTTCCAATGAGATTTGCAGCCCCTTTTTCTGTTCGTGGAGGAAAGAATTCCAGTGAAAACCATGGATCCTTTGATTGCACACGATTGTTTATTTTGTTTTTTAGAGAAACGAAAGGAGAAACGCCATTGCACAACGAGTCATTCGTTTTGCACAATCCATCTGTTGCAGCGGCAAAACCATTTGTTGCCCCGTGCACTTCATCTCTTTCAACATCATCTGCTTTTTCTGTCCCAGACACCATTTTTGTTTACTTTCTGTACTAACTTATTACACATACATCGAGAGAGTCCTCCAGAACCTCACACGAACGCTCAGACGGCTACAGGCAAATGGGGACGATCAATGAAATTTTTTGTTTTTATACCAAACATAACATAACGCTTGATTGATCATGCATAGCATCAGCTGTTTTTCAAATGTGAAGGCGAGAGTTGAGTTCTTGAAACGATATATCGCGTCAATTAGTGAATATCCTTGCTTTCAATTTGACTCTTATCACAAACGCGCTCAAACAGTTTTTATTGTTGTACACATATACATTATCGTAAATAATATCATATTAAAATTTGGTGTAGTATTTTCCCGAAAATGCGCAATTTCTGTATAAAATTCCACGACGGAAAGGATAGGATAGGATTTACATATTTATCCCGGGGGAGAGGAAAGCCGATAAGACGGCTTATCCATATGGCGAACCACGGCCTCTCGTCCGGTTACCATTCCAAGTCGGGTATGGGATTAGTTTTACTGTATTGTTTGTTTTCGGAAGCACGGACTTGGTGGTGGAGGAAGCCGTAACCGACCAGCGGTTACGTGAACCACCCAACCAACGAGGAGTCCAGCAATCCTCTCGCACATAACCATCCCTGCATGGGATTCGAACCTGCGAAACCACGCAGAGTAATTAGAGGTGAGCGTATTCCTAACGCTTAGCCCGTTGAGCCACACCGCCGCGCCACGGACTGGCACTCAAAAAGAAAAAAAAACGTGGGGAAATTACTTTCATTTACAGTTTTTGTTATTTGTCGAGTGACCCAATAACAACGCTGCACCTATAAATCATTATTGGACACTAAATGTTTTTGTTGATACTGAAGGTGGGATGATTGTTGTGGTTGTTATACTTACCAAAGGTCGCTAGAAGATTATCATGTATTTTATTTCAAATTCCATTTTAGTGTTATTAATTATTTAATTTAAATTTATTGGACACGAATTGTACATACGCATGCATGTTGTTAGAATTCCCATTTCTCATTCTTATTTATAATAATTATTTTATTTACATTTTAATGCGTTTTGGTTGTCCGCAGATCTTTTCAGAAACTCGGTGTTGAAAGCAAACTAAAGCTTTCCTACTACTGAGCTTTAGGCGTTACGCAGCTTTCGGCGATAGTTTATTAACCCGACATAGGAAGGAACGTTGTTTTGACCATAGCTGACGTAAATATTATTTTCAGATTGTCTATCTGGTTCAACTCAGATTCTTTGAATTAGAACAAAATGAGTTGATCATAACAAATCTTTCTTTTTTGAAAGTTTGTGTTTGATTTTTAACGCATAGATATTCGTGCTTGTGAAAATCCAGCATGCGTACCGGATGCATCGGATAATTAACAATCAATCTTCAGTCTCGGGTGGTATGTCAATTAACAGAATTTTGAAACAAAGATAGGAATCTGGACCAGAACTCAACTTCAACAAGTTTAAGGCCACTCGTGTATTTTATTCTTCAAGCAACAACGCCCGAATTCAATAATTCTCATATATTGTATATACTTTTCTTTCTCAAAAATTAACGCCCAGAATCTTTGAATTTGTGTCTTATTGTCAACATATATATTGAAACTAAATATTTTGTGTGTCAAACCAATCAGATGATGCACGGTTTATATACATTAACTGTGAATCTCATTGTTGATTTTTGGGGGAGCTGACTTTGATGACCTGGTCGTATCGCTCCCTCCAGTCTATACCGAATTGAGTTGCATATTTTGAATTTTGTGTATATCTTATTGTACCATTGCTTGTTTTCTGGTTGACGAAATAATAAATCTCCCTCTCTCTAACTATTAGCTGTTGTGAGTCATCCGAGTCACAGGCTCATAGACCAAGGACAAAACGTATTGTTTTGACGGAACAATTAAGATTTCCTGTCGCGCTTAATAGGTAATCAACTTAAACAGGGAGGAAAAGCGATATATATAAGATATTGTAGAATTATGACGATCAAGTTAGTATTAAGTAAGTTTATTTTGATTTCGCCAAAAAAAAACATACACAAAACAATAAACGCACAGAATTTGGTAACGATTTATCAATTATGTGCTTGTGAATTCTGATTTCTTTCCGTTTGTTGATGGGAGTCAAAATCAGACAACAACAGAAAGTGGGGATAAAGTTATCAATAAGAAATCGACTTGTGTGCAGTATTACTTGGATACAACTTTGAACTGTTCATTTGTATCCGGCAATATGATACGAATAAATGCATTCTTAAACCCAGGTACATTAGGCAGCAATCAAATCGGAAGCCGGACGGTGAAAAAAAAACCAAGGGAACTGATAAACTAAACATTATCACCGTGCATATTAGTAGGAGACGCAGAACATCACGAGGGTTATATTCAGTGGTTATTCTCATGTAATAGCGGATTACAATGCAGCCGAATACAGGTTTATAATAAAACACGTTGATGGTTGTTGTACTTGAAAACATCTCAAGTTCGAAACCAGCATGTAAAAAAACTCGAACAATGAGGACATTTCTTACATGTTTGGCAAATTCCGACGTCGTAAATGGTTCTTCCACAGTCAAGTCAAGTTCATTTTTTCCAACCAGTAAGAAAGTTAAGTTTTACACAAAATACTGGGAGAGAAGCGGCGAGGAACCAAAGCTGGTTATCGAGCAGCGAGACCCAGGGATCTAATTAAAAAGACGAACCTTACCTTTTTAGTTGAAATCTTGTCGGGGAATGTATGGGACATATTTTAACAAATCTAGGATAACAAATAACTCAAAAATGTACAAAAACACGCACATAGGTATCTAGCAAAACCTTTTATTTCACACCAGATACCAGATGATGACGTACCAAAATGATATCATGACGAAGGAGAAAAAGCACTTCTACTATAAAAGGAACAACTAAAAAGTAAAAAGCACTATCCACTAAAATATAGAAAGCATTTTTTAGGACTAATTCAACAAGAAGTTTTTCAAAAAGATGGCTTAAACTTTTAAACATTGAATTTGGAGTTTCAATGGTTTGCGACCTTATTTTTTTTTCAAGTTTAGGCGCTTGCCAGCCAAGCAGGGGTTTATTCTATTTCAAACCTCAAAATCTAAAGCTTAAGATACAAAATCATCTTCCATTGTATATTTATAACTAAAAGCTCAAATATAAGAAAGTAAATAAAAAAAGCAAAAAACTAAATTACAGCACCACTTCAGCTCATTCTAAAGAGCTTGTAACATTTTTAGTCCAAAAATCCTATAGAAACTTGAAAGATTTGGCCCGCGACACACAAGTTTAAAAATTAGAAAATAACTTTGAACAATAAATAGTTAATAGAAGTATATACAGTTTAAATATGAATCTATCAACTGTCCTTAATCACACAAATACTTATTTATCGGATGACAAGAATCAATAATCTGATTTTAAAAATTTGATAAAAATGTCCAAAATGATATTTGAAGATATAAATTCCTATTTGAAATAGCATGATTTGTATGGGATCCTGCAGTATTATAATTCTCTCTTGGTAACCTATTAACATGCATGTTAAATTGAATACATTAACATATAATTAACTTAATCTTATCTTTATAAAATAGTTCAATTGTGTTTATCAAAAGATTACAGAAATGTGAATGAAATAGAAAAAGTTTATATGAAATCGATTGATGTACTACATACCATTACAGATGAAATCAATTGAATAGTGATTTAATAATTGAAAAAATAAATTGAAAGCAAAGCATTGTGCATTATAAGTAAAAGAATAGGGTAAAAATTATTAAATTGTTGTCATTTGCTACACAAAACAGCAAAGAAATGACGTTCATGATAGTTTTATAATTCAAAAAGTAATCATAAAAAATTTGTTTATGAATTTCAAGTCAACAAAATGCCACTTGATACAATGTCTTAGTAACTTGATTTCGATTCGAACTGCTGAGCAGATTTAGTAGGAAGACTATCTGGGGAGAAAAATTTACAAAGACCCACATGTGTGTACAAACAATGATAGTGTTAAAAGCATCATTTCATAAGTGAAAAGCAATCGTAAGCAAGCATTCAAAAAAAAAATGGCCATGCAGTTAATAGAAGCACACATAGCTGACAAAACTTGCATAAGGAATTTGATTTAAATTCCATTTCAAAATGACAACTCCAAATTATGACATTTTTCTAAAAAATGATGGAAATTTCACAGCAACTCTCATTAATATGACAAGACATATTTTAAACATATGCTCAGATATTTACAACTAATCATAAGTGATGCAAACCCGAAGGAAAACAACAACTATGCTTTTTAAATTATCAGGGGAGAATATTTTATTTCAGAAGTGTGTAAGAAGACAGGATGGTCTCCATTTTAATACCATATATCCCCGCATATAAGCCGATCTCTCATACAAGCAGACCCCCTCAAAACGGCCAGTTTATGAAAATTCGCAATTAATATATTTTATCATATTTGCCTATTATCGTAGGTTATTGCGGTGCAGCACTTAATTACTGCCAACATGGGGATTCAAATCAGCACCAACTTGAAGTACTTATAACTCACCGAGGATGTTTTTGATTGAAAATATTTTACAACTATTATCGTATATTTTCATAGTCGAGATATCCTGGGCGACGTCGGCCATAAATTTAAGAGCGACTTGTGTCATAATTAATCGCTTTTATCCTCAGTTGCGATAGTGACCGAGCATAATCGGAAAATAGCTCCTCAAATATAATTTAGAATCTATCGCGGTTTTTATTGTTTGCCTGGCGTTGTTAATGATAATATCGTTCAGTTAAGTTTGCGGTATTAATTAATAAAATGTCATTTCATTTGAATGTGATCAGAGTTATGCGCCGCGCCTATAAACCAAATTTTGATAACAGCCGACCTCATAGTTTGGCTTTTTTAGTTTTGAACTCAGCTTATACGCGAGGATATACGGTAATTCAAATATGACAGGATGTGTTGTTGCATTAGTTGATGAAACATAAAAAAACGAAACATTTGATCACATAAAGTATTCAGTCCTCTTTTTCCTCCATAATCTTCTTCATCATCTACCATGGGATGTTCATCATCATTTCTATTTTCTTCTGTGTCATGATTTTTCATTTCATTTGTATGGTAAGTTCCTATAATAAGGTATAAAAGATGAAATGACATCATTTTCATTAGTCTCATGTTAAATAACGCATTATGTAAATATTTCAAATTAAAATAGCACTTTCTGTATGAGCTAGGATTAGACTGGTAAGATGGCCTGTTTTGCAATGGTATTAAAACAAAAGCCAGCATTTTATTCTCAAATTCTCACATTACAAGTGGAAACCTCAGTCCCCTCAAAATTAAAGGACCCACTTCAAATTTTCTACAAAATCTGAGGAAGGAAAGGTAAAGATGAATTCTTGTGAACTATAATTGGAGTCAGTTTTTGAATAGATCAGCCTGAACTCTCGTACCTAAAGCTCTGACATAAACACAAATGAAATTGAAGAAGTATGTTTAACAAAATATCATGACTTGCTTATAAGCACAGGGTTTAGTCTGTGACAGTTAAATTATGTTTTTTTAGATGACCATCCAATCTTATCCAGAAACCACTACTTAAAAAACTCTTCCTGAAACTTGGGGCGATGCGATGGCCTACCGCTAGGCCCTAGTAGGTAACTGTGTTGGCATTACAGATTGCATATATCTGGTTCAAATAGAAAGATTCCGGTCCTCTCAAATAATAGTAGCTCCTACATTTTGTTAGATATCGGTGATTGCAAGGTATAAAAAAAAACTATTCTTGAGTCTGGTGATAGTAACAAACCTTTGTGTGACATGAAGTATCTTGCGATAAGAACAACGGCAACAATCAATACGAAGACTGCAACGGCAACAACTCCACCAATTACTGCTGCATCTGATCCTGCACTTCTTGGTTGCATTTCAGCCGTTGCTTCTAAATAACAAAATAGAAACATTCAAAAACAGCAAAGACGATCTGGTAAGCATTTTGGGAAAAATTACATTGCCTATGAATACACAAATATTTCTCGCTTAAAATTAATTTTAAATTCCCGTATCATATTATATCGCATCATACATTATTTTGAAGTATGTCATTACCATTCGAATATTTATTATTGACATCGATTTTGATTATTCATTTTTGAAAGCTAAATAATAGTCAATATATCATCTGTGTAACTTTTCAAGGGATTACTCATTACAGTCCTGCTTTCAAACCTCGTACCCTAAGTGTATACTTGAAATACACATTTTGTTCATCAATTAAAAATAATAATATTAAGATATTGTTTCACAACCATTATGTTTTCACTTGAACAGGGTAGGTAATGAGAGTGGGAGAAAAAATTAACGTGCTGAAATCATGCAATTCAAAAATTGATAAGATTTGGAGAAAAACACACATGCAAGAATTTTATCCTTCACAGATGAAGGAAATTGGCACATGTGGCCATGTTGATTCAAATTTAACTCTTCAAGCGTGCGGTTCGTAAAAAGGTATATTTTTCAGTATGCTTCTTTGAAATGAAATCATTAAGAAGTCATGCAGAAGAAGAATAAAAAATCATGCATTGCAGTCTGTTATAAACACTTAAAGTTATAAGTATAATCACAAAACAAAATGTATAATCATTCTGATAGAAAATGCAGCAATTCGTAATTTTTTTAAAATACCTGGCTCTGGGGATTTTTCTGACAGAGCTGCAAGATTTTAGTGTTTCAAAATAATTAGAAGAAAAAATTGAAGAAATAGTTATGAGTTTAACAAATATGGTTGATAGACAAGTAGTATGTTATCCAAACTCAATATTGATAAATTAACCAATGAAACAAGTGTGGTATAAAACCTCTCGACAGAGGATTCTCTGTCACAGTAGAGGTGCTTGGGACATCTTTATTGATAGCAATATACAGTGATGAATCAGTCTTGTGATAGCTCGAAATACTGCACATTGTACTATGTTTATTCTTTCATGGTTATCATATATGAGCTTGTGCATCAGTGATCTGACATTTTTACATTATTAATTATTCATAATTTGGTTCTGGTTTCACCAACTTGGACAATAGTCTACTCTGTTTTTGAGAATATCAATCTCATAAAAATTCCAATTTTATAAAAAAACCAGGGTAAGATGTATGTTATCATTTTTCACTCATTGTGGCCCTGGTGAAAATACATCAGAAATATCTTAAAAGCAGAAAAAAGATTTATGAATATTTATCGACGTGATATGAAAAAATGCTATGTGAACTCAAATTAATAAAGAAATTTTGACAAACTGAAATTACTGTGATATTGTATTTGTTTGACATGGATATACTATATATAGGGACAGATGCCAAATGATTTTAATCCAACAAAAAATGATGGTATTCTGAGAAGGTATTTTATGTAAAAATTTTACCGCACAAAGAATCAATAAAAAATACAGCTGACGATGGAAAAATATAAGAAACTATGAGTTAAAGCAAAATACTAATTTCAACTAGTAATCTATTATCTATATACAAATGCTATGGAAGAATAGAGCAGATAAGAGTTTTATCATCCACCCATTTTAAGCAGAAATATGTCGAGTCCAACCAAGGTGACACACCAGTTATAAATCTATTTGATCAGATTCCTTTGAATCGGTTGAAAAAAGATTAAGGAAAAGTTATAAATTGTTAGACGAGTCACCCACAAGAATGTAGAAGAAGATATTTATTTAAATAGAAATATGATGTTAGTTTCAGTTAGTAAATATAGATAGCATGCGATGGATAGATTACCTGGAGTAGTTGGGACGGTAGTGACAGGTGCAGCTGCAAAATACGACACACAGAGGGTTAGAACAATGAAAATAAATTTATTTTAATCAAAATCCTCAACTTACTACAGAGTTACACGCACAGTATAACAGGCATAACACTCCATTGGGTGGGCTAAGCCAGCCATTTGATTTTTAGTGTCTGGTGCACTGTTCGAGAGAATAAACAAGAAATTTTCTTTCTTCACAACATTACATTTTCCCTACAATGAGAGCACCCAAACCCGAAATTGATTTAACAAGTCAAACTATTCCATTTCCTGCTCAAGACATAACAACAACAATAATGAAAAATGTAATGACAACACTTTAAATATTTGTTACAGAAATGAATTAAATCATGGTTAATAATGACAAGGACTAAACGTTAACATTAGTTCAATAGAATATAAAACATGCAAAAACAAAAGGAAACATACCATATACTCCCAGATGGAAAGACAGTTGAACGGGACTTCCGATAGAGTTTGAAGCTACACATGTGAACGTTCCATTGTTGGTCGAAGTATCATCAGTGACGGTGACAGACTCCCACTCTCATGGTTCGTCCGTCACCTAAAAATGCATAAATAGTTTATCCGTAAACCAACTTTATCTTATATAGACCATATAATTATAATATATATATAGAAAACGAATGCCAATTTTCAGCCCTAGCCAGAAATATTACTTGCTCCCTTTTTCTATGAAGTTTTTGGGGTAGAAGTTGGCATTTTATTCATTTATAACGTAGTCAGAATGATGTTTCGAAACTCCCCAAAGTTGGAGTGAAAATTTTAGACTATTAATGAAGGTTGCAATTTGCAATTGAAGCTAAAAATACAGACAGGAACTGAAAATGCTTTAAGTAGACTATACATTTATAACAGGCAATTACAGTCCCGCAGATATTAATTAATGCTCAAAAAATAATCTGAATGGGACAGAGAGGATTGATTCTGCTATAGATTGTTGCCAACACCACATCAGACCCACCTGGTGGCAAATTGAATTGACAATGAATCAAATAGGGTCCTCTTGTCAACATATCAAACAGGGCCTGCCGATTCAGAAGCAGAAGATAACGAGTACATATGGCAATACCAGTCAATTCCGATTTGTTTTCCAGTCCAAAAACTACTTATTCTGGACTGAAGATATATACTAAGTAAGAACCCAAACCCTGAAAGCGCAAAATTGCTTGGCAGGGCTTTGACCTTCTGGCAAGGAAAATGTTATGTGTTCATCTGGTGTAAAGCTCCATTCTAACTGTTGGGAAAGGATTTTCCTTCGGCATTACAAGAAACAGCAAGAGACGATCCTTCTTGAAGCAATTCGTTTTGTCCAGCATTTGTTAAATAGGCAGTTGTTTCATCTGACAAACAAATTCAGTTTATTAACAAAATTTTTGTACTCATTCAGAATGGGGCCATTTAGCTAATTACATAGAGGAACACAGTAACACATTTTGTATCTATTGCCATATTAGCATTTCAAAGCGCTTTGCTGAATCAATATTTTTGTTTTTGACAGCGTTAGCTAAATATGTCTGAAATATATAACAAAAACCATAGAAAATCTCCAACACTACCTTTCAGAACGCAGAAGTAAAGAATATATAAAATGGTGCCAAATTAACAAATTTCACTTTGGCACTTCAAGACAGTACGTAAAGCAATAAATAGGCATGTATTGTAATTCGTCCAATTTAAATCCCTGTTACACAAAAATCGATCAGGCACCGAGCCGGTGCGACCATTGCCCATTGTATGGATCAGGTAGTGCTTTATTGCCCACACTGAAAACCAGTACCATCATTGCTTTAAAAACGATGGCGTCTCAAAGCCCTATGCGTTTTATGTATGAATAAAAACCCAATTTTTTATGACAAGTACCGGTATATGTATAGCATATGATATATGACATATGCAGGTATGATATATAGGCTATATTATAACTTGACAAATAAAAAATAATATACCGATAATAGTCAAAAAGAGAAATTGATGTAATTTTTAATAAATAAAACATACATTGAACATTGACTGGATTCGTCTCCTTAGTTATGACAGGACTATTATGATGTTTCACATGACATTTATAAATTTCTCCATTGTCATCTTTGTAAAAAGTTTTCTCAAGAGTGAGTGCAGAGTCAACCAGTTTTGTTTCTGGATCTGTCGTGTGAATTTCTGCATTGGCCACGTCGACCTTTTGTCCCAGTGAATCTGTAAACCTATAGAAAAAAAATAACATAGTTATTATGGTTACATGATTGTAAATTGGTACTTGTCTAAACACAACTAGACTTAATAAGTTCACATGTTGGAGATTTAGAGAAATATATATATATTAACATATTGCATTCTGAAGTGTTTTATCCCAATATGGAATATTGATATATTTTAAATTTGTCTATGTTCAGCAGTAAAAGTTTCACATATTCATGAGAATTGGATTCTATTTGGCAGATCGACTGTTTCGAATAGATTTTACTAAATATCCAAATGTTTGAGCAGGATCACATTGCTTTAAATAAAAAATGTAATTCGAATATTTGGTAATCAATTATTTCGATTGTGTATTCAAATATTTAATTTGTTTTGGGCATCGCAACTCGTAGATGATACTATCCTAAAAATATAAATGAAAACTTGCTACTTTTAAAAATTAGCATTGGCTGATTGATACTCTAACAAACATCATTAATAACAGAAAAGAAGTGCGAAAATTGCTTTTTATTACTAGTAAGAAATAGTCGATTTACAAGAAAATTCTGCTAAAATTACCATATTTCTTTGAAAACGTGACACTATTACATATGAAAAGTTATTAGTACAATACCACATAGTTGGAGCAGGCTTCGATCCAGATGAGGAACATTTTGCAATTGCTGCTTCAGTACCATGTCGTGGTGAGACTTCAAGATTAGTCACATGAACATGCTGAGGAATCTCTAAAAGTGTTTCAAGAGTATAATAAGTTCTTGAATTGGGAAACTAAAAATGCAGGCTTTCTCGAGATAATCTTTTTGTAATCTAATCTTTTTTCAATGATGTATATCAATATCATGTTTGTATATTTTATTTGATTCAAGAATCTTGCTACACACTGACACAAATGTATTTCGCAATAATTCGCCAGACCGATGTCAGACTAGCATATTTCCACTTTAAATAGCATATGTTAAATCATCTTTATTCTTGCCACAGCATGCTTGCATCATACAAATATGGACTGATATTGATGAATGTATATAATAGTATCCAACATCCACTATTCCCAAATTGAATTACTCATAAAAGATAAAAATGACTCACGCTCGACAGTGAGAAGAGCATCTGCACGTTGTGAAATACCAGAACCAGATAATGTACAGCGATAAGGTTTTTCATCGGACAAGGTAATATCACGGATTGTTAATGTCATCCAACCCTCGCCATACGCTATTGACATCCTAGAATACACAAAAAAATTTTATTGATTGTTTAGTGAAAAAAAATTTACTGATAAATAAGGAATTTAGAACTTACCGGCTAATATCCTGAACATTTGTGTGGTTGAAGAATAGAGTGCTCCCAGTAACACCATCTCTCCATTCATGGAAATATTTAGCATCGTAGTCTTCAGGCTTTTGATATGTACATCTCAAAGTTGCTTCTGATCCAGTTAGTTTGGTAACATTCTCTCCTTGTAGATCCCAAGCAGAGATGGCTGCATGAAAATAGATGGAAAAAAATTATAAAAATGGTTATATATCTTAATAAAAATAGGTTAATTAATAATAAGGCAACAAAATCACAAATGGATAAAATATTCTATATTTCATTTTTTTGATATCAAGAATATTTCATAATTTTTTATAAATGGAAGCGTGTCAAAATGGGGGATTTGAAAATATGTCAAAGAATACTGGTAGAATAAAATCCAAAAATAGCTGATTTACTGTAAAATTTGGCACATAAATAAAAAAAAACATCATTGCCACAGATCAAATACTGAATATAACAATAGCTAAAAATTCAGATATGGACATACTAAGGTACAATTTACTTGAACACACAGTCCTTTAACTTGAATGAAAACATACAGATATCAACATTGGTTCAATTTCAGACAAATCGGGGCATATTTTGAGGGCTCAATATATTTAATATCATTTTATTCAACTTCAATATTTGTCAGTCAAAAAAATAGTCTTCTGTTTGGAAATTTAATAAATGGAGAATTGGTACAACACGGAACATAAAATTTATTTAATAATGTTGAATCATCGTAGAAATATTTATTTCCTCAAGAAGTATTTATAACAATTTCCTAATTTGGACCCGATTCCACTTCGGCATACATGGGTGGGCGATTTTGAGTGAAAGTGAAATTTGAAACCAAGGACACACAGTGTCTCCACGGCTTTTTACAAATGTTAAAAATGCCGCTCTTACACAAAAGCTTTTAATTGTGATACCGTACACATAGAAATGAATGAATGGTTGCTGTAGAAAACTAGTATAATTATACAACATAAAGATCCTAATTCTTCTGTGATGAGCGTACGCTGGACAAGCGTGGTGTATAAACAGAATATGCTTCCACATAAGATTACATTACTATTCATGAGTTAACAATAGAGAAAGGAAATAAATCCTTAAGTTAAGAATTTTTTACTAACTGTTACACAAAATACAATCCTTTATTATCTATGTGTACCAGGATTTGATCGATAAATCATTGTAATACAAATGAATACCTTGATGAATAAAAAATGAATTTACCATAAAAAGAGATTCAGAGTTTGATGTAATGATAAGTATAGTGATAAACTTTTTCAATTGCTTTTCTTTCTAATTTTATATATTTGACAACTTTTTAAATGAGAAAATTGAATGATAAGTTGATAAGCATTATGTAGATTATTTCCCAATTATTTTTTTTTTTGTACAGAAATGACATTTCAAGAAGCTGTACTTAAAGAAAATCTGCTGGGTGATATATGCAGAAAACATTAATAATTAATAGCATTAAGCTATTTATATTAAAAGGGCATGAAGTCGATGTAACAAAATAAACCATGATCAATTGATTTTAAATCAACTGACACTCTTTTAATACAGATTGTTGTTCCGGCTCTTTAATTAAAGGATGAGACTAGATGAACTTATAGGCCTACACTTATATTTTAAGCATAATAATTATTCCAAATTAAAAATTCCTAGTTATAGACACCATATCAAACATGTTTCTTTGAATGTTACGGATGAGACATAGCAAATATGTAATTCTCAAATTTTTCATGCCGTGATTGATACCCAAGCACAAAGGATAGAATAGGATTCAAAAGATAAGTACACAAAGATTGAGACTGACTATTCACAGCATAATGCGTTCAAGTTTATTAAGTTCAAGTTTGAATCTTTATGAAATATTATTGTAAAGCACTACAATTGAATCACGATTTCAAAGAAAGTTCTCTTTTATTGAACATTATCAGCCACAAATTCATGATTCATTTCTAACTTAGATTCTGTGATCAGGGATGTCCAAAACAAATCAAATATTCAAATTCATTATAATTGATATAGTAAATTTTCGGATTCAGGAATAATTCAGAACCTTTTATTTGAAAATTAGGGATTATGAGCTGTCAGACAATGAGATGAAAATTTTTGATATTTCAACTGGTATCAAACAACACAGAGTGATTTATGTAATTTTCCACGTCAATGAAGAGAGCTGCAGTTGCAAAGACACAAAAATTTCAGCCAAAAGCAACTCTGCAGTGATAGCAAGGACTGAGAATAACTTCTCTATGTCCATTATTATGCATATAATTGAAGAGGAGGGTGTATTTAATTAAAACGTTTTTTTCTTAAGCTAATAAAAGCCTAGATATATCTAGATTGAATTTTTACATTTCAAGAAAATGCCCAACACTCTGCTTTTGAGATGTTAACTTTGATCTATAATAAAAATTTAAACAGACATAGCACCAGGCACACAGCCATTGCAAAGTTTGAATTTACCCATATTGTACTGTGTGACTGTTGGGGTAAGGCAAACAAGAGAGTTACCAACTGTACAGGTCTTCAATGTTTGTAATAATAACACCAAGGAATTTGAAAGATTTCCTGCAACTGGGCCATACAATTCAATCACAAAAAGTAATGATTCACCAGGCATAATCCGTGCTTTTCAAAACAAACTCTATAAAATGATCTTAAACTAGAAGAAGATCGGGTATCTATCGCAAGAAGCACTCATAGATAACACTCGTGAGAACCGCAGGCTAGTATGGATTGCATCAGATGACATAAACTGCTGGCACCTTTAATGACAGACTGATACAAACTGTATATGGGTTGCTGATTCTGAATAATGTAAAATAAGCTCATTTGCTATGTCACTCAAATAGCGAACGCGGTTTTAGGAAAGAATTAGGAATGCTTATATTAGTACAATTTTATTCATGTACTGAACATAATATTACCTAATATTTATATCATGTTTCATTAATGTATTTTATCAAAGAAAACTGCAACACTTCATATTTTCATTGCATGAAATCTTTTCTTCACCACATAATAAAGTCATATTATTGTATGAATGAAGCATATTTGCAATTTCGGAATAATCATTTCTCTTTGATCACTCAATGAAAAAATTGAGTTCGATTTTTGTCACAAAAGTTGTTTAAAATTATGGAAATTCTGTTTAATTCAATTGTAATGATCACCATAAAAAAATTCAAAATAGTATGTTTTGTTTAGTATAAATTTATTAGTGAACACGATGCTTCACAAACATTGCATACCTTCTAATCAAGTCTTATTTAAAATGATTAGCTACCTCATTTATATCAATGATAAATAAATAAGGTGGCTTAGTGTTTTATCAATGTGATGCTTTTTTTTCAAGTTACTGTACATAGCTTCTTAATGAGGGTCATATTAATCATGTAGATTAGGTCGCTAGATGTACACAAAATATCATCTTAGATTAAATTCTACATTGTTTATACATTATGCTACTACACTAACAGAATTTTTGGTAATAAATCTCAAACATAGAAAGGAGAGATATATTGAATTGTATAAAAAAAATTTACAATGATATATTTTAAAATTTAATGCCATCTTGATGGCACCAGTCGTGAGACGAAAATCCATAAAACCAGCCGTCATAAAATACCCATTTATCTACCTATATCAAAGCGTATAGGACCTGGTCGATAGCTGTCGCCCGTTGTAAACAATGTCGAATCGAATTTCCCGACAACCTAAACAATTTGTTCCAAGCATAAACATCGTTTTATTTGTTGGACAAACGGAAAAATTTTTGCCGTTTATACGAAAACGGTGGCTGGGCGGACCAAACATGAGAAGGTGATAAATCAGGTGGCTGATCTATGGATCATGCTTGGCTATGTATAATCATATAAGTCAATTAAAATATTTCAAAAATTAGTCCTGGTAATAATGTATGAATATACGATATACGATATGAATATACGAGTCGCAAGTCGCAACATTCATGTATCAAACTTGTAACGTTGGAGTACGTGCCATAGTAAAAGAAAGTGCTAGTTTTCCACAGGCCTGCATCTCTAATACTTGAAAAGAGAATCCGACATGTTTCGGCAAATCTTGAAAGGGAAGCGTTCCAGACAAAAATATTCTGATTCAAATTGCTTTTTCCCCACACTGAACAGATCCGGCCGAGTATGATACATTGATATGAGGTATATAACGTAGAAACAAGAAGTAAATACACAAAAGCATGAACACGACGGAGAAGAGTTATATGCCGGAAACTAGCAGACGAAAATAACTTACAGTACATAATGAGGAAACGGAAATTAAATCGTCCAACAAGTTCGATGTTCCAAATGTAAACAAATAGCTTTCAACAAAATGACCAGCGATTTTAGAAAATTGGAACATTTCCAAGTTGCAATAACATCGAGGTATTTGAATTATAATAAATTAAATCGCCTCGGGGTACGGCGAGTAATATTTCAAAATAACCAACGGCATTATAAATGTAGAATTAAATAATAATCTAAAACCCGTAATTATATTAGTCTGTATGCGATTACAGTGCGTCAGATATAGGAAACTAAAACAAATTTTATATTGTCATTTCAAAATAGCTAATTTGAAATATATTCTGTCAATTAATTTTAGAATTTCCGCTATGGCAATGTACGTGAAAATTCCTTTATTCACAACAATGCGAAAAATCGGAGAGTATTTTCTAATGTAAAATAGGCGTACCAAATGTCAACATTGAGAACAAAATCAGACAACCGTTCCACGAGTAACACGTTATGCGCTCAAATTGATTTATGTTGAATCTGCTCGGCAGACGGACCGTTTCGACAGAAAACATTTCACCCGACAAGTCACATTCAGAGCCATCACATTTATATTTTCTTATAATAATATCCTTTTGGTCATATAAATAATAAATATCCCGACAACTCGGATTTCAAGTTAATAGTTTGGTAATGTCGCGTAAGTTTAGGAATTCGAGTCTGTTTTAACCGTTTTATATAGTCTGTCCACGAAAGATAAACGGAAAAATGGCAGTCGATAGAAAGATGAATGTAAAGAGAAATTAATCCATTATCCGATTAGTCAAATATATTCTGCAATAAAGTTAATAATATGTAATACGCGATTATCACATATTAGTGTACTAAACTAATTCGCGGTAGCGAAATGCAAAGACTGTCTTTTGTTGTCAGTCAAACAGCGAAATATGCAACAAACTATCATTCTTTATAAATGTTTCTCAGATGATGAAAAAAAGGTTTCTCAAACACACATTGCGCTTGATAAACATTTACCAATAACATTTTACCCTGACGGGCTTGTATAAATAGGAAGATAGTTGGTAACGAACAGTACCCGTGAGAAAGCAAAGTAATAAAAGAGGTAATATACAAAATGACGTCACCCATAACGTACGTTATAAAATTGAACAATGACTTCGGCGACATTCATTAACGAGAACTGATTTATTAAGGTCAATTAATACGTTTTCAGAAAAAAAACGCAACTTGACTAAATGTAAAGTGTAAACGATTAGAATGAATTGGGAATATGCCTGTACTTTATTTGATATTAACATTTCAAAGTTTTAAAAAAATAATTGTAAATGATGTTTTTGTACGTATCGGCGATTTTTTTTAAATTATTATTAATTGGTTGTTACGGTATGTTTTATTTAAAACAAATGATGTTGGAGTGTTAAATAAACTTGATTCAAGAGAGGATTTTGATTTTTTTTTCAAGAAGAATGTATGTTTTTTTCGCGCAATTTACATTGCCTTATCACATTGGGTCGATGTCAGAAAACAAATGGCATCAGAATAAAACGCGACAACGCGGTTGTAAAGCTCTTTTGAGAAGCACAATGACAATTAACAAATGTGAAAAATCCAAGCTGTGTGCTAACACCTGTGTATGACGATCCTACTTACTCAAGGCAATGATATTCGATACGAACAAAATCATTGAATGTCATGTCGAGGACACTCAAGCGGAACGTGAACAAAACCAACAGCGGACGACATACGATGACACATTTTGAGGAACAGCTTAAAACCCTCTAATATTTTATGAGGGTTTTAAAACAAAATACTTAGGAATGTGAGTAAGAGATATGGTAACGAACCTAACAAAGTAGTATGAGACACTTAATCAATTTCAACCGGCGTGTAAAGTTGTCTCTGCTAAAAAAACAAATATTTTTCTATTCACTTGAATCTGTCTTACAATCCCGACCCACGGTGATGTCAAAATTTAGTAAGGACTAAGGACATGACCATATCAAAAGCAAATAAGAAATAATCCGTTGACATGGATTTAAAATCAAGAAATCTCTGTAATATTGTTAAGGCCTGATTATAAATAGGCGTCTCACTGAGTATACAAATATACTAATTGGGATCTGTAAAACATCTTGGACTAAAATGAGAATCGACTCCAGCCAGACTGTTTTCAATTATCAAACAATGATGAGCGTTTCTCATGCCAAATTCAAGGATGGGTGACACTAAATGAGTTATAAAATGTCCTGACATTAGCAATTGGTTATATAGAATATTCCAGAATACAATTTCAAGTGACCGACAATAAATGAAATTTCTGAAGGCGTATTATTTCATCATGTTTACTGAGTTGTATCCTTTAGTGGAAATAATAGTGCAACTCAAATTGAGGAAATAAAAAACCAATATCATTACGTCATTGTCTCATTGAATCACAATCTCTTCTCGTTGAGGTTGACAAAAGAATTTTTTGGAGACATTTCTGCTTTTTGCAATTTAACCCAAAATAGATGAAACAGAATACTCGTCCATCAGGCCGTCACTGCTACCAATACCATTGATTCATAGCCTCAAACTAATGGATTTCCAGACATTTTGAAACAATTTGTCAATTTAATGACCAGTAGGCAAACAAGCAGATGACACATCAATATAATGAAATATTAGACCTCACAGAACCCTTTTTTTACCATGCCAGAAAGGTGCTGTTAGTATCATAAGCACCCCAATATACAATGAGCAAAATGTCTAATATTTTCATTTGAAATTCAATAGAATTGGAGAGATGCAGAACTATAGATTTCCAACAATTTTACCTATTTCCTGTTTTATTTTTCAAGTGCCCATTGTATGCAAGACAAATAGTAAACCAATAGGAAGTAATAAACAACAATTTTGGTAAAATAAAATATTCACAATCAAATGGAATGAACAATACCAACAATTGATCTGTTAATTCAGACCATCCAAATCTAATATAGAACTGTGCTACTCATTTTCAAACTATTTACTCTTTATTACTTATACTAAGTTACAGTGGCAGAATGTATCACAAAAGCAGTTGTCCTAACAAAAAAGCCATAACCCTTCTTGTCATGAAATTTATGTAAGTAAAAGTATATAGTAAAAATATTTGTTCCGCTCATGAAAAATATTATGATAGAAGATATCAATATTTAATATCATAATTGAATTTTTTTTTCAATTTTAATCTGATCATTTTAACAAAAAATCTATTATGAATGGGTCTTGTCTACTTTTACAGCCAAACCATGCAGAATCGCAATTTGCATAAAAAGCCGCAACAAATTTTACAACACACCAGAAACTGAATATATTTATATACATAAAATGAATGATATATAGGATTTTATAGTTAAAAAAATTGATACATGTAGTGGACGATTAAATAAGCAGTAACATACATGACATGTTTGGCTATAATGCCATAGCCAGAATCAACAATGGTGAACGTTTCAAGTACTAAAAGTTTATTCATTGCATGACTGACGTTTTTCACCAAAATTTTCCTTCAAGCTGTGATGAAAATTTATGAATTAGACATAAACCAGCCGAGATAAAAATCAAATTCGGTAGCTTACAGAAACAACAGAAGAGAGGTGTTAGTGCCAGGGGTAAAAGCTTTAAAAATTTCGTTGCATTGACAAAAATATGCAGTATTTCTAATAAAATATTGGTTCAAATAACGCCAGATCTCATTTTTTCTTTGTATATTTATGACATGTCCTCTCAAGTCTCAAGTAACAGCTTTTGGCTTTATGTAGGTAATAACTACATGATTTTTTCGTTTCAATAAGTTTATTTTCGATGCAATAACAGCTTTAAATATCAGAAAATATACCATTTCTCAGGTACCATTAGGAATACTTGTATATATTAGGAATATTGAGTCTTTTTTGATTTTATGTACATTTTATTTTCACTTACTTTTTAATTGAGGTATTTCTATAGTCCTACTTACTGTATATATTTTTTCAAATATATGATAATTACATAAAACAATATTAGAATAAAAAGACTCCAAATCATTTGTATCAGGAGTTGCAATTCGAAAAATTAGTTATTCAAAACTTTCAGACCTGGTTGGGGTTTAAAGAGACTTATTCATAGTTTCACTTTAACAAGAAATCAAGTTCATGGTATTGTCAACACTGGCAGACTTGACCACTGTCTAGCTGTAGACCTCATCTAGATACTGACATACAACCAACAGTTAACCAGAAAATATAATCAAACATAATGATACCAAGCACCTTGTCACATACACCTACACCCGTTGTCTTTGTATCAGATTGAATTGGTTTTTATTGGCCTGCATATTTTTATAGTATAACAGCCCCAAAGTGTAATACATTCGCATATTTTTTGTGCGTTCATTTCTGGCGCAAGCCTTGTTTAACAAGATTAGTGTTTTTTTTGTAAATGCGTGCTCGCACATGATACCGGTACTCATCATGTTTTGAACTTTTTTATAGGTTTTGCTCGTTCTCCAGAACTCTCCATTTTTAATAAATGTGTATTGTGGAGTTTTTTAAAATGAATCTATCTATAACATAATAATATAATACAGTAATACGGTGCCGTACATGATACAATTTACAGATTTAGAGAAACATTATTCAGGATGATGCGATAAGACTAATGGCAGAATCGCCAAATGGATCATCAGTCCCCATCTGTCCAAAAATCATGGAATCATGAGGCTGTGAAATTTGGGTAGGCTTATCATGAAAAATTAAGAACAGGATAATGGCTACCACATTTAACTTGGCAGACACAGAAAACAGGACAAACTGACAAAACACTGAAATAAGTGAATACAATTACAAAACTTACAACTTAACTTACCAGTGATAAGAAGGCATATAACTGTAAGTATTTGAGATTTATTTCCCATAATGAAATTGCTGAAGATGTTTTCTGCGTAGAAGCTTGACTTTAAACCAACAACTGTCCAAATATTGGAATTGTTCACAGTATTCTAGTTTGATAAAATATAATACAAAACACCCTAATGCCTTTGTTACAGATAATTCATAGTCCACCTGAAATGAAAATTTATCTTTTTCAGTTCAGCAGTAACAGACTAACTGGTGCTATCTGGACTTTTCGACAAATTCTTTTCACGGCGACCACTTCTCTGCAACTAGTGAGATACTATTCACAGCCTCCCTAATCACGAAAATGTTTGATACGTGGTCTCAGTTCACCAGCGAACCTTCCCTTCGACTTACTACGACAGGCCACCCACTCGACGAATGCGCAAAGCGACGGGCGAAAAAGGCGCCATCAGACAGCAAACAAACCCTCTTTTCATATTCAAAAAACGGCTACGCCATTTTCTATAATCAATGTAGTCGAGCGTTTCGCGTTTACTCGTGAAATAACACCACACTGTGTGTTTTGTCGCCCTGTTTCCCAATTTGTGTCACTTGCTTCACCCCGTGGAGAACAATACCAATACGATGCTAGGAATTAAAGATATACACCAATCTATGTGTTTTTTTTATTTAAAAAAAGACGCTTGAAGAAATCGGCACGAAAATACAAATGTACCTTTATTCGATTTAATATATAATAATACAGTGAAATGTTTCCAGAACGTGTAAATATCCGCGAATAAATTTACTTCGTGAGACAGCTTAATACCAATTAATGCAAAATACAGTGACAAATTAGACGAGTTATGATAATATGTTAAAGAGAAATGAAATTTACAGTAGATACCACTAATGAAAATATATTTATCTGCTACTTTTTACATCATAATGAGTCTTGTAAACAAACATACTGTATAAAAGCGTTTAAGTATAAAATTGCAAAAAAACGCTTGAAAGCACTTCTGACATATACCATCACTGGAACAAGTAATGCACGGACAAACGACATCAAGCCTATGCTTTTCACAATGCATTTCAAGACAAGCTTACTTAGTTGAAAGCAAATTAAATTCACAGAAATCTGATAAACAGAAAACCCAAGAACAAACTCACAAAAGTTCAATTGGGATGAATGTACCAGTCATAAGAATACAACATTATTCAATAAGATAAATGATGCCTAATATTATGAGGCCTAATCAATAAGTATTATACTGCATGAAATCAATTCAGAACTGCAAACACAAATCAATGTAATTATGCCTTGGCACAGAATGTATTCGATAAATTGTGCAATTGTGAATAATTACCAGGATTTACATTTATTTATAAGCCAGGCCTAGGTTACGACTATCTGAATTAAGATAGTAGGATGATAGATACATACTAATTAAGTTAAAGAAATCCACTGATAATTCAACTTCAAAGTCGCAACTTCCAACAGTAAATAAATGGCTTTTGTGCATTTTTAAATCCACTGGATATCATTATTCTGACTATCTGAGAAACACCAAGTTGAAAGTCTGATTATTACACCAGCATCAGCTGTTGCCAGTGAATGTTGCTACTTGTGCTTTTTCTTTTTCGTGTCGTTCTTTTAACATTTCCAACAATCCAAAGTTAAAGTCGATTCCATTTTGTTCATTTGGGCCATTAGACAGAGAACGATGGCTTGTAAAATTAGACATAGGTGTCTCAGATGCTATGTTACTATCCTTGCTTGAAGGCTTTGCAGGTTTCGGTTTGGGTCGAGGTACGTGTTTCGAATATTCGATGGCCTATAACCAAGCAAAATAAGTTCAAAAGTTAACACAGTGATGGTGGATGGCATGTAATAGCATTTGTGGTGTCAATAAAAACACAAAGGTTACATACAGGAGGCACTGTATGTAACCTTTATATACACACTGTTCACTCTGAACAAGGCGCTTTACAAGCAGCGACGGATATATAATGAGCTAATATTTACCGGAAGAGTCTGAATCATCTCAGTTAGGTATTTCCTACTTAAGTGATTACAACCTGGTTAGGTGGTAGGCATGGAATTTGAAATCGAGACAGTTGACCTTCAATGGTAACATAGTTATTTATAACGCTTGATAAAGGCCATTGCGCATTTTTAAGTACATGTAACTTATCAGTATTACCTAAATAAATCAGGTCAGAAAAAAAAACACAGCCTCTATGAAGCCACCAGAAGCAAAGACTATTCTTCCTCATGTCGGTGAGCGTTAACTGAACAGTATCACTTATCTCACACTCTAGCTTTGTGATAGTCAAGCAGGGATTGGAGACCAGGTTTGTGGACATAAAGCCACATGAGAAACTCTGTGATTAATCTTAAAAAGCCAAATATGAAGTTGAATTAAGATTGTTCATCTTATTGAAAAAAAATTTGCATGTCACAAACCCGTTTTCTTTTATCCAACATATCCTTCCTCTGTTTGTCATCCATTGTGGCGGAAAAATGATATGTGTCATCATGGAAGGATATCTCATTTTCATCTGTGGTTATTTTCTTTGCAGTCAACATGTGTTCTCTTCTTATTAATTCTGCATATTGTTTTGCCTTTTCAACATTACCATGCTAAAATATCACCCAAAATTAATATAAATGGTAAGATAACAAGAGTGCACAATACATGTATGTAAACATAGTGTTCATGGGCTAAAAGCTCGCCAACGGCATGTACCAATATGGATAAACTAATTTTGTTCGCTAATTTTACATCAAGTTGTGTAAAGGCACTGAAACCTATGGCAGGAGGTATATTCACTTGGCTAACGAAGACAGTCCTCGAACTCATAATAGAATTAAAATAGGGAAATCAGAATAAAATTATAGCCTAACCCTGACCTGGTACAAACACTACAAGAGATGATTAACAAGAGGAATGTTAAAAACTGAATGGCTTTCTGAAAAAAACTTCCATGGTAAACTACTGAAAATGTCACAACGATTAGCATTGCAGACTTGCAGTGAAATACAAAAGCGTTTTTAGTCACAACAAAATCAATATGAACAACAAAGAGTTATATAAAAGTTATATTTTGCGATGATCAAAATTAAGAAGTGTTACTTTTTCTCTGGCACTTTCAAGATCAGGACCGAGACCTCCAAGTTTGACATCTTTCTTTAGATTTTTGTAATCATTTAATGTGTAGATCTGTAAAGAAGAAAAAAAATGATATTCTTTAGTTTGGAAAAGTATCTTTTTCTTCTGACATAGATATGTTTTATAAGTTATTGAAAACACAGATGAGTTAACATGTTGATGAAATTAGAAGTTGTGACTTTGAGAGGTGAAGCTAACAAAGTCAGGAACTCTCAAACCAAATTTGCCAAGTTGCTAAAATGAATTGAATCATCTGAAACTTAATATGCGTGGCTCACTAATTCCATACCCAACATGGACTGGTAACCGGGCGAGAGGCCGTTCGCCTGTGATAGGACATGTGATTAAGCTGTCTCACCGGCATTCCTCTCCCTTGGGATGAATAAGAAAATCCTAACCTACACCCCAACTAGGATTTAAGAAAATAGAAAGTTGCACCTTGTATTGAAATTTCTTCCTTTGTCTTTCATGTTGTTCAAGATATCCATTCCTATCTGGTGATATGGTTTCTTTATTGGGAGACGATTTCAATGAATTATTTCTCTGATTTGATTTCAATATTGGTGGTAAAACAGAATAATTATCTTCTCTGACATTAAAATAATCTGAAATAAAATATCCACAATTTATAATCACAAAATTAAATTTATAAAATAAAACAAATAACATATCCAAAATATGGTGAATAATTGCTACTAGTCTTATTTTTAATAGAAGATGAACAGCTGGAGAACATTATTACTCAGTTCATCTTGTTACTCTTAAATAACAGACTGCAAATTATAAAATAAGATCTATAATGTTATCAATTCGGTAGACAAACTTCCACAGATCTGCAATTACCCAAAACACGTATTTCAAGCTTCACACCGACTTCGGCAGTTTACGAATGCAATTAAATAATTTTTTCAATAACCTATAGGTGAGAAGACAATTTCTATAGATTTATTTTCAAAGAAATGCACAGCTTGACAGCTATTCCAAAAATATTAAAACGGAAAATCAATACAGTAAATAAAATCCAGGTTATTGGGTAGTGAAATACCACAAAAATTCATTTATTCACAGATGATATTGTTTCAAAATACTATAACATTAAATATAATGTTCTACCATCTACTGCAACGTTTTCTTTTCCAACTGGTCTTCCTCGTCCTCTATCAATTGTATGTCTCAGTGATTTAGAAGGTGGGGTCGGAGGCAAAGGAACTCTATATCTATTCAAACCGTATACACCAACGCCATTTGGTTGAACAGAAGAAGTAGAAAAGGGTTCTTCATCCATTAATCCTTCTAATTGGATAGCTGTAAAGATTATAATGAAATTGATTTTCATCTTTTGGTCGAGTAAGGAAAACTGATATGATGGTTCAGTCATATGACAGGTTGATATTTTAGTAACAACAAAAAAATATAGTTATAATAACAAATGCATTTGAAGTCTTTTTAAAAGTCATATTTATTCTGGTGTCAGGTGTTCTAGTGCAGAGCTCAAAACCTATCAACACCCTGTGAAAACCATGTATGCCAGGCAGAGTTTTTTCAACTCTTCTGTGGTTGCCGGAGAAATATTTATGAAATTCCCCCCCCAGAAATGGACGTTTCCCCAATCATAGACTTCCTTATTCACTTCTGTAACATTGGATAATCGACAAAATGTTAATGGTGATAAATAATAATTGAAATATCAGCATATGTTCAAAAACCTTATCACTCAGATTTTAAACAATAAACTTTTTTGTGGTTTAGTTTGCTATTTGTCAGTTTTTCGTTATACTTTCAGAATTTAGGTATAAATCAAATAACTAAACGGTAATTTCATCTTCAGAGGTGTTCAAGTTTAGTTGAAGTAATCATATTTTAGTTCTAAAAAAGCTGCTATAGACTAGAATATAATCAGCTATCAGTAGCTTTAAATGACTACTCGTTAAAATATTTTGAATCAACATACCGGTGTAATGAATATGTAAACCAGTTTGTGAGATCAACTCAATAACCACTCTCAAAATATGGATCTAGAATTTTGCAATGGTAAAGTATAAAATGAATGAATTAACGAAACATCAATTCCTATCTTTTCCCCCAGATGATCTTTCAAAACAATGTGGGCCAAGTTCCACATTTAGTGTAAGCCTACACAAAGCAACACATAATTAACTTCAGAATACAGTATTCCGTAATGAAAATTCTTACGTTCATTATCCCCAAGAAAGGTCACTTTTCTGTTGACATTTCTCATATTAGAATGGTTAGAAGGTGGTAATGTAGCTGGATTGAAGATTTCTTCATCATTTGGATTTCTCCATATATCAGCAGTTTGTCTTTGTGATAGGTTTTGTCGGGGAGGTAAATTCAAATTTTGTTCACTAAAATGTTGCCTAAGAACTTCGTTTCTCCTTGTAAAGCCAAGACCTTCATGGGACTCACCGCCATATCTGAAAAAACAAATGAACGGTGGATGATAAAAAAGGAACTTGGCATACACTTTGATTTGTATCCAGAGGCAGTAAACACAAAATTAGCATAAAAGAAGAATAACTAATAAAAAACTAGTTCTGAGAATTGAATGTTTCTTCGGAACCAATGGACAATGATACACAAGTTTCTCACCAAATTAGAAAGCAATCAAAAAGCATTTTGAATTTAAATGCCTTTAGCATTTAATACAGGTGTTTCCAGACTTTATTGGCCGCGGGCCAAAATTAGAATCGGAGGGATGTTTGCGGGCCGGATGAGTGTAGCGCCCGAAAGTGCGCGACGGGTTAGCTGTGGTTCAGTGGATCCACCATTATTTCTAAAAAATGTCTGTTTACGGAGTCTAGTTTTCGTTTGTGTTTTGATATCTCTAAGCTTTCTTATGTGGTTGATAACTAAATTACTGGCCTGAGCTCGGCCGGCAATTACAATTCATTACGCGGGCCGGATTTGGCCCGCGGGCCCCGGTTCGGGAACCCCTGATTTAATACATTGCTTTTGCAATATCTATGCAATTTCAAACAGAAAAAAATTCATATGTAACAACAGATACAAAAACCTCAAAAAAATGTCAAAATTTATTTCCAAAAAAACCTGTTTGGATAAAAAAAAAACTTAAGAATAGGAATTTAATTGAGTAACTCGACCATGACATTCACCGAAAGAGATCATGCACTTTTTAGTCGATTGTAATGTTTATGAATGACGTTAAAATAATATACCAAACTGGAAGTTTGTAGAATAAAAAGTTAAGAGAATATTGATTAATAATGACACTAACTGGGATTGGTAAGCTTTCATCAGAGGGCTTTCATGTTGTGCAGCAGGATTCATCATGTTCATTCGTGGAGAAAAATAGGCTCTTTTGAAACCAGATTCATTTAAAGAATCCATTAATTCGTCTTTTCGTGGTGAAATTTGCCTGAAATAGAATATTCTAAAAATTAAACTAGATTATGAAAGTTTTGTTACATAATGAACAATGAAAATTATGAACTTTATATTTTGATATTGAGGGTGTAAATACAAAATGGCAAATGTTAAAATTATAAAAAAAAAATTTTTTTTTCTTCAAGCTGGTCATAGTTTGAAGCAATATTCAGCAAAGAATTTCAATGAAAACTTACAGAAGTATAAAAATCAAAAATATAGTTTCCATCATTTTCCTAAAAAAGCTTTTACAAGCTCCACCTCTTGGGTTGGAGCTCTCGATATAATAAATGTTGTAGGAAAGCAATATTTACTGTTAATCAAAATTCTACCTTGTGAATTTATGAATCTGACAATGTTCAACATGTACATAATTCCATATTCCAGAATTGATTGTATACTAAGTAGTAGGTACGCAACTTCTAACAATTTCCCTAAAGATTCTATATCAGGTATATTAGCTATTCACTTGTCTATCAGTAAAATCATACCTATAATTCGGCTGAGAGTTTTGTTGTGATGGGACAGGTAAAGCACGTCGATTTACCATCAAATTTCTGTTGTTTTGTTGATGTAACCTTGTGTCCAAAACTCCTGTTTCAACAAATTCTTCCTGAAACAAAAATTTAAAATGATACATTGGTACAGGTTAATTTTGCAGATTAATAACAACGAAAAAAATTCGAAGTCTCCCACATATATCAATATTCTGCATAGACTTGAGAAGTATATATCCAAGTCCATACACCTGAAACAATTAAATGGTTAGCCAATCCCAAGCCTGATATGCTATGATAACAGTATGCGAGGATAAGTATAGGACTAATGGGTATCTGTGTGAGCGCCATTTAGGAATGTCCGCTTATAAGAAGTCATCTGATTTGGCAGCAGCCAGATAATAAAAAAGTTAAAACAGACTCATAAAAACTTATAATAATTGGAAAGTAAAAGAATTTATTAATAAAATAAAACTAAATAAGATGCTACACTGGAATATTGTCTAGTATAGCAGATTTATTTGGTGCCAAAACGTTGTCCTATACTAAATAGGCTGCGACACAAACAGTTACAGCAAAACATACCCTATAGAAGGAAAATTTACCAACTAAATTAATAAACATATCTGTATGTGTGATGCATACTGAATTTACCTCATTATGTGAATACCAGGCTTCTTCAGACAAATGTTGCATAATGTTATGTGTTGTGTTGTTGTTCCATGGTTGATTTGGAATATTTGATGGAGCTATGACAGAAAATTAAATGAAGTATATCATTACAGTAAAAACATAATTTGAGGCAGTCAATGGTATAAATATAGTACAATACAGAGAAAATGAATGCAACAATACATATATTGTGTCTGAAATTAGGGACCCCAATTGGTAGCCTATATATATCCAGGATAAGTTGGTATTGGTACACATTATAATTCACACCTTAATAACTAACACAAAACTTTTGCTCAAATGTAGGAAATGTAGGAAAAAGACTTGGGAATCGCTACCTTAAGGTTTAAAAGCAAGTTTTGACTATGCTAAGCAAACCCAGCTGCACTAAATTGATGTGTTATTGTTTAAATATAACCTCGAAACATACCAGGAGCCGCACCATTTTCTCTTGGTATCCATGGCCGCCTCTGAATCTTTCCTTTGTTAACATTCTCACCTTTGGCAACTTTTAATCTCTGTGCCTGTTGAGAAAAGTATACAAACTTTTACAGAATATACAAATATTCAGAAGTTTGTGAATTTTAATAACAAATTAGGATAACTTAAAAAGATCTAAGATTTATACAAAAATTTGATTGATTAGTAATGACCATAAAGGCAGAAATATTCCTATTCCAGTCCAGTGAAATGTTTCATTTCTTGGGTTAAGCTGTAGTTGCACATTTTCAAATAAATATGATAAACTATTTTGTATGTACTGTATAAGTGCAAGTAATAGGAAAAAGTAACACAATGAAGCAAAGAAAAAAGCAGCAAAATTAGCAATACAATGATGTACTAGTAAACTACAAAGAATAATTAGAAAATTTCAGCAGTTAGATTACATTTCTAGCACAATCTATACCTGCTTAGACCATATATCTTCTGCTGTTCCATCCACAAATTGATTTTCATCATGTCTAATTGGACTAAGTTGTTGAGCAGTGTGGTATTGATGCTAAAAATATAATGGAATAAGATAAAAGAAAAGACACTGATGCATCACACAGCAACAGGCCTGAATCTCATATTTTTATGGAAACAAATTTAGTTGTTTTGACATGTTTTATTAACTTTACTCAGATCGGCATATTCATCTGCTATTGCTGGAAAAACTCAAACAGTTAATTCTACTTGTGATTTGAAATAAAGGCATTTACTGGACTTCTGTATTGGTGTTGGGAATTATGGCTTGACACAGAAACCAATACCATGGCTTAAAAAAGCAACTTATATCCAACAGTAAAATTTTACTTTTGTGTGTATCAGGCGACTGATGGGTACTCCCGTTGTGCGTGAGCCAGTACCAGGTTAGGGTTAAGCCATAATTTTATTCTGATTTTCCTTATTTTAGTTCTATTACGAGTTTAGGGACTGTCTGTGTTAGCCAAGTGAATATACCCCCTGCCCATAGGTTTCAGTCCCTTTACACAACTTGATGGGAAGTAGGCAAATAAAATTAGTTACCTCCATATTGTACACCCAATTCTGGGGCGCCGAGGCGACTAATGACCAAATATTGGAAGAATAATATAGCATGTTGGCCAAATATGGAGATTTCTACTACCTGACTGACAGCGCCCTTCAATTCCGACTGTGATCTTGCTTTCACCAAATCAGTTTGTCTTGCTCTCTTGTTATGAAGATCTAAATATCCTGCTGAGTTGGTTTTTCTTCCCAATCTATGAAGAAAACAAAAACAACCTAAGTACAGCTGAAACTGGAAGCCTGGAACAAAGTGTCATATCCCAATAAAACACCTAAAATCCCTAAAAGACACGATTGAAGTCTCCTGTTCAAATTTCCATCTCCATTTTCGGAAAGACTGAAATCTTTCAGGTTCAGTGTCGTCTAATTGTCTTACTAAATTATTACACCATAGGTGGGCGGCATCTAGCGAAGATGAGGTTTAAAAATGAGATCTCTAATCTATGATGCCAATATGGCCACCATGCCCCAAACAATTTATTAAATACAATATTGCAGAAATTATTCACAGTGACATTTTAATTATTGCCATGGAAAATTATGAATGATAGGAGCCAATCATCAATGATTTGAAAACATACATTCCACTTGTGTCATCCGAAATTTAGAGGAAAAATAATGATTTATGCCCCATTTCACAATTTTGTTGTACATTAGATGAGCTATGGCAAACAATAAGTTCTAGTTATTACAAGAGAACCTAATGTAAACTTGTCCCATACATTCATTAAACATCCTCATTTTATCATGTTTCGAATATATTTGTTATTTTTATTTGAACCTATTACCTTTGCTTGTTTAGCTCAATGTAATCTTTATTCTTCGGTTTAGGCATTTTCGGTGGAGTTGGCGCTACGTTCTTTCTAACTTTCTCTCTCGGACTCAACGCAAGTAAAGGGTCATTTTTATCCAGTTGTATTGGTTCAGGTGATTTGTAACGGCCTTGTTGACTGTTCCGTTTCGGAATTTTTTGTCGATCTGGGCTGTTATTATCTTGCGAGCTAGGACCTCGACTTGGTGAAGGAATTCGGTGACGATCGGGTAGAATCTGATAACCTCCAACTTTAGCAGTATCTCTAGTATCAGTTCTGTTCAATTAGGAAAAATTTAATATGCCATCAATACAAGCACTATCAACTTAACGGTACTCCCGTAGTATGTGTACCAGGTTAGGGTTAGGCCATTTTTTTATTCAGATTTTCCTTATTTTAGTTCTATTACGAGTTCGGGGACTGTTTGTGCTAGTCAAGTGAATATACACCCTGCCCATAGGCTTCCATCCCTTTACACAACTTGATGTAAAGTAGGCGAACCAAATTAGTTACCTCCATATTGATACACAATAAACATACTTCTGGAGCGCAACTTAACCACATAGAACTTGTATCCCAAAACTTTTTTTTATCAGAAGTGAAAAATTACATAAAATCACACCAGCTAAGCAGGTGTTTAACATAAGATGCTGGTATCTGGAATGACCAATATGCATAACAAATATTATTGCCAAATTCGTATGACTAATTAAATGTAACTTGTTTTTATTTAGGATAAAAAATTATAATTCAAAAATTTACCAAAATACAGCACAATAGCACATATTTCATTTTTGAAATCATTTTTTCTGAAGAATAAATAAATATAAGACTAATATTGGGCCAAATATGTACCAGCATTATTCTTCTCATTATAAACACAAGATGACTCCTCCGTGGGTTTGGAAATATATCAACCTCGGTTAACATGAAAAGTATGTAATTGTGATGAACAAAAAAATGATTAATTTACAAATATTTTTCATATCGTACCTCTGTTCCTGTGAGTCTAATTTTCTTATTAACACGGAATAGCTTTCTTTTCGTGGACTTGGAGGTTCCTCTTGAATTGGTGTTATTTTTTGTGGATTTTGTTGCGGAAAAGTTTCCATTTGACTATTCACTCCTGCTGAGTAGATATAACAAAACTGAGGTCCAATATATCGTGAGCTTTCATATTCTGTGGACTTGGGGGCCTAACCGATCTGTTGGTGTTTTTACTCATTATATTTGTTAATTTCGCTGCAATCTTCTATACAAAGTGTTTCAGAATAATTCTGTATTTGCTTCACAATTTAAAAAAAAAAATTCCCATCACACCTATAGCAAATAAAATAAATAAATATCAAAAAATCAGATTATTGAAAATATGATAAAAAAAGAATTTCTTAGAAAGAATAAATAACGAATTTGAAAACAAAATAGAAATGTACACGAGACTTTTAAACAAACCTGAATTTGAAATTTCAGCTTGCAACATTCTATTATATTCTTCTTCCAATCTTGCATTTGTTTGTTGTAATCTAACTGGATCAGTACTTAGGCGAGTTGGAGAAATACTGGAAATGTTGAAGTTTGAAAAAGTATGAAACAAATGAAAAATAAAGGGAATTTCATATATATATTATATAAACTCTTCCAGAATAGAATGCCCACAAGAATAAAAAAATTTAAAAATGTGATTAAATCTATATTTATGATCTTTAAAAAAATTTTGAAATGGTTTACTACTATCAGTTTATATCAAAACTAGTATAACGAAAACTGTGATGTTGCCTAAGATTGATTGCCTCTCTAAGATTGATTTCATAACAAATTAGTTCGTATTTTTTAGGACAATCCAGAGACTAGCACCCCATTTTCAAACAAAGTGGACAACAATTCTTGAAGCAATACCTTTAATTATGAATACAAAGTAGAAATAAGAATAAAATGCAAAAAATATCATAAAATTGAACAACATATAGGATATAGCGAACCTTCTTGAGCTAAAAGGTGGAATCTTTTCGTTGCCCCAGTCAGGCCTGTAAATAGAGAAATTTTATTATTTTTGTATATTATTTATTTAATATAAATGATAGCCATGTAGTTGGAAGGTTAGCTCAACTATGGTGGCATCACATTTTTAAAATAGATTCCCGGTAAATCAGAACATTTTTAAGCTGATGTGACAGCCTTACCAAGAATGCACAATTCTGGTAATTTGTGTTGAAATGGAAAAATTATGGTATTGTAAAACAATAGTTTTTTAGGCCTAAGTGGCTGTCCATATACGGCTTTATTTAATTAAAGCAATGTGCTGCGCATATATTTGCATGATGCCAAGTTCTCATATTTACCACACTATAAGCATCTAAAGTCCCTATAATTTACACATTTACCAGTTGTTATAGGGATTTGCAAAATATTTTAATAACACCTAGAACCGTCATTCATTTCTTGTATAAATTTGTGTAAATCAAGTGAGGCGTACAACAGGTTACAATACCTCACAATAGCCTGTATTTACTATAACATCAAAATCCTTTGTGTATGATATGTATATTATGACACAACAATGTATTAATTTCAATCAGAAAGAATATTCACTAGAAAGAGTCTGAATTTAGGATTTTTAAATACAACCTGCTATACCTTGATAAAATCCTCAAAATGTGAGAAAGGTCAAGCTTTTTTAATACAATTAGCAATAGCACTTGACTTGCTTATGTAGAGTATCCTCAAAAGACCACAACTTTCAATTTAGTATAGTGAACAATAGAAAGTAGATATCAATAAATTAAACTTCAGACATATATATGAAATCCAAATAATATATGAACCCAAATAATTTAAAATACTTAATGTGGAGTAGAAATTACTTCCAAGGCTCAGAGGACATAGTAAAAATTTATGCCGGTTGATGAGTAACAAAAAGCACAGAAAATCCACCAAAAACCATTATCGATTTCTGTGTATTTTTTCACCAAAAAATTCTTGAGTTAACATGAAATTGAATAAATATCTTAGTATCAGTGCTGGCAAGTTGTTGTATTGACTATAATAAGAGTAACCTAACAGTACGACTTCTAATAATGGTAAAGGTATCCATCGCGGCACGCAGATATGCATGAAAAAATTAAACTAACTGAGTAACTGGTAATATTGTGCATTCGGTCCCAATGGAAAAACAAATATGAATCATGTGAAGAACAAAATTAATATATTGCAACTTCATTTCTATTATTTTGTTAATGCCTGCCTAGATTTTAGTGATAGACACACATAGGCCTGTATACGGGGCTTCGATGGGCGCATGCTGCCACATACCAGATGATAAAATAATGAAATGATAGACAAAAAACTCACACAACTGGTGAATATAACTCTTTTTTATGAACAACGATAGCACCACCACCTTTTCTTGATGAATTGGTGGATTGATCCAAACTATCATCCAACCTGAACAGATGAAAGATTTTCAATAAGCAGAATAAAAAAGGGCGCTCCAGAAGTGTGTGTACCAATATGGAGGTAACTAATTTTGTTTGCCTACTTTACATCAAGTTGTGTAAAGGAACTGAAGCCCATGGGCAGGGGGTATATTCACGTGGCAAACACAGACAGTCCCCGAACTCGTAATAGAAATAAAATAAAGAAAATCAGAATAAAATTATGGCCTCACCCTAACCTGGTACACATACTACAGGAGTACCTGAAAAAGTGCCACAGGTGGAGATGCAATTTTTTTCCTCATATAATTGCTTGTATGAGTTGAAAGATATAAAAACTTTAGATGGTAAGATATACAGCAAATTCGAATATTTTGAAAAGGCTTTATTATTTACAAAGTCAAAAATACAAGCCTCATGGCATAAAGTATTGCTAACAAATTATATTAAGATACGGAAATATAATAATTTTGTTGTGTAATTATAAATTTTTTCAAAAATAATTAAAACTTACTTCGGCGCATCATTGAAATCAATAACAACAGGTGATGCAACTTCAACATTATCATGCGGTGTATTTTCTATTTTTCTCCAATTTGGATTGTATCTTAGATCAGCATATTTATCTTCTGAATTTTGAAGATGATGATGTTTCGATATAATCGGTGTCCGGATAGATTCTGGAATACTGGTTTCACTAAAATGAAGAACACAGGAATGAATCAGAAAGAAAAGTTAGTAGTTGTAGTTACTAGACAAAAGAAATTTGGACCTCCAGAAGTATGCGCACCAAGATGGCGCACAACCTGAACATAGTATGTGTGTACCGGTTAGGATTCAGATTGTGCGACATCTTGGTGCGCATACTTCTGGGAGCACCGGAAATTTTATGCCAAAAGTTTTTTCCAAGAAATTCAGTTATGCGGAAGCAGTTTTTTTGCATTGCATAGACTTGAACTGCTTCTAATATCACGACAATCGGTATTCAGCGACAAGTAGTTCTACGCTATAATTCTTTACAGCCTCAGTATCTTTTGAAGTAATAGTGATTGTCCGTAACTTCAATCAAAGATCAGTCCATCTATTTTCAGGTACAAATAGATAGAACATGGCTATTCTCTGATTATTACAGTAAATACCGATTCGTGAAAATCAAATGAAAAATTCCCATTTTATATTCCAGATACTAATAATACCTGTCTTTTAAGGATGAATCCACAGGTTTCCTATTTCAATCTTATTACAAATCATTCATGAACTAGCATCAAAGGATGGTTTATAGAACTACAGGTAAGCAAATAGTTGCAGCTCTCACCGGTTATCAATAATATGATTATATGATTTAACGAATAATAAATTATACTTTGAGGATGGTCCATATAAACTTGATAGGCCTATATCAAATCTTGGAAATTCTTGATTTTTTGCCATGAATCATCAATTTCAAATAAAATTTTCTCCTATTTTCTAAAATAGTTTTCATAATCAAATACAATACTTCGAATACAACTGTTGCACCAACTAGGTATCTACCTTAACTTTGAAGCAGGAGTGGTAGCAGCCTCTCTTGATGATGAATAATTCAAAGAATCAGCAACAATAGTATGATCATCCTCATCAGAAATATTGATTTCCTTGATTCAAAATGAAAAAAACTTATCAAAACATTTTTCAGTGAGAAAAAAATATTAAGCTATGTGCTTAATATGTAATACTATATTTACAATGGCAATGTACAAAATACTAAGTTTTTTAAAATGGTTCTTTTTTAGGATAGCAAGATCTAATCAAAGGACTGACTATACAGGATTCAGATAGGGAATTAGTTTAATAAAGAAAACAAGCATACCTGATGGATATTCTGATCATCAACATCTAAAGAATCTTTAAAAAGATTACTTTCTTTTCTACTTGCAATATATTTTGCATCTGCAGCTGAAAATGAGATTGTATGATATAAAATACCAATTACTATATGGTATTTATAAACTTACAGATTGGTTTTAACCTAATTTTAACACTCATTTATATTTCATATAAAGCAGGCCTGCATAATGTATAAACCATGGTACGCATGTGGCTCGCAAAAGCTTTTTATGCGGCTCGCGGGAGGATTTCAAAAAATTGATTGTGCTTCCAAAAATAGTGATCGGCGCTAAAGAACAATTTTATGTTAATTCGGGATAAATTACAGGTTACACTGTTATAATGATATTGGCTTGAGGCTTGTGAACAATTGTTTTGGTATGTTGCTGCCCTTTCGTTCATTGTGTTGTGGAGGCCTGATAAAAAGCATGGGGCTTTTACCTAGCAAAAAAAATCAACATACCTTGCTGAGAATGTGGAGAGACACTTTCCATGTTTCTATCAACAGAGAGTTGTCTTTTGCTTTGTTTACTTTTTTCTTGCATTCTTTTTATATCATCATGATCATAATTTTCACTGAGACGATCGAGACTTAAATGAAGTTCGGCATGAATACTACTTGATAACTGATGATCTCTTGCTGTCAATTCATCCTCCAAATTTGGTGACAAAACACTGAGCCCACTCCCCAACATATCTGAAACATTATATAAAATTCATATCAGAGATATAAGTGATCAGTGATTTGACAAAAAGTTGAATTAACGAGTAGAATATTAATTGTGTATCACAGTTATCAGTAATTATAAGTAAATTAGAGACTTAAAGCACTTAAACAAGTCCACGAAAATAGCTAGTCCAAAGTTATTCAACAAAATACAAAAATTCAAGAAATAGCAGTTGATATGTATAGACCTCTGAAGAGAATTTATGAGAACCGACTGCTAATAAACTAAATCAACAACATTTTTTTTAGAAAACTGTTTAATAATATAGCATACTTTTCATTCTAAATCAGAAATATCAAAAATAAACATAGAACCATTGTAAATGTAGAACCAAATATATTATATTCCACTTCATTACAAAGCTAAAAATGAACAGCAAGGCAGTTACCGTCGCCATCTAACAAACGTAGCTCATGCTCTTCATTATGATTGTCAGTTTCAGTTTCAGTCACATTTTCATTATTTGTAATATTAACAACCGGACGTTTCATTCTTCTCCCACTGTTTGTTATAAATTCTTCTTCATTAGAAACAGGTTGTGGATGTGGAAGCTGAACTCTGTATGTATCCTTAATATAAATGATATAGTTATAACATAGGCCTATAGAATAGGATAGGATTTACATATCCATCCCAGGGGAGAGAAAAGACGATAAGATGGCCTAATCATATGACGAATCACGCCTCTTGTCCGGTTACCATTCCAGGTCCGGTTGCCTAATCAGCCAGTTATTTGTTCTCGGAAGCATGGAATTGATGGCAGAAAAAGCCGTAACCGATCAGCAGTTAGGTGAACCACCTACGGTGGCGGAAGTAAACTTATATAGACAACTCAATACTCATCTACGTTAACATGCTGCCATGGAAAGTAATTTTATGTAGTATTCACACACGCAATTTCGGATAAAATTTTACATTTGATACTATTACTAACCATGGAGACTCTTCTGCTCTTGCAAATATAAATAAATTTGTATGATATGCATGAATATAGTTGATATTCCAGTATTTGTAAATTTTCATCAATCAATTTATGATTTCAGTTTTAGGTTTAATCAGTTGTAGGTAAGATACTATACCACACATCTAGTTGGAGGTAATATTCTATTTTAAAATAGTTATGTTAAACAGTAAGGCAATACAAATCAAACTAAAATATTCAACTTCTCACAATCTCACAGCTTTAATGGGAATCTAAAGGCTGAAGGTCAAAATGCACCATATTAGCATACAGCCATAGAGTACAAAAAAGCAAATCATCCATTACCTGATTACCGGTAGATAATTTCAAGACACTGCACTACTAATTTGTAAATTCCGATAGTATTTAAGTTTTAAGCTATTTTGAGGTTGGCGCTGACAAGTAGACCGAATGGTAATTTCGCGGTTATCCTGCCATCCGGTACAAATATTTTTGTGATCTTGTTTTCATTTTTGTTATGCTTTGCCGAGATGGCTAATAAAAAACGATTTGATTGATTATGCCTTCCTGGTCAAACTGTGTGTACCAATTTACAGTTACACTATTTAAGCACACTTGAATGGTCGCAAAATTATTTGATGAAGATTTAACATACCATTTTACGAGGTGACTATATTCTTTTCCTTCAGTTCTCTGTTTCGCAACAGCCTTTGTTTATCCCGTCTCGCCCCAGCAACATTTCAAAACAATAGCCGAAACCGCTGTATGTTCCGAGCGACATCTTACGGATATATGTATCAGCTTCAACGGAAACTGGAGGAAGATACGATAATCAGAGAGCATGACCAACGGTATTTCGGAGGTGTGGTGCATCGTGTTAATCGTTATAAATACCTCCGCACCGCATCCCTGATCACACTTTCGTGAGTTCGCAGGTTTAAATCCCGCGTTCCGATCTATTCGATAGGATTGCTGGACTCCTCGCGTGATCCACGTATGTCCAGCATCAAATCGATACATATGAGACAACCAACTACAAGGGTAACGACATGAACGGAAGTTCGCGGTTTGAGCTCAATTCAACCCCATTATTAAAATAAGAGAAATAGTGGCAGTCAATGTGCCATTGGCAATAAGTGATAGACCTTTAACAGCATTTGAAGCTTCTGGCTCCCTTTATCAATTTTGCAGGCTTCCATTTGGTGTTACTAATGGTGTAGCTGCATTTCAGCGGTATATTGACTCTATCATTGCCAAATACGACTTGAAGGGAACTTTGGCTTACTTGGATAATGTCACTATTTATGGTACGAACCAGGAAGAACACGATGAACGACTGAAAGCATTTCTCTCTGCTGCCAAAGATTGTGAGTTAACTTTAAACCAAGATAAATCCTTTTATTCTGCTACTGAACTATCACTGTTGGGTCATCTAGTATCACATAACACTATTAAACCGGATCCTCAGCATTTCAAACCGTTGCTCGACATGAAGCCTCCTCGTGATTCTAAGAGTTTAAAGCGTTGCCTTGGAATGTTTGCTTACTATTCCAAATGGATTCCTAAATTTTCTGATAAAATAATTCCCTTGACTTGAAATTCGGGGTTTCCACTTTCAAACAATGCTATGAGATGTTTTGAGATTTTGAAAAGCGATCTACTAAATGCCTGCCTCGGAAGTATAGACGAAAGCAAGACTTTCACCATTGAATGTGATGCGTCTAATAACGCAATAGCCGCTATTTTAAATCAGTGTGGTCGTCCGGTAGCTTTTACTTCCCGTACACTATCTAAAAGTGAAATAAAGTACCCTTCAATTGAAAAAGAAGCTGCTTCTATTATAGAAGCAGTCAGAAAATGGAGTTATTTGTTACATGGAAGAAAGTTTTGCTTAATTACAGATCAACGGGCCCTGTCTTTCATTTTCCAAAAAAACCATAAAAGCAAAATTAAAAACACTAAATTGTCATTGTGGAAATTGGAACTTAGTTGCTACAATTATACTGTTGTTCATCGAGCCGGGATTGATAATGTAGCCCCTGATACTATGTCTCGAATAAGTTGCCTTTTTGGCAATCCTGATTTTGACCTCAAAAGTATTCAGGAACAACTTGGTCACCCGGGTGTTAGGAGATTGTCACATTTCATCAGATCTAAGAATCTGCCTTTCTCTACTGAAGATGTAAAACACATTTGCTCCAACTGTCAGCAATGTGCGGAGCTAAAGCCGCGATATTTTAAAGGCAATTACAAGCATGAATTAATTAGAGCAACTCGTCCGCTGGAACGAATCAGCATTGATTTCAAGGGTCCCGTTTGCGGTAAAAAGCAGTATATTCTGATAATTGTTGACGAATACAGTCGTTTTCCATTCGCCTATCCTTGTAAAGATATGACTTCTACAACTGTGATACAGTGCCTTTCTTCCTTATTTTCACTGGTGGGATTTCCTGAATACGTACATAGAGGCCGGTCATTCTTATCAAGAGATGTTACGGAGTTTCTTGCAAGAAGGGGCGTTGCTAACAGCAATTCCACTCCGTACCATCCAACAGGAAATGCTCAGTGTGAAAGGATCAATCAAACGTTATGGAAGACTATAAAGCTACTTTTGGCTTCTCAAAAATTACCAGAGGCTGTCTGGGAAATTGTCTTACCTGATGCCTTGCATAACGTAAGATCTTTATTATTATGTACGTCTACTAACTCGACTCCACATGAACGGTTGTTTGGTTTTCAACGACGATCGATGCTGGGCCAATCGCTCTCCGATTGGCTACTTTCAAGGGGTAGTGTGTTGCTTCGAAAATTCGTCCGGACAAAGACCGAACCTCTCTGCGACGTGGTGGATCTATTGGATGCCAATTTCAAATATGCACTGGTACGCCACTCAGATGGAAGACAAACTACAGTTTCTGTGAAAGACTTGGCGCCATGTCCTGACCAATCTAAAGCTAAACCAACCGAGACTCCAAATGATTTGAATGACGCTGATTTGCCAGAAGCTCAGGATGAATTAAATTCTACTTCGAATGAAAATTCGGAAACTCCCGTAGAAGATACTGAAAGCCCTTCGTCGCTCTGGTAGAATACGTAAGAGCCCGGATTGGTACGGAGATAGAATCTCTTAGCTTTATTCTACGAAGTGCTATTTTCATTTTGTAATTTTCGCGCATACTTTATATTCTGTTATATATATACATGATCTTTCTGGGTGGGGTGATTGTGATGAAATTGAATTAGCGCCACCTAATGTGGCCAACGTGGCACCATCGTTAATAGTCTCGTGGTTATGCGAAGGTTTTATTTGGTTAGCGTGCGTCAGGATTGCTACATCTTGTAACTTGTTCTTTTTCTTGTTTTAGTATAGTAGTAATCTTTAAGTTAATAAAAGCCTAGCTCGAATGGTTTCACTACATGTATTTTACATACCCCATCAGCATATCCCATCAGCGCGGCGGTGTGGCTTATCGTGCTAAGCGTTAGGAATGCGCTCGCCACCGCACCTCTGATTTGGTTTGAATCCCATGCGGGATGGTTATGTTCGAGAGGATTGCTGGACTCACCGTTGTTCGCCATATGGTTACGCCGTCTTATCGGCTTTCCCCGCCCCGGGATAAATATGTATATCATACACTAGAAGCTGGCAGGTGCACTGTGTCGGCGATAGAAGTTTCTTTTCAGTTGATAATATTTTGAACGCTGTTCTTCCTTGTGTTCCGACCGGCTAATTTTTATCGATAATTGCTTTTCTGTTTTGACGCGAATTTCGCGGGCTTTACTGCATCCGACGTGTCACGCGTGGCTCTTGCATCTCGACTTTACGCGTCGTAGGACGTTCTTGTTTAATCTTGTTATGATGTTAGTGGTGTGGTTTCGCATTATCCGCTTTATTGACTTAGCGTGTGGGTGGCATTTGGTCTCGTTAGGTAGAACTGTGGTGAGGGCATCGTAACCGGGGCCCCGTATGACCATCGTAGTCATTTATTGCTTTAATTGTTGATGTATTTTATATTTCATTCTTATTAACTGCTTTCTAAATTTAGTTGCTATTTTTATGCCAATAACGTTATCGTTCACGTTTCCTGTCAGTTTCTTGTCGATTTAGGCCTTTGGAGCGTTATCATATGTAAGTTTATTTTCTATTAACTTCTGGTTATGCATTTTCTTTCCGCCCTCATATTGTGATTGTTTATTGATTATTTCATTTTATTTACAGTAAACCGTTTTACAATAAATGCGTATGACATGGAACATCTGTGTGCCTAAATCTGACAAAGTTGAATATGACGCATTTGTTGAAGTCAAATACTAAAGAATCTGAAGCAGCAGTGGCTTCATCGTCGACATTTACGGAAGAAGGCGACTCTGCAGCTGACGAAACGTTTGAGGGCTTGCCATCCTTAACCACGCTTAGACAAAAGCGTATCAACACAGAGACTGAGTTTGAATTATTGTTGACCAAAAGTCGAAATTTGATAAACGAGAAGGTTCGAAGATCGCAGCTGGCATGCCTAAAAACAGAGTTACATTTTAAACTGGCCGCCTATAATCAAATTATATCGAACACATTACCTCAAATTCGCAACGCAGAGTCGAAAGCTGCTTTCGAAGAATGCGTTCAGAAAGTTATATCTGAAGTTGAAGGTATGAACGATGTAATTGATAGTTACATCGACCGTGAACCTGAAATATCGTGCGTGGCTCCTGACGAAGGGAACTCTCAGATTTCAAGTGAAAGAATGGAAGAGGACAGCGATAATACAATAAATCTCCAGCCAGCGTGCGCCAAGCAGTCCGGTGGTGAAATGGGGGCGGCGACTGACCAACTTCGAGAATCTAGAGCACGAGAACACGACGATTGCCGGGAGACACCAACTCTTTTAAAGATTCCCTTTATGAGCCACAGGTTCAATAACTTTGACGAACACGACGTGTTACAATCAACTCAAAGAAAAAGTGCCCGCTTCGAACCAGAGACTTTTACCGCGTCAGATAAACGTCGTGAATATACGATTTCTTACACTCCAAGACATTACCAAAATCCTTCACCAGCAAACCAAATGCCGTTGCCAGACCAATCGGTAGACTTCTGGATCGATAATCTCCAACCAAATCAAGCAGGATCCAGAACGGTAAATGATAACATTTCTCTAGCTGAGCAAACGTGTTTATCTTTGAGTTTAAATTCTAAAATGTGGGCTGAGCATCATTTGCCGCCGGTACAAATAAGTCCGTTTGATGGGAGTGCTATAAACTGGCCTAATTTCATTGAATTGTTTTATGAAAATGTTCATTCACGGTTAGACGATGATGGTCAACGCATGGTGAGATTGTCCGCGTATTTGTCGGGTTCGGCGAAGCGTCGTGTTGAGGGATTAGGTACCGCCGGTAGTCATTACATACTGGTTTTAAAGGAATTAAAACGCCGCTACGGACAGCCGGTACTGATCGCACGGGCGGTGCTTGACCGAGTTGTAAATAGAAAACGTATGTCGCCTCTTTCGGCCGATAGATTGCTAAATTTTCACCCAGACGTGCGTGACTGCGTGGTGAATCTCAAAAAGATGTGTTATTTGGCTGACATCAGTAGCGTCGAGAATGTAAGGAGGGTTTCAAGCAGGATTCCTCAAGAACTGAACTCGAGTTGGAATAAATTTGTTGTAGGTTTTATTCACAAAAACTCTAATCCGACATTAATTGACTTTGAGCAATGGTTGTGGGAAAGAACTGAAGAAATCGCCAATCCTTTTTCTCCAGATGTTTCTTGCAATGTGATCAATAGAACTGATTTAACTGACCACGAGATGCCCAGAAGCGCTCGTCCGACTCCATTTTCAACGTTATCAAACTTGGAATCCGATAATACGTCATATAGTGACGCATCACGTTGTCAATTCTGCAATGCTCGCCATTCTTTGAGAAGTTGTGAGACGTTTTTCGGTGCGACCGATTATGTAAAACGTAACTTTGTTGTAGATTACAGACTTTGCTTTAAATGTCTTGAACCGGGCCATCGTGCATTTATGTGTAGATGTGATGTCGAGTGTAGTATATGCAATGGGAAACATCACAAATGTATTCATGGAATTTGCATGTTTAAAAGCGTCCCAAGACCAATAAACCGACAGGGTATAAACAATGCGGTGTCGGTAACAACTAGAGTTCAATTTCAGTTGCTGCCTGTTCTGGTTAGAGGAGCTAATGGACGCTCCGAATATACAGTTGCTTTGCTTGATTCGGCAAGTCAGGTCTCTCTCATCCATCCCAAACTTAAAACTAACTTGGATTTGCGTGGACGTCGTAAAAGGCTCATGTTAACCACCCTCGGAGGAACTGGGGCCTTGCATGACTCGGAAGCGGTCGAACTTTTTGTGCGTGACAAATTAAATCCCGACGGCAAAGAACTACATCTAAAGTCAGTTTTAGTATGTGGCACCAGAATTCCCCACCCTGAAAGAAGTCATAAAGATTTTGAATCCTTCCAGCATTCACGTGGATTATCACTTCCTGACATTAGAGAAAACGAAGTTATGTTGCTCATAGGTGCGGACCATCCATTTGCCCACTTTCAACTTGAAAGACGTGTAGGGGGAGACAATGAACCGATTGCAATAAGAACACCACTCGGATGGACTTTGCTAGGCGCAAACAAACGCGATTGTGAGGACGATTTAATTCATGCTAATTGTCATTTATTACACGATGATTACAATATCTTGCAAGACCAAGTTAAGCAATTTTCGAGTACGGAAGCGATGGTATTGAGCTACAACACGAAGCGCGCCGAATCTGTGGAAGATCGCGTGGCTGCGAATGTGAATAGAGCTAAAACGTCTATTGTTGATGGGCATTATAAAGTCGGCTTTCTGTGGCGTCGCGATACTTCCATTATGTCGGAGAACAGTCTTATTGCCCGTACGAGATGTAGGAATCCGAAAAAACGACTGTTAGAAAATGACGGTCTGAGAGACATGTACGGCAAAACATCAAACGTGATTGGGTGCGAAAGCTGACTGTTAAAGAACGTGATACTTTGGGTCCTCGAACTTGGTATCTTCCTCATCACGGAGTTGAGAATCCAAATAAACCTGGCAAGATACGAATAGTTTTTGACGCCGCGGATACATATTGTGGAATCGGTTTGAATAATCAGATATATTCGGGACCTGATCTCATTAAGAATCTGATTGGAGTTTTATTGCGCTTCAGAACAAGATTGATTGCATTGAATGCTGATATTGAAGCCATGTATCACATGGTGCGTCTACCACAGTCGGACACGGATTCAGTCAGATCTTTCTTGCAAGGAAATCTGAGATCGACAACCCCGCCTGATGTGTATCAATTTCTAGTGAGAATATTTGGTGTGGTCGACTCGCTATACGTTGCAAAAACCGCGCTTGATAACACCGGGCAATTTTCAATGGAAGCAGTAGAAACGTTTTTTAGGGATTGCTACGGAGACGATTTGCTTTCATCAGAATGTAATGGTGACGCTTTTTCCGACGCTCAAGAAGTTTCTAATATATTAGCAAGCAGGGGTTTTCGATTGAAAAAATGGCTTTCAAATTTCAAAACATTATTGTCGAAATTTAACACAGGGGATTGTCGTAATCCTGACGTTGAATCGGATTTTGATTATGTGCCCAGTTCTAAGGCGCTGGGACTTCATTGGAACACTAATGACGACGATTTCTACATTGTTTACAATTCGTTGACAAAACCTGTGACAAAAAGAGGAGCGCTAAGCGTGGTCGCATCAGTTTTTGATCCCTTCGACATTTTAGCCCCTATTATTTTAACTGCGAAACTCCTTATTCGGGAGTGCTGGAAAGATGATTTGAAATGGGACAAAAACTTAGATAACCTCAGGAAGAATTCTCGGGAAGAGTGGACCGAATCATTAAAACAATTGACTAATTTCCATGTGCCTAGACAATATTTAGGCGCCTCGAAAACCGCTATTTATGAGATTTTCGATGCGTCTGAACAAGCTTACGTCGCAGTGGCTCACTTGCGTGCCAAGAAATGTCAGTGTGTGAATTATAGTTTGTCGATGGCCAAATCAATTGTTTCTCCGATGAAATCTATGTCCGTTCCCAAATTAGAGCTGCAAAGTGCTTTATTAGCCGCGCCCGATATCATAAACAGTCGTCCTTTAACCTCTATTAGCGACAACGTACGTGATCAAGCTCCCCTCACGCCCAAATACACCTTTGGATCAACAGCGCATCAGAGAAGATGGAGACAAACCAAAGCAATTTCGAATCGCTTCTGGAAGCGCTGGCGACGAGCGTATGTACCAATGCTGATGACTCGAACAAAGTGGAAAAAAGAGAAGAATTTATTGATAGATGATATCGTAATTGCTGTAGATGACGACGTGCCAAGAAGACGTTGGTTACTAGGAAGAGTTACTTTTAACCGGGTGTGTGTAACTACCGTCAAAACAGCAGGTGTGGAAATAACCAGACTGGTGACGAAACTATGCCTCCTGGAAAATGAATAACCCCTTGAAGGGTTATTGGGGGCGGCTGTGTCGGCGATAGAAGTTTCTTTTCAGTTGATAATATTTTGAACGCTGTTCTTCCTTGTGTTCCGACCGGCTAATTTTTATCGATAATTGCTTTTCTGTTTTGACGCGAGTTTCGCGGGCTTTACTGCATCCGACGTGTCACGCGTGGCTCTTGCATCTCGACTTTACGCATCGTAGGACGTTCTTGTTTAATCTTGTTATGGTGTCAGTGGTGTGGTTTCGCATTATCCGCTTTACTGACTTAGCGTGTGGGTGGCATTTGGTCTCGTTAGGTAGAACTGTGGTGAGGGTATCGTAACCGGGGCCCCGTATGACCATCGTAGTCATTTATTGCTTTAATTGTTGATGTATTTTATATTTCATTCTTATTAACTGCTTTCTAAATTTAGTTGCTATTTTTATGCCAATAACGTTATCGTTCACGTTTCCTGTCAGTTTCTTGTCGATTTAGGCCTTTGGAGCGTTATCATATGTAAGTTTATTTTCTATTAACTTCTGGTTATGCATTTTCTTTCCGCCCTCATATTGTGATTGTTTATTGATTATTTCATTTTATTTACAGTCAACCGTTTTACAATGAACGCGTATGACATGGAACATCTGTGTGCCTAAATCTGACACACTATATATATAAGTGAGCAAGCTATCGCCGAAGATCTTGGGAAGGTTTTGCGTACAGTGAGATCACAAACAGATGACATGAAAGAAATAATTTTGAAGTGAAGCTCCGACTTTATATATTTATTAGGCATCACATTACTTTCAAGCGCCACAATTCCGTGTTATTTGTAAACAAATTCTATCTGCAATCATTTGGAGAGATTATTGACCACCAAGATCGTCGAGGGTTCTATTATCTTTGCACCCGCAATTTGCACTCAGGACAATTGCACCTGTTTTCTTTGGCACACACAGACATTTGCACCGATGATCAATTGCACCCAAACATTTACATTCACAGGTTTTAGCACCCACATACAGATTGCACCCATAAACATTTGCACCCATGTACATTTGCACCTACAGACATTTTCACCAATGAATATTTGCACCCATAGACATTTGCAACCATGTAGGTCTAAATCAGCATCCACGGACATTTGCACCCGCACTCATAAATAATTGCACCCACGGATATCCGCATCTCTGGACAATTGGTTTAACACTGTCTTGATTAATTTATGTACGATCAGTTTTCATCGCCACCGTGAATTCGATTACGTTTGCGTTATTTCATCGAAAAAAAAATGACTGACGAAAGTGGAATAGGATTATAACTCACAACAAGAGAGCTGTGCTCAAATACACGGACACGTTAACCAGAGCGAAGCAGTATTTACCTTTGACGCCGCCGGTACCCACAAAAAATCCCGAGTTTCGCGTAGAAATAATATACAGAATCAAACCGGACAGCCAGTGTTCCCATGGATAAAATAATACAGCGAAATTTTATAGACGAAATATCAGATTTCATGCGAAATTTAGAAATAAATAAAAGTAATAGCCTTCTGACAAAAAAATCAATCTTTACTCACTGAAAATTTCAAAGCAATTGGTCCAGTAGTCAAAGAGAAAAGCGATTTTTAAAAAAAAAAAATGATGGAGACAAATAATAACAAGAGAGCTATGCTCGAATATATATGGACACGTAGAGTCACATAATTTTGATGACGTCGTAGCGAAAAAAAAAAGTAATAGCCTTCTGGAGAAAATTTTTATCTTTAACCACTGAAAATTTCAAAGCAATTGGTCCAGTATTCGAAGAGAAAAGCGACTTTTTAAAAACGTGTCAAAGAACAACAACAACAACAACAACAACATAATATTGAAACGATCGTTATGTCCACTACGTGTCCAACAAGAGAGCTACGCCCAAATATATGGACACGTCTGTTCGCAGTACAGTAAGGTTTACCGTACCGTCAGATCACAGTCTACAAATATATTCACACCAAGCGAAGCAGTACAGTAGGACTTCCAACTTTCGCTAAGGCGGTACGGTAACGTCCCCGCAGAAAAGAAAACCAACATTATTGCAATACTGTACGGTACAGTACCGGTACCGTAGTAAGACAGCGTAAGGAAAAAATCGTAGCAAAGTACCGTAAGGACTTCGTTACGAACCATCGACGTTCGATGACACGTGATCAAAAAGAAGAGGAGTGTCGGCTATGCGTCCGCAGAACGTTCGGTGACGTCATAGCAAACAAAAACAAATCTCACAGAGATAACAGAAATATTTGAAATAAATAAAATTAATAGCCTTCTGGAGAAAAATTTCATCTTTAACCAGTAAAAATTTCGAAGCAATCGGTCCAGTAATGAAAGAGAAAAGCAGTTTTTTAGATTTTCCACTAGATGTCCAAAAAGTGTCAAAGAACAACAACAACAAGACCAACATAATATTGAAACGATCGTTATGTCCACTACGTGTCCAATAACAATAACAACAAAATTTTGAAACAATCGTTATGTCCACTACGTGTCCAATTACTGTAGAAACGTAGCGACCCTAACCAAGAATACAGGCTACTTAAAATTTGTAGACCGTCCTCATTTCGAATAGCCTATATAATCATAGTTGGTAATTAAAGTTAAACACGTATATTCTCGAGCGAACCTGACTGTGAGTGCGTTCATGGGTTCATGGGTTTAAATATTCGTGGATGCAGATGTACATGAATTCAAATGTCAGTGGGTGCAAATATACGTGAGTGCAAATGTACGCTGGTGGAAATGTACGTGGGTGCAAATAGACGCGAGTTCAAATGTCCGTTGATGTAAATGTCTAGGCTGAAAATGTCCGTGGTTGGAAATGTACATGGGTGCAAACGTTCATGGGGGCAAATGTTCGTGGGGGCAAATGTTCGTGGGTGCAAATGTACATTGGTACAATCTATAAGCGGGTGCTAAAATCTATGGGTCCAAAAGTATGAAGGTGCAAATCTGAGTGCAGTTCACTGGTGCAAATGTGCGTCATCGTCGATACCTAAATCCCTGATGTATGAGCCTTTTTCCAGATATGCCAATACAATAATATTTATGTCGGATTAAAAAGATTAAATTAGGTAGGTGATTGAATATTATGGTAGGGAAATACCACTGTGTGCCGCTGTAACAGCCTGTCTTAGCTGTTTCGTAGTCGATTGTATGATACAGCAAGAGATCAGTGCTCAGATATAAGGGCTCAAAGGTTAAATGACTTTGCCAAAGTGCCTAATTTCCGGTTGAATTACCTCATTTTCAACAATAACTTCGACATTTGTTGTCACCATGACTTTCTAACAGCTCATAAAGTTTCTAGACCCCCCATCTGGCTGTAGCTGTGATCTGTGAGGTGAGGTTTAAAAACAATAAAGACGTCGGCTGATTATCTAAATTTATTCAAAATTTCTTGCAGAATGACAAAAAACTTTTATCATTTTCAGTACCGCCAGTCCAAAATCGCCCAATTATGTAGTTGTTTAATTTTCTCGATGCTTCAAAACAGAACTCTGTGATGTAAACCCATATTGATAAACATTTACTCATAAAATAATGAAATTTTGTCACTCACAGTGATCAAGATCATGCAAAAAAAATATGCAGTATATGAAAACAAAAATACGTCAGCGGCACAAGTTGATTAACTCCATACAGACATAACAGCTTAAATCAAAATTCTCTACACAAGTCAAGTAAATGCTAAACATGTTCAAGCATTCTGATACACAAGTTTCCTCTTCCTAGATAACTCCTAACAGCTGCCTAAGATGTAAAAGGTAAAATACGAAAGAAAATAGAACATAAAAAGTGAACAATAAATGTGAAAAAAACCTCTCCATAGTCTGATGGTTTGTTTCAGTTTACATGGCTTTTAGTTGATTTTATTCATTTCTTATGCCGTCATATTGCAATACACTCAGGAAGATTTTTACAATATCTGACAAAAGATTTGTGAGGTCCAATCAACGAATATAAAAAACAAAAAATTTCGCACGCCTTCAACGCAAACTATTACAAGTACTGTATCAATGGGGCAGTTATTGCAACGATTGTATTAGAATTTTATTTAACATGATTCCCTTTTACCCTTGTTCTTGGCAAGAACGTTTTAAGTAAAAACAGATTTACCTCAAAACTAAGTTTGGCTGAAAACGAATCAAGTTTTTTTCGCTGCGAATGCATTTAACCTAAAGAATGAAAAAAAAACATAAATATTCATAAGTTGATACTCTTTCCAACGACTCGTTTGCATAAAAAAAATGTAGTTACGAAGATTTGAACGATTTCGTTAGCCGCTCTTTGGTTTTTGTAGCATTTCAGCCATTCTTCGTTCTCTGTCTTTCATCAAATTTTCAACCTCGGTCAGCATGAATTGCAAAGGATCGTCTGGTCTTGCATAGACCATGTGTTCAGTGATTTCCTGTTAATACACAAGTTAATTGCATTTATCTCCACAATAACGAAGAACTCTATAAACATAAAGCAATATAAATGAATCCTATTTTTACCCGATTAAATTTTTTTACTTGAATATGTTTAGTAGGGCTGGGAATTTCAGGCAAAACACCTTAACCGTTAACCGGGTAAAATTGACCGGTTAACCGCAGCGTGACGTTTCATATAATAATTTCAGCTTGTTACGTCACAATGGTTACGAAGCAATTTCGCGTGACCTTATCCCGGTATCGCTCAAAATTATTCACAAATCGAGATAGTTTCGTGATCGCTCTGCTGCAAGAGATATGCAGCGTGTGTAGGGCATATGGAAGTATTTTAGTAAAACCCGATTCCGTTATCAAAAGTCATTTATGTGACAAATTTTCAGTGTTTGATGTGCAAATTCTAATTTGAGATATACCGGTATAAAGAAAGACAGCATCAACTACGCACTTGTTGGTTGACATTAAATATACAATTTTGAAATAAAATCGTGAACAATATATTTCGACCGAAAACTGATTCATATTAAATATTGTCAAATTCTTCATAATCAGCAATCTTGGTAATTCAATTATTTTTCACGTTTATCACGTCCTCACCAATACAGTTAGCAATATTCTTTTGAATTAAATTCCACGGAAGATGAATTTGCTGTGACGTAATCATTTTTTAAAGACTTGTACATGATAAAGATGATTTAAACCTGAGATGTCAGTTAACGGTTAAAATAAATCGTAACCGTTGACCATCTAAAATCGGTTAAACATTTTCAGCCCTAGTGATCAGCGATGCCTGGAAAATCGAACAACATACAGAAATCAAAGTACTGACTGAAATGTTCTATTCTGTAAAGATAAGGGCTGTAGACTCCGAATATTTGCTTGCATTGGAGTCGGAATTGCATTTTCGGACCTCCCGGTGGATGGACTTGGTCACATATTTTGATCTCTCACTTCCACGATAATAAGGTACCATTCGAATAAAGTTTCAGATATTTTCAAAATAGAGTTTGATACTAACATGAGTAAAAAGTCCTTTTGAATTACGATATTTAGACTCCGACTTCAGCTTGGCGTGTGCAATCAATTATGATAGACTGTTAAGAACAATTAGTAAACATGGTGCTTTTGAGTTTCTGCAGAAAATTGGCCCTTTTTCATCATTGCTAACAGTCTACACCTCCTTCTACTCTGACTCCACGAAATTTCGAATTCGACTGCGGGTAGTTTAAAAATACGACTCGGACTCCAGCGAAGACATGCCAGACTCCACGAAACAACTGTTGGAACGATCGCAATTATCTCAGTTGCAGTTGCGCTATACCCAGGGACAACGTCCCTACTGTTGGAGTAAAAATGATGACAGCAGTAAAGTGTTGAACGAGGGCTTGAGCTATACTATGACGACCCTACTCTGAAACCAATAATCGCATCTTTATTTTAACAATATATTGGAAGTCGACTGCCCAAGTGCCATTGACTGTGTATTTGACTACTTCGTTTTAATTTAGCCAAGCATACCGGGATTGCATTTCTCGTAAAATATTACATATGTTGATCACGTCATTTGTTATACACCAAGAACAAAAACTCAATGAATTATCATTATTCAATCTATTTCTGTGTTACTTCTAATAGCTTACCCTAAAGACATGCAGTATATGATGCTTTTCCATATACGAAACCGCTCTTTCGTATGGATCTTCATACTGGGGTATGCTTTCTGCATCTAAAACATCTCCAAACGAAGGGTCTGCCGAAGATGCTGGTGCCGGACTAGGCTGTAGATCCGAAGTTCAGTTAAAAGTACTCGATTTTCAGTCGTCGCTTCAGCCATTATCAAAAATAGAATTGACTAATAAGTAATAACCATGCGAATTTAAAACAAATACGTCGTCTATATTCTGGACAGAATTAAATTTATTCATAAATTTAGCCAGTGCGATCAAGTTTAGCAGTACTTCTTTAGGGAAGTTTATCGATTTTATGAGAATAAAAAAAAATTCAAATTTTGCTTATCCAATGGAATTCCAATGTTTATACAATATTTCTTTTGACAGGAATTACCTGTGTCAAATTTTCAAATCATTTCAAGAAAATGTTATACGATTCCACATTTCTAAACTTGTTTTTAAACTAACATGCGATTCTCCTTCTAATTTCCCTAAAACTCTAAGATCTCTCACACTTGCCTTTTATACAAATTATACCACCGTCAGGCTCGACTTTTTGCTGAATAGGATTCCTCAGCCAAATAAACTACCATTAGCTATACTTGTAAAGCAAACACCGAGAACGGAAGGTGATTGAATACAAGTCGTAGGGGCGAATAAACACACACGATATGCTTTGTCACTTGTCAGGACAGCCATGTAAACAAAGCCAGTATCAGAACACGCTGCTACCTACGATATGACTAAACAGTACAGTGCAATATTGTATTTTGTGTCGAGTATCGTGCTGCCTCAATTTTCGCCCCACGTAATTATGCGCGGCGATACATTGTTCTGAAGCACAGAGCTATCCAGTATTTCCATGGTGACGTTAGTCTCGAGTGTCATCATCCAAGAGAATGGAAGAAAGTCATTTATAACGGGAGGAAGGCAGTCTTTCATCAAGAACAAAAGGACCGTGTACGAGTGAGAGTGATAAATGTGACCGACTTTTAATAATAGACCGCGTACCAGGTAGTCTGGCACGGTAAAAGCGTAAATATTCAATGACAGCAAATTACTTAAAACGTTATAACATCTTTTGGCGGGTTAGAGACCCTTACCATTGTTTCTGATGTTCAGCTGGCAAACTTATGGGCGGAAACACATACCAATGGTAGTCTATGGTGGCCCATCGTTGTCACGCGTAAAATTGAAAATAAGAATAAAAAATAAAAAACCGAAAATAAAAAAATTGTTGTAAAAAAACATAAAAATAATTGAAAAAATAATTAAAAAAAAAAAAATAAAATAAAACGAAAAAAAAAAAAAAAAAAATTTAAAAAAAAAAAATTAAAAAAAAAATTGAATAAAAAGAAAATAAAAAGGTTGACAACGATGGTCCGCCTCGTGGCCCATCGTTGTCAGGCGTTTTTATTTTTAGAAAATTTGCTTCTGCTTGGGACCAACGTTGTCAGGCATAATCCTACGCGCACAAATGTGTTCCCTGGGTTTCAAACTCACTACTGATTTTCTTGAGCAATATTCAATATGAAAATGTTCTATAAATTCTCCATGCTACAAGTTCAACAAGAAGTAATATATTTATAATAATGATAAGAGAATATAAAATTGAATACGAAAATTCGGAAAATTTGTTGTTACGTGTATAAGGTAATTTAATTGGAGAATGCTGCTGAACTACTCAGTTGTCTGGATACTCGCGATGCCGGTACCGTACCGTCTTACCAAATACCGGTAGTCGGTTATAGTCGCTTTGCGTCTGACCGTACCGGTAGCCATACAATCACTCATCATCTCCCATTCTTTCACGAGTGATTGCATGGGTACCGGTACGGTCAGACGATACCGTACCGGCATCGCACGAGTGTCTGAGCAGTTAAGCAGCATTTTCCAATTAAATTACCTTCTACACGTAAAAACAAATTTTCGTATCCAATTCTATATTCTCTTATCCTTATTATAAATATATTGCTTGTGGTTGAACTTGTAGCATGGAGAATTTATAGAACATTTTCATGTTGAATTTATTGGATATTGCTCATGAAAATCAGTAGTGAGTTAGAAACCCAGGAAACACATTTGTGCGTGTAGGATTAAGCCTGACAACGTTGGTCCCAAGCAGCATCAAATTTTCCAAAAATAAAAACGCGTGACAACGATGGGCCACGAGGCGGACCATCGTTGTCAACCTTTTTATTTTCTTTCTATCCAATTTTTTTTCAAATTTTTTTTTTTTTTTAATTTTTTTTTTTAATTTTAATTTTTTTTTTAATTTTTTTTGTTTGTTTTATTTTTCAATTTTTTTTTAATTTCAATTTTTTTTTATTTCTTTTTTTCAATTATTTTTATGTTTTTTCACAACTATTTTTTTTATTTTCGCTTTTTCATTTTATTTTTTTCATTTTTTTTTAAATTTTACACGTGACAACGATGGGCCACCATAGTAGTCCCGTATAAATTAAAATTTAATTTTCTTTTGTACAAAAAGTCACCGGAAGATAGCCATAACAAAATTCGTGATATACCAACACCAATAGCTCATATTATCATGACTATCAACCATTATATTTTATAGTAACCGCTGATACGAGCTATTATTCTTTTAACGGGCCGGAATGTTCCTGTATAATGAAGATATCGGTACAAAAAAAAATATACCATTCTCCGAATTTATTGAGAGAATTCACGTCCTTTATTTCGACCTATAAGTACAAACAATTTTGTGCCAATTCAGGATCATATTTTCTAAGAAAGTCTTATTTTTAATATATATTGCCTATTCAGAAATCTTTACTTAAAAACAAACTTGGAAAAAAATGAGAAAATTCAGTATTTATCATATTAATAGAAATAGTCTTCGTCTACTTCATCCATTGAAATAGAATGCTCTGACAAACTACGTGTGACAGCAATACATCTTCCTCTGTTAGGCAAACCGCGAGATGGATCTCCTTTATTTTCAACGTGACAAATGTATCTGAGCAAACAACAGAGTAACTGAAGTAAAAATGAAATATAATGATAAAATCTACACTCATGATTCGTTTAGTCCTACTTAAAAACAAATAGACCTATCTATCTAGCCAAAATAAATGACCATCAAGATGTTATCACAAATGTGATTGAAAATATCAAGTATTTGTATTTCTCTGTTAATCGACTTATAACAATTTCCTTGTGTACGCACGGTTACCAATATAGTCAGAAGCCAGTACCTATCTATATGAGATTTTCCGATATATAACTCAATTAAAAATTAAAAGACGATAAAATAAAAAAAAGTTTTATTACCCATGTGGACAATCCAGTAATATATCTCCCTCCTCAATCGTGGTGGAGCATATCTCACCCAATGGCACCCCGCGGTGGGACTCAGCCAGCATTTCACCGGGAAGAATATTGAATTCCATACTGAAGTATAACTTATATTTAGTATAATACGATACCATGTACAAGTAAAGTTATATAAATTGTATATTGCATAAATATTAGCGTCAACTCAATCCGAAGAAAAAGGCTCGTGACATGTCAGGGTATAATCAACTTATTCAGGTAGTTGTCGGCCCAATATCAAATTGAGATTGACGCAATATTTGTGCTGTTCAATTCACCAAGACTGGGAGAACAACTAATTGGCAGTGAATTCCATATTGAAGAAATTGACGGATAAGGCAGTTGCAGTAGAGTTGCTCGATTCAAACGTTTTTAGAAAAAGCATATTTGCGGAATTGAGCTAGGAAAGTCTTATCAAAAACCTGTCAAAAGTAAACTTACTTTCCCTCGTACTCATCGATGTCATTATCACCAACGTCATCTATAGCAAAATTTGATTTTCCGTTTTTTGTTTGCCAGTCTATGATAGGTGGCGGATGCACAACATTTGAGCAGGTGTAAATGCATCCGTTGTAACAACAGCTGCGGCCGTGACCCTGTTATTTGAATAATTGACAACGCTAATAATTGACAACGGTAACAATTAAGTACAACGGATACAAATATATATATATACAAGCTAATTTTCGGCTAATATCGATCGAATTGAATTTTGTCTTACGGAGCTATTTTGACTACTTACTTCTTTGAAAGTATTCCATTTGACAATATGAGTACCCACGACTTCATACTTAAATAGTAATATCAAATTGTGAAGCAGGTTTATGACAATATAATACGCCTAATGTGAGTTTTGGCTCAACCCCTAAAAAAACTATTGAAAGTAAAAAAACTTGATTAAACATGCTTTTGTGGAATAGTCTGAGCAATTTATACATTGGTACAAATTATAAACCATTTTGATGTCCTTCAGGTTAATTAGCATGAGTTTGGTCATTTTTCTTTGTGTGGGTACTCAAATTATATAATTCAAACAATAGTATGTTGAAGTGAAACAAATATACCGTAAAAGTCGGGATTTCAAAGGTATCACAAACATCACGTGCGAACAGGAAGAATTCTATTAATTTGTTCATAACGTTATGTTGTTGATGCGTTAAAACATACACATGGTTGGAAGATTTTAACTCTAATTTGGGTAGCGAGTTCAAGATAAGACGTAGATAAAAATGCTTTATCCACCTAATGGATAGGTTTTGTGGTTTTTAAAAGCATTATACCAAAATATCAAGCGTTTTTATCACGCTCTTTGTAACTTTGGTATGAAATTTATTAATAGATTAATCTCAATTTACTTTCTCTACACTTAAAAAAATGTACCAATTCGTAAAATTCACATTCATATATCCAGAACAATCCTAATCGGGTTGTTTCACATATTTGGTTTTATAAATGACGTCCGTATTTTTTGTGCACAATAATTGGATAAAATTGGTCACGCCTTAGCAGGATTAACTGAAAAATACATTTTCAACATATTTTTTCAAAATTCCATGCCAGGATAATCATAAATATACTGTTTATTGTTTATTTAACTTACTTTGAAACATTTCAGACCGAGGATCGAAAATGACTTAACAACGTACATATGGAATTTAAGAAGGTATCAAATTAGAATTAATAAACGTTATTTCATTACTTTTAAGTGAATTCGAGATCAATACATATTATTGCAATATTCTGAAATCGAGCATATTTGATCGTTTATCTATTTACATATGTCCGTGATCACACAAATTTTTAAAAAGGCAAAATAATTGTGAAATATCTGTGAGCATCAATGAGACATATTAATTTGAATAAGTAAACTTATGATAATATTCTGAGTTGTTACTCGAAATACTCGAGGTTATGCTTGTTATTAACCAATTCGCGATATTTTTACCACGCGAAATCAGATAAAAAAATCTGGGAAGAGAAAATTTAATACAAATCAGAAATAACTGAGAAATTTTGAATTCCATCACACATTTTTTCATACTGAATAAAAATTTATAGCATTGTACTAATACAATGTACAAGAACAAGGCAATGATTATTTGATTTAAATCTACATTATTGAAGTGTTTTATATGCGGTACTACCGTATTTCTTAACAAATACTAATATTTTTTATAGTTAAATAATTTAATACGCAGATTTATAACGTATAAGTGGAGAATCGATTTTATATTGTACAAATATCAATATATGTTAATAAACTATAATCTCGTCGTAAACATAAAATTTAGATTCATTTCCAACATGATGTTCGACGTGTTTACATCCAACACATTTTAATGATTAAACATCATGCTTGAAAATATAGTTACCCGGCACTCTCTGTCCGACTCACATGGGTCAACAGTGCAAGCATCGCTGGCTAATCTTGTCATGGGTGGTGGACATCGCGTGACAGGCTTCGGTGATTCTTTGTCGTTTTCTCTAAGCCGCTTGCTAAGGTGGTGATAATGATGATGCCGCGTTGCGCTCCGTTGCACCCGAAACGTGTGACCGAATATTTGAAAAATGTCTTCGTTTTCACCCTGTCAGCACAAAATATCATGCACGATAATAACAAAATACGTGTTGGAATGTACCTTTTAGGCTGTGAACCAACTTATGACTATTTTTCTATACATATATACATTAGTTGATAAACATACTGCCCACTGATGGCCCCGACATTCACGATCTTCTGATCATCATCATATAGCTCGGTACTGACAAACTTATTGTCTTCAGCCTCATGGCAGAATAAAATTGAAAAAGTTTTCTATTTTACATAAAAATCAACTCAAATTATCTACCATACTATCAATTTTAAAATTGCATGAGGTTCGTAATGGAACCTTAAATATATATTTGTTTTTCTACAAGAAGATTTTTCCAAGTTAGTACGGGTGTTCATATAAACTTTTGCATATCCCAATTTGTGTATCTTCATCAATCCGATCAACTGAAATTTAGTTCAAACCGATTTTCCTCTCCTATATCGGCAATCAGCTGTACCAATAAAAAGTAACGCAAAGTATCTATAACCAAATTCCAACAAGGTTCCTGTGAAAATACTAAGCTAATTAATGTGACGTACCTGTTTTCCATTTGTTATGGCATGCCTATATCCTTCTGTAATTCCTATAAAATATCCCACGAGGATGATTAGAAACCACTTTTTATTGCGAAAAAATGTATTAATTCCTCGACTCCTCAATCGTTCAACTTGAGATTTATTGCCTACATCTCCCTTACTTGTTGAAATTATATATTCACAGTAATTTAACCGATCACTAGTTGATTGGACTTCACGTATCGCAGACTCCTTTTCTTTACGTTCATCGGTTATTCCACAGAACGTAGAATGCTGTTTTGTTGTAGTCATTTTGTCTTTCATCCGAATACGCATGGGGCAACAGAATGGGTAAGCTGCATGTTTGTTAGCATATAAGCTTAAAGATAAATTTTCTACGCTCTTCCCACTTGCATATTTAGGACTAAATCAAATTATGCTGCAAGAGTAACACATTGAGAAGTTGAAAATGTCTCGAATTTTTTCACGACAGAAGCATTCGTCAGGGCATTTAGCAGTTATACAATAAGATTTCTCTTTTGTCACTAAAAACAACTAATTTAATATTTACCAATTTTTAAGCGTTAATTCCTGAATTTTATTTCGCATTGGAATATTAACGTTTATTTTTGCAACGAATGCTTCGTGGAAATTTTCAGCCTAGTCATAAGCGCCGTTCCCGTCACTCCGTTCCCGTCACTCCGTTGTACAGGCAATGCAGCATCGCATTCCGCAGCGTTTCGGCGGTTTGCGGCAAACCTGCGAACCGTAATTGCTTGAAGATGTCGTGCGAGTGCTTAGGCCAGCAGATTTTTGTACTGACGGGGCTCTTTTTATTACTAGAGATTATAGTAACAGTTTTCAAAGTCGTGTCATGCTGTTATTACACTCGACAGTGAATGAACACGAATGATCTTTTTTAAATTTTCAAATCACCTACGAGCTTTCATAATTAAAACAGGTGATACAGACATGAGCCCAAAATTTGAACAAATGATTTGATTCGATGTGATCACGTAGATGGACGGGGACGGAAGACGCAGCTATTGCTATCAGTATCGTCCGTGCTATCACTTAGACTATGTGCCTTTCTTGAATGAACAAGTCCTCCTTCTCCAAAAGACCTAAGATTATTAGTAATTACTAGTGAATACTAGATAAACTTTTTCAGTGACTTTAATTTCAAAGTTTAGTTAATCTAAATGCTATTCTGACAATTATAACCCAACACATCTTCCATGTGGTTTAACTTTCATAACTTTTAGCTCACTGAAGTCGCTTGAGATTATCACGACCGACTACACAGAAAAATAGCACGTTTCAGCCGTAGGGTATCAACTTGGATATTTCGATAAAATCACAGCTGTTAGGACTAACATTACTAAATATTGCGCTACATAAAAAATATTCAATAAAAATGCCATGCAAAGGTTCACCTCATCGTATAATTGGATTGTGCTTTGGCATTCAAACTGGGAGATAGCAGTATTGTATAATCGCCGCAAGTTACATAGGCATTGGTTTGATGAGAGCCAGGCAAGCTTTTTGTGTCAGACAGGCATACTTTAAAATTGCTTTGACTTTTGTAGAACAGATTTTAACTTAACTCTTCGGAACAAACCGTCGATGATAAAGCACCAAAAATTCCGACTCGTAGGCTAAGATTTTAGACACCCTGTAGCCTACGTGTCAAATAAATCATATTTTTATTCTTCAGAACCTACTATTGAGTCATGTGTAAAATGGACATTCCACGTAAAATGATGATAAAAAAATTTAATTTTCTGCTCTGTCTTACTTTGATATGATTTTTTTGATATAGATTCTGGATTTGTCTTGAAAAATCTTGACCGTCAAAATCTTCCTTCAAATTCGTGTTGAATTGCTCGCTTGGGGGCAATAGAGAGTCGAGTGCTACTGATGTTTCAAAACTTGTAAAATTCCAAGAATGGACAACAAGAAACGGCTAAAGTATATCGACCGTGCGTTGGGGTTGAACTTGTGATAGAGTTCCAAGTTAAGCGACAATTTTCAGATTCACTAACTAGTGTAATCGTACTGTTATATAGTATTTACCTCTACAATCACATGTCTAATGAATACAATTACGTCGCAATGTGCAGGATCAAGGCTCATTAGAAAGTGTAATTGTTAGCGAAAAAGTTCCTGAGGCAATGTTTTCCTTATATAGGCCGGCACTCTCGTTCTACGTCAATGACGTAGTCCATTACCATGTATGGATGAAACGCCGGTAATATTATGATAAAAACACATCGAAAATATTCGGCAATTTTGGTGAAGATTATTCGGTGATTCGCTGCCCTAAAAATAGTTGTTAATAGCTAGTTGTATATTTTTTATTTTTGAACGGGAAATTTGGTAAAACATTTACATGAGTTAATTTTTCAAAACGGAAATGATTGATAAGTTTGCTGCAATTGGTTTATCCTGAAATGCAAAATCAATACACATTATTAATCGCTTTCTTAAAAGAGCAGTGTCTTGCAAAAATTGTCGAACAATAATTCGCATGTACGCTTGTATATTTGTAATTAGTCTTATGGGGACAATCGCTGATCCATAATATATGGCGTACTCAATTGTATCAAAACTAAGAACTAAATTAAACGTTATTTGTATTAAAAATATCTACCGAAAAAAATGTAGAAATATGCATATTTCCCAAATTTATTTTATGACGCAGAGCGTACTGTTTGTTATTGAATAATGGTTTCTGGTGTAGGATTACTTGCCTTAATGAATGAGACATTTCTTCAGCAGTACTATCGTTTTATTATGTGGTTGGTGAAAAAACGTCACGCACGACGCCAATAAAAGCTATTTTGTTCTACTTTTCAAGTGGAAAGAAATTTGTTTATCAGCATAACCAACTATTTTTATCTAACGCATAACTGCGTGCTTTTATTGCCTTTGATGTGATTGGAATGTTCCAAAATGCGCAGACCATGACGGTGTCAGACCATTGAGTAACACGGATCTTTAGCTATCTACGTTTTACGTTTGATAGGGCAATATTTGACAAAATAAGTCTAGTCACCTATCTCTTTTTTCTAGACGTAAGCGGGCATATATTGACGACGGAATGTTTCTAGATAAATCCGATTACACATTTTACACGCTCGAAAGAACAACTGTCTTATGTCTAAGTAGGGGTAGACAGTTGAAACATTGTGAAACTGAGCCAATTATTAACTCAAGTCGCTAAAGCTAGCGGAAACTTGATCGCGTAATCGCCCAATGCCACGGAGAAAGGCTTTCTCATTTTCTTTGTGTAGTTATGCTTATGTAAACATGGGACTATAATATTTTATCGTAATAAAGTCGGTAAAGTTGGATTGAAAAGTTTGACTGCGGTTACATACAGTAGAACGTTCAAGGTTTAACTTCAACTTAATTAGTTCAGCTTCTGCCTCAAGTTCTTCCCCTTACATTGAAGGTAATGTGTGCATTAATCAAACCACCATATAAAATTTAAAAACGCCTTCTTATTTGGTTGAGCATTGGACTATGGAAGAAGTATCGCATCTTTGTATCAATGAATCGATTGTTTACAGTCAATTTCTTTAAATGTTTATGAATTTGGTAGATCGGTATTATTGCGAATTTGAAGTTTCCTGACGAAGCTATTGAATCATTTCGAAGATTCGTCAAGTGCTTTTAACCACATTCCGTATCTTTGTCCTGGTATCGAGCAGTGCGGTATTTCAATACTTAGTCGAGATAAGCGGTTGAGCAGTACAAACAGCCCACCTGGTCGTGTCGAAGAATGAAAGAGCGTTTCAATTTTGTAAATAATGTTACGACATTTGTCGTCTGAGAATACATTACCTAAAGAGAACTGGCCATTTCGGCTAGGGTTTCATGATGTAGGCAGACAACAATTCGAACTAGTCGCATAATACTTGTATAAAGAATGTGAGGCGGCCAAGATTTAACGAAGCAAGGTGATCAGGAATTATTGTTATTATGATTGTTTTATATTTTTGGTTGGTAATATTTGAAACATTGTTTATTTTTTGTTTTCAATTTTGATTCGCTCAAAGAAAGCGATCACCCCACATCCCTGTTGTTAGAAAAGTGTGAACATACAACAACACTTGTTGTTTTAGAAAGCGTTTCCTTATCGTTAACGAAGAGAAGGCGTTTACGGCGAGACGTTTTCCGTTTTCGACTATCCATCAACGCTGGTGGTAAACACGTCGAATTTGTGCGAATTTCATTTTAGGTCATAAATATTTACACACAGCTAAATTTAGAGAAAACATAGCCATTGATTTTCACATTCTGGGCAACGGATTATTTTTAACTTTAGTATTAAAGAATGATTGAATGGATATGCTCACTTGTTATTTACAGGTTCAAATAAATATCAGTTTCCATTAACACAAATTAGATCCTGTGATATCAGGTGTTGTCAAAGTTGTTTTACTACGTTGACCATCGTTGCAAATTGAGAACGTTTTAACCAAAATAATATTTGGGTTTTCTTGATTTGTAAACAAAAACACTGTAAGATGTCAAACAACACGAAATACCGAGTGAGAGGTATGGGAATGGACAGAGAAATAGAAAGAAAACTGGATAAAAAATATTCATTGGATGATGAAAATGAACTCATGGAATGGATTATAGCCGTTCTCAGTCTACCTCCTGAAAGTGAACACCTATCTTATCCAGAAGGTGTAGGCAAAGAGGTATATATATTTATGCATTTCTTCTAATGTTACAAATTATATTGGTCATACCTGATCCATTTATTATACAGCTATATCAAATTTTAACACTATAGTGACAATAAAAAAAATAAATGGACAAAACATCAATAAAGTAGTCATAGACATGTAACCATAGCTTCGTTTAGTCCCATACCAAAAATTGCTCACTGTTTCAGTTTTTAACTTTGGAATGGAATATCAATATACTGAGATCTAATGAAATTGTCATGTACAATTAAGAAATTTGTAATATTGATACATCTGATCATGCTAGATCAGATTTATTTCACCATGTCGAGGTTGATTGATATGATACTTCTGTTTACTATAAAATGGGAATTATTATAGCTGAAATTGGATGCTGAAATATTGTATATTATATAAAATAGATCACACTATCTCAGTTTGATAGTTGTTGACAATTTTTATTTTAATGATTTCTATATTTTAAATCTCTATTTTGACTAAACTATGAAAGCATTAGATATATATTTTGATGATATATTTTATAATCACTGTTTGTTTTCCTATTAGAGTTTTTCTATTCCATGTCTCATTTATACCTTTGTGTTCTAACATGGGAATAGCGGTGAAAATAAATTGTACAATGTTTGAAATAAACTTTGTGGCTGACAACATTTCTTTGATGTTACAGTATTTTCAAGATTGGTTGAAAGATGGTATTATATTATGTGAACTGATGAACAAATTATGTGGTGAAAGGGTGTGCAAGCCCCATATGACACATAATGTCAAGTTGCTTGTAAGTATGATTAATTCAATTCAGTTGGAATAATATTTTGGGAGGAAGAAATGTTATTTATGCATAGAGGTTTTATAGCAGCACTAATTTACTGAAGATTCGAAAGGTAAAATGTTCCTTGTTGTCTATGTATTTAAATTAAATTCACCAATGATATTGCAACCTTTCATTAATAAATAGTTTAATAGTTGGGCAATACTAGCTCAAAAACTAACTTAAAAATAGTTTGATAGATATCATTCATAATAGTTTTTAAATTATATCATGCGTTTTCATTTTTATCATTAATAAGGCGATGAGAAGAAACAAAGAAATGGAAAATATTGGATTTTTTCTCAAAGCAGCTGCAAATTATGGTGTTAAACCTATAGACTTATTCCAGGTATGTTATGCTTGACCCACAATTATAGTTCTCTGCAGTCTAAAAACCATCTAATCTGATTTTATGTGTGAAAACTCACCTAATGTTTGAGCCAAATATTAGATAATGTTCTATGGTACAACAGCTAGGATTTTTTTTTTTTAATTCAGCCAACTAGACATTAAAAGTAAGATATTGAGACGATCCAATGTAATTAGAATTGAAATGGGGTTTATCAGAGTCATGCAAAGATTTGTGGCAGACAGTTAGGCACACTTGATGAAGATATAAACGGTTGGACCAATTTCCAATTTTTCACTAAATCGTTTAACATGAAAATGAAATATGTAATTGTGGAATGGCCCTATATTTTTGTGGCAATAGTGTTCTCCATGGCTTACTTGGATATTCATTTAATTTAATTTATTCAATAATATTTTTGTTTAGACTGTTTGCCTGTATGAAAGCACAAATTTAGCACAAGTTCAAGCAACTCTATTCAAACTTGGATCAGAAGCTATTTCGCATGACTTTGATGGCCCAACTATTGGTGTTAAAGTATCGCAAACAAACTACAGAAACTTTGAAGAAAATAAACTACAAGAAGGTCGCAACATCATTGGCTTGCAGGTACAACATGCTATGCAATTGATTGAACTTTGTTTTGAAATATAGGATGTTAGACTTTGTATGAAACTAAATTACAGCATCAGTTTTTGTTGGATATTTTGTTTAAAGCTACCATACCTGCTGCGTTTAAAATCATATAACGTAAAAATTTAATACCAAAGTAAGTCGAGAATTGTGCTTGGGTATTAAATTTTGGAATTTGTTAAATTTTCCGAAAAAATTAGTTTATCTGGAGAATATTGATATTATATTCACCTACCAAATAATGGAACTCTATGATTCAGTCCTTTTAGTTTAAAAGACATTGCATCCTTCTCAAATCAATGGAATTTTCATTTACAAATTGCTGTGTTAACTTTTCATTGATATATTCTACACCAGACAGTGCCTTGTGACATTCAAACAGTCTCTAACTTTCGGCCAATATTTGAGTAATTGGTAATCTTAGTGTAAGTTTGTGTTTGAGGGCATGATATGTCACGATTGAGTGTCTATAGGATAGGATTTACATATTTATCCCGGGGAGAGGAAAGGCGATAAGACGGCTTATTTATATGGCGAACCACAGCCTCTCGTCCGGTTACCATTCCAAGTCGAGTATGGGATTAGTTATATTGTTTGTTTTCGGGAGGATGGACTTGGTGGTGGAGGAAGCCGTAACCGACCCGCAGTTACGGTGAACCATCCAACGACAGCTAAGAGTCCAGCAATCTTCTCGCACATAACCATCCCTGCATGGGATTCGAACCTGCGAACCCACGCAGAGGTAATTAGAGGTGCGGTGGCGAGTGTATTCCTAACGCTTAGCCCGTTGAGCCACACCGCCGCGCCGTGTCTATGTGAACTAGTATTATTATTGCACAATTATTTGCTAAATATTTCTCTGTGAAAAATTGTTCAATATTTAATAGTCATAGGGAAGATGAGTGGTCGTTATGTTAAATTTGATATTCTCGCCAGGATTCAGGACAACAAAATGAATATAAAATAAAACAATTTGGGACTATTGAAGGTTGATTGGAAAAACAACTCTTATTGAAACCTTAGCTGTTCTGTTACCTTTGTAACCCGAGTGAAGCATAAAACTTAACTATATATAACTACGGCTTTTGATAATTCGATTGATCTTGAAATTATTAAATAAATGAATAGATTTTAACTCAATTGACCTTGTCTATCTTATGGATTGTTTTTTCAAGACATACTGTTTACTTTCTTGTTAGATTCCCTCATTAGCAATGAAGACTAGATATTTTACTACCATTATATTAAGTATATGAAATTGTCAGTGACAATCGAATTGTTGGGACTTTATAGCTACAAATATTGATGGATTTTATCAAATATTGTAATCCTCGAATAGCCTCATTCATATACCACCGATCATAAATAATAATGTAACTGTGTGGGATACTTCCTATTTCATGCTTTAATTAGGTTGGCAGGACAGAAGTAATCCTCTATAAACATGGCGAGCATGAGATTGGTTACATTTTTATAGCTAATTATCAGTGTTATATTTAGCATCCTAGAAAGTTTTATCCACTCTTGATGCAGTAATGCCTTGCTATGTTTTTATTTGAGTAGCAGAGCATGGCATACTTGCTGTCCTTGCATGCCTTCTTAAATGCATATTAAATTTTTTTTTATTGCAGATGGGCACAAACCAAGTCGCTTCGCAGCAAGGAATGACACCAATATGGCCTTGGAAGACAACTTGTTTCCAAAAGTGACCACTGATCCTCACAATTGTACAGAAATATATTACAAAAAAAAGAGATTTTATTTCTTTTACCTATTTGAACAAGCAATTGCCCATTCAGCTAATATTCATTTATTTATACATTTCTTTGAGTATAATGAATACTGATAAACAAGTCTATTATTCCTATACAGTACTTGGCAAAACTTTTTCGGCCAGAATACCTCATATTTGGTTATGTATGAAAAAAACCTCTGGGTTATGAAAAAAGGGCACTTCAATATTCACTCCAAATTTGCTGTGACCTTTTTACAGTGAAGTATCAATTAACTCGACTAAATTGGTGCTACTGATAGTTTCACTAACAAAGCAAGAATATAAATTTGAGTTTCATGTGAATGGAACAAGCCTAACCTACCAGGATTGTCATTTCCAGCTTTGACCACCAACTATTTTAATTTCAGCATTTTGTTTCATATATCACATGTTAAACATTTTATTCTAACTTTGCTTGAATGCTTTTTTGTTCAGTTTAAATTTCTCTTATATAATCCTTAGTATATAACTGTTTATCCAAGGCGGATAATTAACTGAGAATGGCACTTCATGTATCGTATTCTTGACTCATTGCCCAAGAGAAATTGAATTCTACTAGAACAGTGGTTCTCAACTTTTTTTCTTTTATGGCCCATTTTCGTTGCACCTAAAAATCCGTGGCCCATTTGCTTTTTCATACTAGAAAAACAAAAAAAAATTTCTGCAAAAATAGACAATGTCACTCTAATAATAATTGGACAAAATTGCCACCCTGTGACCAAAAACAACATCATCATTCGTTGCCACTACCATCAAATTCAACTTAATTTATCCAGCACTTTTTAATAGATATGTGGCCCACCTGAAAATTTTTCTGTGGCCCAGGGTTGAGAACCGTTGTACTAGAATGACCTGCTTCATCAACGAGGTGTGGTATCCGGGGTTTGAGTCTCTATTGAATAATAATTTCCTGAAAGTACGTTAAACTTTGTGGTGACCAACGCTTTTGTTTGGAAATTTTCACCCCTTATGCTATGTATTGTATAGGCACACGACTGCATATTACGCGATATTTATAAATCTATCGCTCATCATGGCTTGTATTATGCCGCACCAGATATCCTTTCGTATAAGACGCCGAATCATGTTATGTATATTTTCGATTGTTCATTTCACCTTTGCAATATAATGATATATATCTGTAATGATGTGTCATTTATTTAAGTTAGAAGTGAATGTGCATAACATCTTATATTGCTAAGTGGTTTGTGTACGCAATATCAGTGGGCCTAAACTCTAAGAACTTATCCCATGCAATTGTCATATTAACATACCATAAGGATTTATAACTTTCCAAAAGTGGTATACTAGAGATTAGTGTAATTTTCAAGTTATTCGAAGATAGCACATGTGTTATATGCACCCATTTAGTAATATGCACATCGTGACAACATAGTTTTTGCCAAGCTCCTGGATAAATCTAATTTCAGGTCATGGTTCTCGTTATAATGCTGTGTGTATGGGATGCACCATGGAGCAATACTTGGGTTTCTAATGCTATAAGTATCGAGACAATGCGGCGTTTGATTACCGATAATACCATATATTGATATTTTGTTTTACATGTTGTATAGCCTGCAATGCCAGCCCCTAAGGCAAAATTGATAATGTGTGTGGTTGGTCTATTTCAGTATTTTCTCGAGTTCATGCAAGTCTGGCAAGTAAGAAGTTATGTTATCTTGGCTTTGCGGGTAATATCCAACGCTTTGCCGCTTTTTAGCGTGGGAAAGGCTTGACATCATCATGGAAATTGTGAAATACATGTCGGATTACAAGCGTGAATGTGCATGCGTGTATTGAAGCGACATGCACAATAATATTACCAACGATTACAAATTTTACGAATCTTGGGTGGGAATGCTGAAAACATTTCTAATATTCTCATAAAAAGCGCAAATTATTTAGAATTGGCAAAGTTCTGTTACAATTTACAGGACAAAATCACCTGCAAACGTGCCGTAATTGATTCAAATGAATGTATTGAAATGTTCCACACCGCACCACAGGTTGGTGTGGATCCAATTTTAAATTCCACGTTGTGAAGTTCTGTAAATACAAGCTGTTAAGCGTTGATTGCTGATGACCCGATTTAGGAAACAATTGTTTGCCAAAACGGACAATAAGATGTGAATATATGATTAGGTTTCAGTTTTGATGGACATGTTCGAATACAATACGCAGTGACTGGAAAACTGCAATGATTTAATTTTTCATTTCGTGATTCAAAAGCTCTGCAGTCGCTAAAATAACAAACAATATCTTCCGATATATGTTGTGACAAAGGAGAAAATGATACCCCGATGATGAAATTTGAGTCGATAACTGTGCTGGTAACGCATATTCTCTGAAATATGATACATAGCAGAAATCATTTAGAAACAATATACCATCAGTTAAAATTATTTGTAGATCAGGACTCGGGATCAAGAGACGGACTCAGAAGTAAATCAAAAACGAGCCTGATTCCGAGACAACATAACTGAGCTGAGGGGATCTGACAGCTTAAACGCCATTTTGATACCACATTCATTTGTTTTTTGTTAATCTAATGAACACCTCGCCGCGATTCGAAATATGGTACTTTCCAGGTTACCTAAATTTACAGTGGTATAAGTTCTTACAACTTTCGCCTTACTGAATGAATAGTATGTTTGCTATCTAAAGATACAGTTCCGTGGTGCCGAAGAATATTATTGAAGAATTTTATTTTCGTCATTTTATTTAGCAGTTAGCTGAACAAAATTTATTCAATTATCATATTTTTAATGTACGCATATTGATTTCGGATTGGACGTTTTTATTGGATATTTGTTAGATATAAATTTGAGTTAAGACGAGGATATATCAAACACTAATATATTTAAAACAACAATCGCTCAGGAAATTAGTTGCCTTATATGCATTTCTAAAAATCTTATTTAATTCGAAATTGCGATGCCAGGTTTCCGGATGATCTATAAACAAATTGCAATAAATTTGTTGATATATCCAATTCCCACCTGACAAAAGTTTTGACGACGTTGGCACCTGGTAATTCTCCGTTGGGAATTCTATGTCAAACGACGTAAGTTCAAATAGTGCGATAAATGTCCACAGTGACATTTTTGTTCTCGAGGGAGGATCTTAATTGCTATTAATTTCCTTTGAAGCTTAATCCGAAGTATAAACTATTTATTGGCGGCTTCTGACGTAAACGTAACGTCTGCTGTTGCGCTAAACGCAAATACCAAGATCGGTAAACTTTAGGTCGAATTACAACGTCGTAAAATTTAATGAATGCTCATGAAAACCAATTTGAGAAAAGCACCAGACAAAAGATTACTAGAGAGCAACGCTCAAATATATGGACACGTGGACCAGAGCGAAGCAGTTTTTACCTTTGACGTTACCGGTACCGTACCCTCGAAAACTTCCGAGTTTTCAGTCGATAGATTTTTCCCAGTCAGTCTTCACGCTTGGCGGATTAAAAACCGTGTCCCCATAATTGAAAGTAATACAGCGCAATTTTGAATGAAATATTAGATCTCATAGGATTCATGAAAATTTAGAAAAATATAAAAGTAATAGCCTTCTGGAAAAAAAAATCAATCTTTAACCACTGAAAATGTCAAAGCAATTGGTCCAGTATTCGAAGAGAAAAGCGATTTTATCATGACGAAGGAGAAGAATATCAACAAGAACAACAACATAATATCAAAACGGTCCATAGGTCCACTCACGTCTCCAATAAGTATAATAGTGTAATCTTGTGCAACCTTAGTTTCTTTCCTAGGTGACAGGCAGTCTGAGAAACAAAAGTGTACCGCCATAATTTACACGTTTTACGCCATTACAAAATATTTAACAAACGCTAGGGATAAATAAAAGTCGACTCTACTTCGTTGGCTGTTTTAGATTGCGAAACAAGGTATCCTAATAAGTGTTACAACACCCTTACATAAACTAAAATTCGATTGTCTTAGTAAATTCTCAACAACTTTGCAATGACGCTGTAAGTTACTGAATGTTTAGCTAAAATTCTGAAAGAAGAAATATAAAATGAATGAGCATGGCATAACTATTGACGATTAATCAAATAATCTAAGCAAACGTTTTTATATCGGTTCTTATTTTAAGTTAGTAACCAAATTAATGAATATATTTTGAGCATTATTGGACACGAAGTGTTGGTTTCCCTACGAATCGTTATGTTACTATGTTGTTGTTGCTGTATTTTTCTTCTCATTGTCGTGAAAAAAAATCGTTTTTCCCTATTAATTACTGGACCAATTGCTTCGTAATTTTCAGCGGTTGAAATTTTCTTTGGTTTTTTGTTGCTAGAAATACATCATTTTACTTTTTTTTTTAAATTTATGTGGGCTTCGTTTTTTGTGTACCATGGCGTCATGAAAATTGTGCACCTTGTGGCGGTTCCGCTTTATGTTAGTCCTGAATATTGCGGTACCGGTAGTCTATTGTGGCAGACTGCATACCCGGGCTACTGCGTTTTTGGCCTTCATGACCGTATATTTTCTTCGTGCTATCATCATATTACTCAAGTTTCAATCAAACGAGTACACACTGAAAGTATGTACGGTAGCTGAAGCTCTTGACTTTTTTGCATCTACATGTTACGACCACAAGTTATGGCAGCGGGGTTATTATGCCATGGTTATGCTTCCCAATTTTTACAATGTCAAGAACGACCCTTCAAACTTTTATCGACTTCTAGTACTGTGCAATATAATTTCAGCATTGCTCGACGAATCGATGATGAATTTTTATAGGGCAGATACACAAAGGTATAGCCACTGTTGTTTCAATTTTGCTCATCTGAGCCAGATAACCATTTTCTGCAGTTGCAGTTGACAATTTTTGCTTAACTGCATCATCTTGTGGCCACTCTAATAGGATGAGCATCTTCAGCTAAGTGACGCCTGATCCGAATTCTATGATATTCTTATTTGCTTATATTGTTTTCGCCGGTAATTTTGGGATTGCGTAAAGCAGTAATACCGGATTATACAGTAACTGGACATGTGTATACAGCCATGTAAGTATTGATTTTGGATAGTTTTGTTTGAACAATATCCGAAATATTGTGTGCATTACAAGGTTTCCGCCCACAGAATAAACACAACTTCGGACACTGACGATGTTGGCTCACAGCTTTTCAAGATGGACCAGGTGACTTCTTGTTTACCTTTTTTGACGTCTGGCTTGCAGGTTAATCGATAACTTGAACTGCCTTAAGTCCACTCGGTCTATATGGCTTACTCAGTGAATGGGAAATCATCGAAAGCCCATGGTTCATCTTATGACTAGAGTCATAACGACCATCTGATTACGACCTAGTAGAATAGGCCTACATACTTATTTCCCTTCGTCTAGACAAAAAAAAAATTCTCAAGTTGCACGTAGGATTGGTATCGTGTGGTACAAACTTGAAGTTGCATACTTGGAATTTTTCCATTTGAACTTCCCACAATTGAGTAATGTAGTTTCACACTGTCCTATCATTTACCCAAAATGACATAATAAGATAGTACATGCTTGGACAATGACCAAATAGTCTATTAAATACGCCTTCTTGTTGCTTCTTTGACGTGGTGCATTCCATCGTGGCACTATTGATAACAAAATGTTGATACAATGACAGACGCAATTAAAGTAATTGTCTGTCTGAGTGTGGGAATAAAAATGCTTGGAAAAGTACTTGCGAAAACGAGAATAAATTTTCATTCATTACTACTGTTAATGTTTTTTTTTATTCGGGCAATTCAAATTTTATCTTTCATGGAAATACCAGATGAAATTGAGCTGAAAATCAAACTATACATAAATAGTGGTACAGATTTTCAATACCTAATATAACATGATATTTGCGCTTTTAAAAATAGCAATTTCAATTCTCTGCTATGTCGATAAAAAATTGCAAAATTTGCCAGACAAATGCGCTGTGAGTCCACAAGTATCAATGAATGAGTATGGCGTGACTAACCGTTGGTTTCCAATACCTGAATTAATATGCCAAGGGCCATTGTATATATTTATAAATTAGCAACACCTTTCATATATGAGATATCTATTTCCTACTGATTACATTTTTAGTTTCATGACAGCGATAAGTACCCTATTTAGGGCAGAAATCAACTCGAAATATTAA